ATTTGATGACTCAAATTGACTGCAGTGTTTCGTCCATTAAATGTACAGTCACTACACCTTACAGTATACTCTGTGAAGCGCTTTGAGATGTCTCTACAACGTGATACGGCGCCGTATCAAATGCAACAATTATTATTATTATTATTGTTATTATCCTCTGTCGGCGATTCCCCCAATAGATTAACAACTCGGTTCTCACTTATCACTATATAATCAGTGGTGTGTAGTGAGGAACGCGCGTGAGGTCCGACACGTCTAACAACACAGACTCCACGTGTAGTGAGTGGGTGTGAGACGTAGTGAGTCCGTGTAGTGCTCCCCGTACCCCCCTCCCGCCCCTCCCCCCCCGTCCCCCTCCGCCCCCCGTACCCCCCTCCCGCCCCCCCGTCCACGCCCCCCCGTCCCCCCCGCCCCCCTACCCCCCCCCCCCCCCCCCCGCCCCCCCCCCCCCTCCCCCCCCCGTCCCACGCCCCCGCCGCCGCCCCCGTACCGCCCCCCCCCCCGTCCCGCCCCCGCCTCCTGCCCCCCGTACCCCCTCCCACCCCCCCTCCGCCCGCCCCCCCCCCTCCCGCCCCCCCGTCCCGCCCCCCGTCCCGCCCCGCCCCCTCCCCCCCCCCCCCCCCCCCCCCCTCCCGCCCCGTACCCCCCCCGCCCCCCCCCTCCCCCCCCCCCCCCGTCCCCGCCCCCCCTCCCGCCCCCCGTACCCCCCTCCCACCCCCCCTCCGCCCCCCCCTCCCGCCCCCCCGTCCCGCGCCTCACACTCGACCACCACCCCCTGCTCACACTCGACCCCCGCACCCTGCTCACACTCGACCCCCGCACCCTGCTCACACTCGACCACCATCCCCTGCTCACACTCGACCACCACCCCCTGCTCACACTCGACCACCATCCCCTGCTCACACTCGACCACCACCCCTGCTCACACTCGACCACCATCCCCTGCTCACACTCGACCCCCGCACCCTGCTCACACTCGACCACCACCCCCTGCTCACACTCGACCACCATCCCCTGCTCACACTCGACCCCCGCACCCTGCTCACACTCGACCACCACCCCCTGCTCACACTCGACCACCATCCCCTGCTCACACTCGACCACCACCCCCTGCTCACACTCGACCACCATCCCCTGCTCACACTCGACCCCCGCACCCTGCTCACACTCGACCCCCGCACCCTGCTCACACTCGACCCCTGCACTCTGCTCACACTCGACCCCCGCACCCTGCTCACACTCGACCACCGCCCCCTGCTCACACTCGACCACCACCCCCTGCTCACACTCGACCCCTGCACCCTGCTCACACTCGAACCCCGCACCCTGCTCACACTGTGACACTAACACGGCCACCTGGCGAAAATCAAACCTAACTGCCCACCGGCAGATTTGGCTGGACCATGTCAAATCCTACTACCCCCCGCTCCGCCCTCACCGCCTGCTGCACAGAAACAGCTCTGGTCAAAGTGACAAATGACATTCTGTCCATCTGCGACCAGGGCTCCCTCTGCCTCCTTGTCCTCCTTGACCTCTCTGCTGCTTTTGACACCTATATCCTCATCCACCGCCTCTCCTCTCACCTCAACGGCTCTGTCCTTGACTGTTCAGATCGTACCTCTCACACTACCTGCACTTCATCTCCTCAAACGGCTTCTCCTCCAGCCCCCACCACCCTCTCGTGCGGCGTTCCTCAGGGCTCTGTCCTTGGTCCCTCCTCTTCAATATCTATATGCTCCTCTTGGTGACACCATCCGCAGACATGGGGTCAACTTCCACATGTATGACACCCAACTCTCCCTCTCTGCCTCCGCCCTCGACTCCAGGACCCACTGCTGTCCTGACAGAATGTCTGTCAGACATCAAGTCCTGGATGAGAGCGAACTTTCTCTAGTTGAACGTCAACAAGACCGAGGCTCCTGATTGACTCCCGTCAGCGCCTCCTCACCTCAGGCATCACCATCCATGGGGCTCACTCCACCTCACTGAGCCAGGCCCGAACCTTATAATAATAATAATAATAATAATCCTTGCATTTGATATAGCGCTTTTCACGTCGGGAGGACGTCCCAAAGCGCTTCACAGAATATACTGTAAAGTGAATTGACTGTATATTTGTGGGCGAACGCGGCAGCCAATTGCGCACAGCAATGTCCCACAAACAGTCGTAGATTGAAAATGACCAATTTATTATTGTTTTTGGTTTTGGAGGGTTATTATTAGGCTCTGTGTGGAGTAAGGAAACTTGCCCAAGGTTTCGCCCTCTGCCTGGAATTGAACTCAGGTCTCTCGCTTGCAAAGCGAGTGCTCTAACCACTGAGCTACAGGACTCCACAGGACTATTGTTTGACCCTCAACTATCCTTTCTACCCCAAATCTGCGCTATGACCCGCTCTGCCTTCCCCACCTCCGCAACATTGCCCAACTCCGCCACTGTTTCACACCATAGGCCCCCGAGACCCTCACACACGCCTTCATTACATCGAGGCTCGACTACGCAAACTCACTGCTTGTCGGCCTCCAACTCCTCCCTCCACATACTGCAGATCTTAACATAACATAACATGTAGGAGCAGGAGGAGGCCATTCAGCCCGTCGAGCCTGCCCCGCCATTCAATCATGGCTGATCTTCTAATCTAACTCCAGCTAATAACCTGACGCTGCCTTATCCCCATATCCCTTAATCCCTTTTGCAATAAGAAATCTATCTATCTCAGTCTTGAATATCTCATCCAGAACTCTGCAGCCCGTGTCCTTTCCTGCACCAGGCTCTTGACCCTATCACCCCCATCGTTGCCCGACTCCACTGGCTTCCCATCACACAGAGGATATAGTTCAAGATCCTGGTCCTCACCTTCAAAGCCCTCCACGGTCTTGCTCCCCCTACCTCTCTGACCTCCTAACACTCTACCACCCTGTTCGCTCCCTCCGCTCAGCGGACTCTGGGCTGCTTCACGTCCCCCACCTTGCTTATCGGTGGGTGGGCCTTCCGCCACTCTGCACCCACCTTTGGAGCTCCATCCCGCAGTCCCTCCGTCTCGCCCCCTTCAAAACCCACCTCAAGACCCTCCTCTTCGACCATGCTTTCGATCTCCCTGCTTCCTCCCCTGCCCTCCACCCTCCCCCACCCCGAGCCCCAGCTCAGGTCTGTAACTCTGTCTGCCTTGGGACGTCCTCCCAACATGAAAGGCGCTTTACATGTAATTTTGTGGATGGTGTTTGTTATTCGAATGTAATGCAGGGTTCCTTATGTTAGCAAGAATTCCACAGTATTCCCATCTCCATGCGGAGATAGAGTATTTCTTGTATTGTGAGTATTCTCTCTGGGGAGACACATCCTGCTTACCTAATTCCGGAGATTAGGCACAGGTTGGCCCGAGCTAAGGCTCGGGGACCCCAGAGTGTGCGTTGGAGTTGTTGAAGTCAACTTTAAGGATCCCGCGGTACAATTGGAAAAGAGAAGGGAGTTTCTCTCTCTCTCTCTCGCCGTCCTTGATCACTCACTTTGTTGCTGTTTGCAGGGATGTTGCTTTGTTGCCACAGTCAATATAGTCATTAATAATAATCCTTGCACTTGATACAGCCCCTTATCACATCTTCAAGATGTCTCAGTGCTTCACAGGGTATACTGTAAAGTGAATTGACTGTATATTTTGTGGGCGCAATGCGGCAGCCAATCACACACAGCAGTGCCCACAAACAGTTGTGGATTAAGTGACCGAATTATTACTTTTTTTGAAGGCATTATTACCCCCAGAAAAGCGATCTTCTAATCAACTAACAACTGGGTTCCTACTTAACTGTTAGGTTAATGGAGGAGTGTGAAGTAAGGAAACTTGCCCAATGTTTCGGCCGCCTGGGAATCAAACCCAAATCTCTTACTTACGAGGTGAGTGCTCTAAACACTGAGCTACAGGACTCCAATATACTTTATATACTATACTTTATAGTACCTTCTGTGAAGCTCTTTGAGACACCCTCCTAATGTGAAAAGTGCAACCTCACATACACGGAATATTATTATTATTATTATAAGATCTAATTAGCAGGTGGAACAAGGTGGGTGAGATGAATGACCTTCTGCTGGTCATCATTCTGACATGTTGGGTATGAGTCAGTGTTGAGGTTGGGCTGGGTGTTGGTGAGGTGGTGATGTGATTGGAAACTGCTTGAGCGCAGCCTGTAGTCCACGTGACATTAACTGTGAATCGGATGGAATGCAGGGTTTACGTAAGCAAGAATTCCATATATCCCATTTACACGAGGAAATACAGAGAGATTTATTGACCTGGACGCACGTATTCTCTCTGGAGGGACACATCCTGCTTCCTTCAATTCCGGAGAGTATTAGGCGCAGGTTGGCAAGAGCCATGGCTTGGGGACCCCAGAGTGTGTGTTCTGTTGTCAAATATGTGACCCTGAGGCCAGTTCATCTCCAAGAGACCCGGCTTACCCTCCCCTTGCCCAAGGAGGGCAATCACTAGACATCAGACAAGCGCTCGTTTGAGCAGAGATTTTGTGAAAAGAATTGTTTCCTAACCTCGGTGGGTGGCAGGTACCAGGAACTCCTGCGAGCTTGACACACGGAAATCTCCACGTGTCTGGAATGGAATGTGCACTCACTTCATTTGCGTTAATGTCTTCCCTCCCACCTCCCCCCGGGCTGACGTTAGTGTCTGTCCCGCAAGGGTGTGACATTGCTGTACAGTTCCCTCACTCCCTGCCTCCTTACATGGGGCCGTATATAATTAGAATACTTGTCTTCAAGACGTCTCAAAGCACTTCACAGGATATACTGTAAAGTGCAGTGACTGTATATCTTGTGTGTGGAACCCGGCAGCTAATCGTGCACTGCAGTGTCCCACAAACAGTTGTGAATTGAGGAACCAATTTTTTTTTATTTTTTTTTTGAAGGGATTATTATCCCTGGAAAAGCAATCCATCAATTGACTAACAGGGTTCCTACTCACTGCAGGTGAACAGAGGTGCGTGGGGTAAGGAACAGTGCCCAATGGGATTCGAACCCAGGTCCTCTCGTTTGCGAGGCGAGCGCTCGAACCACTGAGCTACAGTGAAGTATGTGCAGGAACGAACTGTGATCTGGTCTCAGGAGATACCAAAGGACAATTCACTGTATCAAATGATTGTATTTCTGCCAAACATGCAGTGGCACCCTGCCCCAAGGCCCTTGGCGATCACTGACTTACGCATTATAACACCTTGCCCAGCACGCGGGGAATGTCTTGACACGCACATGACTTCTGTGGTGAGTCCCACAGCCCCCTCCCTCCACACTGCCAGCGATTAAAACAATAGTAATCCTTGCATTTGATATAGCGCCTTTTCACATCTTTGCGATATCGCGTTTCACAAAATATACTGTAAACTGTAGTGACTGGGGATTTTGTAGGGAGGAGGCAGCTGATTGCGTATAGCAGTGTCCCACACGCAGTCGTAGATTGAGTGACCAAATTATATTCTTTCCCAGGGATTATTACCCCGCCACCCCCCAGGTGTTTAACAAATTATCCATGTGGTGTGGTGACGGGAGTGCCAAGACCACACAGCACGCCACCCACCCCCCCACCTAGCAATGCGTGCTGAGCCCACACACACACCCCCACACCGGCTAGGTGAGTTGCTCGGAAAAGACGATGCTGAGACAGTTGCTGGCGAGTGCGGGTTATGTTTATGTTTATGGTGGGGGTTAGGGTGAGGGGGGGGTTAGGGTTATACAGGCCGGGCTGCCGGTTGGTGGCTCAGCTGCTGCCCGCCTTCTTGCTGCTCTGAGAGCTGTCGCCCAGCAGCTTCCCCTTCAGGTGCTCCTTATAGGCCAGGATGTCCCCATTCCAGGCCGTGATCCTCTGCTTCTCACACACCCAGATCTCCTGGGCCACCTGGGGAAGACACCGTCACACCATGACCGTCACAGTCACACCATCACCGTCACACAATCACAGGCACACCATCACAGTCACCATCCCACCCCCCCACCAACACGCCAGCCCCCACCCGGAAGCCCAAGTCCCCGGCCCTCACCTGTTGGATAAGACGGAAGTCGTGGCTGACCAGCATCATTCCCCCCTCAAACTCGTTGATGGCGTCTGCGAGAGCGTCGATGGTCTCGATGTCCAGATGGTTTGTCGGCTCATCCAGGAACAGCATGTGTGGGTTCTGCCAGGCCAGCCACGCAAAGCACACACGGCACTTCTGCCCGTCGGATAGGTTCCTAATAGGGCTCACCTAGCGATCGAGAGAGAGAGGGTCGGGCGTGGGGAGAAAGAGAGAGAGGGTCGGGCATGGGGGGAGAGAGGGTCAGACATGGGGGGAGAGAGAGAGAGAGAGGGTCAGGTGTGGGGGGGGGGAGAGAGAGAGAGAGAGGGTCAGGTGTGGGGGGGGGGAGAGAGAGAGAGGGTCAGATGTGGGTAGACGAGCCCACGCACAGGCAAGCATACAGCTGATTGCCTGACATTTGACACCACAGCTCCCCTACCCGCTGTGTGCCTGTACCCACTGTGTGCCTGTACCCATTGGTTGCCTGTACCCGCCGTGTGCCTGTACCCGCTGTGTACCTGTACCCACTGGTTGCCTGTACCCTCTGTGTGCCTGTACCTGCTGTTTGCCTGACAGCCCGTAGCGCCCGATGATTTTGCGCATCTCCTCCTTCTCCTTGATATCAGGATAACATTTCATCATGTACTCCAGCGGCGACAGGTCCAGGTCCAACTGGTCCTGTAAATGCTGTGAGGAGAGGAACACGCCATTAACACAAGTGTAGTAGAGCCACACACCATTAACACATGTGTGAAAGACACCATTAACATACATGTAGGAGGAACACACCATTAAAACATGTGGGAAAGCAACACACCAATAATACGTGCAGGAGAGCAACATGCCTTTAACACACATGTGGGAGAGCAAGACATCATTAACACACGTGTGGAGCAGGGATTACAAAGAGGAGCACACAATGTGGAGCAGGGTTACAGGGAGAGGCACACGTAATTAACACACGAGGTAGGGATTGCTGGGAATTAATTACCTGATGGTATCGTCCAATCTTGACGTGTGAATGCTTCCGGATCATTCCGTCACATGGAAGAAGCTGTAAGACACCCAGATTGTCAGTCAGTCTCCCCACACAGCCCCCACCCACCCCCACACACACATTCTCTCCCCCTTCACACACACATTGCACCCCCCCCACCCCCCACACTCCCCACTTCACACACACTCTCCCTCAACACCCCCAGACCCACTTCCCCCTCACACCACCCACCCGCCCCCACCAACCCAATCCCTGGTCACTCACGTCCCCGGCGAGCAGTTTGAGGAGAGTTGACTTCCCGGCTCCGTTGGGCCCCACCAGAGCCACCCTGGTGTCCAGATCAATACCAAACTCCAGATTCCGATAAATTAACGGCTGTAAGACATTATACATCAGAGTCATTCCTGCTCCCCCTCCCACCTCCCCCCAAACCCTGTCGAGTATTGTATCTTAGTGGTTAGAGCACTGGGTTTGATTCCCGGGCAGGGCAAAACATTGGGCAAGTTTCCTTACTCCCCACGCCTCTGTTTACCAGCAGTAAATAGGAACCCAGTTGTTAGGTGGTTCGTGGATCACTTTTCCGAGGGCAATAATCCTTCCAAAAAAATAATAATTTGGTCACTCAATCCACGGCTGTTTGTGGGACGCTGCTGTGTGCAATTGGCTGCCACATTTCGCCCACAAAACATACAGTCAATCCACTTTTACAGTGTATCCCGTGAAGAGCTTTGAGACGTCTCGAAGACGTGATCAGGCGCTGTGTCAAACGCAAGGATTATTATTAACACACCTCAGTTGGTGTGTGAGCTGGGGGCGGGAGGGTGGTGTCGATGCCCTCTAACATTCGCAGTTCCTTGTGACTCTGCTACCCAAAGCCCTAAAAGGCTGGGTGGCCCACACAGTGGGAAGCTTGCCAGGCAGCGCTCTCAATGCCAAGTGGTAATGTTATAGAGAGAAAGAATGTCTCTCCAGGGAGGGGCGGGGGAGAGAGAGAGAGAGAGAGAGAGAGAGCACGTCTCTCCAGGGGGAGACAAAGAGAGACCCCGCCACCACCCCCCACTCACCCCGTCCTTGTTGTATTTGAAGCTGACGTTCTGCACCATGATGACAGGAGGTGGGATCTTCCCACAGGCTGGGAAACAGAAGGTCAGCGTCTGCACAGAGGAGAGTCATCACTCACAGCCCCCACCATAACACAACCCCCCCCCCCCCCGCAACACAGCCCCCACCGTAACACAACCACCCGCCCTCCCCCCACCACCCAACCCAGCTCCCACCGTGACACAACCCCCACCCTCCCCAATACAGCCCCTACCCTCACACAGCCCCCAGCCCCGCTCCCTCAGACAGCCCCCACCCCAGCTTCACTCCCTCACACGTCCTGCACCCTCACACAGCGCCACCCCCCCCCACCCGTGCCCTGTCTGAGCATACACACCTTGTCACTGACCACTTTCTCAGTCAGTCCCGACGCCATCATCTTCTGCAGGGTTTTCTCTTTGCTCTGAGCCTGACGAGCCAGTTTAGCACTGCCGTGCCCAAAGCGGGCAATGTAGTTCTGCAAGGCACAGCGGTGATTAGCCAGAACCCCAGACAGCCCCCACCCCCCATATAGCATGCCCCCACACACACAGCCCCCCAACCTCACACAGCAACGTCTCCCATACACAGTAACACCCCCCCACCCCACACACACAGCCCCCACCCCACCTCAACACTGCCCCTTCAACTCACACAGCTCCCAACACAGCCTCCCCCACTTCAAACCCCACTCCACCCACAGCACCCCCCCCGCCCACCTTCATGTGTGAGATCTGGTCCTGTTCCCAGTTGAATCGTTTCATCTGATTCTCCTCCAGCTCCACCCGGGTCTTCACGTACTGGTCATAGTTTCCCTGTAACACACACAGCGCAGTCAGTCACCACAGGGTTAACCTGTCACACAGACAGTCACCATAGGGTTAATCTTACACGCAGACAATCACTACAGGGTTCACCTGTCACACACACACACGTCACCACAGGGTTAACCTGCCACACACAACAACAAGATTACATTTGTACAGTGCCTTTCACATCGGGAGGACGTCCCAAGGCGCTGGACAGTGTACAGCATTTCAGACCTGAGCTGGGGTCAGGGGGGAAGAAGGGCTAAGACACATGTGGGCTGAGGGAAAGAGAGAGACACAAACACACATGGGCTCAAAGAGACACACAGAGGGGCTGAGAGAGAGACACACACAGGCACACACGGGCTCAAAGAGACATACATACAAAGGCTAAAAGACCCACACAGAGGGGCTTAGACACACACACACACAGAGGCTGAGAGACGCACAGACAGATAGACACGGGGGCTGGGAGCTCCGAGGGGGTGAGTGTGGTTGGAGGGGAGGGGCACTGACCGTGTAGTTCTTGAGTTTGCGGTTGTGCAGGTGAATAATGTTGTTGCAGACGCCATTGAGAAAGTCCTGGGAGTGAGAGACAAGGACCAGGATCCTGCAGAACCTGGGGAGACAGAGAGGTTTGGGTGTGAGTGAGTGAGTGAGTGAGTGAGTGAGTGAGTGAGTGAGTGAGTGAGTGAGCGAGCGAGCGAGCGAGCGAGCGAGCGAGCGAGCGAGCGAGCGAGCGAGCGAGCGAGTGAGAAATAAGCCTTACATCTGAAATCATGCCTTTCTTGCCAGGAGGATCTCATGGTGCTTCAAAGACTATACTGTACTGTAAGGGTATAGTGACTTTAAGCATTCCTGGATGCTATCCCGCTTGAAGGGCAAGCTCTTCTTGTTCACTGTGTATTTGTAGGGGAACAGAGCAGCCAATTTGGACACAGCAACATCCTACAAACAGCCACAAGGGGGTGACCAACTTTATTTGAGGGATTGTGACAGAACACTGGGAGAGAGAAACATTCGAAGGCTTGAAGATCAGCCAAACACCAGGATTGTGGAGCCCTGTAGCTCAGTGATGAGAGCACTCGCCTCGCAAGCGAGAGCCCCTGGGTTTGCTTCCCAGCAGGGCAAAATGTTAGGTTTCCGTACTTAGGGTTAGCGTACTCCACACACATCTGTTTACCGAGCAGTAAGTAGGAACCTGGCTGTTAGTTAATTGGCCGATCACTTTCCAGGGGTATAACTCCATTCAAATATATATATAAATAATTTAAAATATAATTATTTGGTCACTCAATCCAAGACTGTGTGTGGGACACTGCTGTGCGCAGTTGGCTGCCGCATTTCACCCACAAAATACACAATCACCCCACTTTACAGTATATCCTGTGAAACAACATAAGGCACTATACCAAATGCATGGATTATTACAAACACCCTCTGCTAAAACACACGCACGTGTGTGTTTCACTCTCTCTGTCTACAAGTGTGTCTCTCTCTATCTGTTTCTGTGTCTCTGTTTTTATGTGAGTGTATGTCTGTGAATGTATGTGTCTGCATTTGCGAGTGTGTGTCTGTGAGTGTGTCTCTCCCTGTCAGTGTGTCTGCATCTGTGAGTCTGCATCTCTGGGAGTGTATGTCTCTCTCTTTGTCTGTGAGTATGTGTGTGTCTGTGACTTTGCATTCGTCGCTCTCTCTCTGTGAATGTGTGTCCTTGCATATGCACATGTTGTCTTTGTGTGTGTGTGTCTCTCTCTGTCCGAGTTTGTGTGTGTAAATGTCTCTCTCCGAAACCCAGCAGCCAATTGCACACAGCAGGGTCCCACAAACAGTCATGGATTGAGTGACCAAATTATTATTTTTTACAGGAGGAATTATTACCCCCAGAAAGCGATCCGCCAATAGATTAACAACCGGGTTCCTACTTACTGCTGGCTAAACAGAGGCGTGTGGAGTAAGGAAACGTGCCTAAAGTTTTGCCCTGCCCGGGAATCGAACCCAAGTCCTCTTGCTTGTGAGGCGAGTGCTGTAACCACTACAGTAGGGGACGCCGCATAGTGTTTGTTTCTAGCGGAGGCGGTGTGTTTTTAGCGGAGAGCATATGCTTCAGCAGAATCTGCGGTAAAACGGGGCAAATTTTCTATTGCCCCAACTCATGGCCTTACACATCCCATACAACAACAACAACATTTCATTTATAGAGCGCCTTTCATAGCCTCAGCCCCACTGTACAATGGCTCCACCTGGTGTATGAGAGGCAGCAGCATGGCGCAGGCACGTCACAGTGAGGACTGGAATGTACAGCACTTTGAAGGGAAAGTAAGTGTTGAGAATTCAGATGTGATTCTTTAACACACTCCTCCTCACTGGCCCCAAGTTCCCACGCGCACAGGCACAGCTATTCCAAACCTCCGCACCCATATTCTCACCCGCATCACACCGAGTGTGAGTGTGCCTGTCTGTCTGTGTGTGTCTGTGGTGTGTGAGTGGTGTCAGTGAGTGACAGGCTGAGTGACGACACTCACGATTTGAGCTCCTCCTCCAGCCACACGCAGGCGTCCAGATCCAGGTGGTTTGTCGGCTCATCCAACAGCAGCATGAAGGGCCGTATAAACAGCGCCCTGTAACACAGTCACTACAGTCACCACACTATCACACAGCCCTGTCACAGAGTGCCTGATTGAGTAACTACACTCACATACAGCTACGTTAAGTTACACTAAAAGAAAAACAAGCGATGGAATAGAGCCACTGAAGGTGGGTGCAAGGAGAGGGTATGACAAATAATACTGCACAAGCTTCAATGTGCTAAATACATTTTTGCATCAGTTTTTACTAAGGTGGAGACGGGTAACCTATCCGATCTGGAAAGAGAATTCAAGGACGTTGCAGAGGAAAGTTCTGACACTATTCATATCATACCAGCGTGGTGGCCAAACAACTGTGTAAACTTCAGGTAAGTTTGTGGGTCCATTGTGGGTAAAATTATGGAGACTCTTATTACGGATAAAATCACGGATCACATGGACAGATATAAAACCATAAATGATAGAGAGTATGGGTTCATGAAGGGGAGATCTTGCCAATCTCATTTACTGTTTTTCTTTGACGGTGTGACAAGGGAGTTTGTTAAGGGTAAGGCTGTGGTTGTTGTATATCTGGATGTCAGTAAGGCCTTTGATACAGTTCCTCTTGAGAGGTTGGTACTGAAAGTAAAGAAAGTAGGAATCAGATGGTACGGGGAATGTCATCAGACTGGGAAAATGTTACCAGTGGAGTTCCACAGGGGTCTCTTTTGGGACCTCTTTTGTTTAATATTTTTGTAAGTGATCTGGAACTCGGGGTCACAAGCACAGTGGCCAAGTTTGCAGATGACACCGAGCTAATGAAGGTGGAAGACTGCGAAGCTGAACCAGAGAGGTTACAGGAGGATTTGAACATAGTTGGGAATTGGGCAGATCGGTGGCAGATGAAATTCAATGTGGAGAAATGTAAAGTACTTCACATGGGAACAAAACATCCTGGAAGGGATTATTATTTGAACAGAAAGAAAATAATATGTATGGAAAACGAAAAGGACCTGGAGGTCCTGATTGACAATACATTGAAGCTCTCCCAACAATGCTCTGTGGCAGTGAGCAAAGCAAACCGGATGCTGGGATGTATCAAAAGATCAATGGCAGCTAAAATAGCGGGGTAATCCTGCCACTGTATAGATCATTGGTAACAACAAAATTACATGTGTAAAGCTCCTTTCACGTCGGGAGGACGTCCCAAGGTGCTGGATAGACAAGAGTTTCGGACCAAGCTGGGGGTTGGGATCGGGGAGGGTGGAGGGCGGGAGGGGAAACAGGGAGATCGAAAGCACAGTCGAAGAGGTCTTGAGATGGGTTTTGAAGGAGGCAAGGGAGGGGGCGAGACAGAGGGACTGTGGGATGGGGTTTCAGAGGGTGTGGGCAAAGTGGCAGAACGCCCGCCTGCCAATAGTGGGGCAAGCAAGGCAGGGGACATGAAGCAGCCCGCTGAGCGGAGGGAGTGAGCAGAATGGTAGGGGGTTAGGAGGTCGCAGAGGTAGGGGGGAGCAAGACCTTGGAGGGCTTTGAAGGTGAGGACCAGGATCTTGAACTGTATCCTCTGTGTGACGGGAAGCCACTGGAGTCGGGCGAGGATGGGGGTGATAGGGTCACGGAGCCTGGTGCAGGAGAGAATTGCAGAATTCTGGATGATCTGCAGCCGATGGAGGTAGGAGGTGGGAAGGCTGACAAGCAGTGAGTTTGCATAGTCAAGCTTCGATGTAATGAAAGTGTGTATAAGGGTTTTGGCGGCCTGCAGTGCGGACAGTATCGGAGCCGGGCGATGTTGCGGAGATGGGGAAGGCAGAGCTGGTCATGACTCAGATGTGGGGTAGAAAGGATAGTTGAGGGTCAAACAAGACCCCAAGGTTCGGGACTGGCTCAGTGAGGGGGAGTGAGCCCCATGGATGGTGATGCTGTCAGTGCCTGAGGTGAGGAGGCGCTGACGGGAGTCAATCAGGAGAACCTCGGTCTTGTTGACGCTCAACTGAAGAAAATTAGCTCTCATCCAGGACTTGATGTCTGACAGATATTCTGAGATTGGTGGTACCATACTTAGAGACTCTACAGTTCTGGTCACTGCAGTACAAAAAGGAAATGGGAGAAATCGAGAATATATAGAGGAGGGCAACCAAAATGATTGAGGGAATGAGGGACTGGACTGTGAGGAGCGACTCAGTAAATTGTGTATGTTCACACTGAAAGGGAGAAGATTGAGAGGTGACACGATTGCTGTCTTTAAGATTCTAAAGCAGCAAAACAATATAGATCACGACAGGCTGACAACTTGTCCAGAATAGTGAAACCAGAGGCCACGGCCTGCGATTGAAGAGGGTAAATGCAGAACAAATCTATGCAAATACTATTTCAGTGAGCGAATAGTGACCCTGTGGACCAGGCTCCCGGGGAGACGGTTGAAGCAGGAAATGTTGATTCTCTCAAACACAGATTAGATAGTTTTCTTTTAGGAAATAACATTATGGGAAACAGTACATAGGGAGATCAGGTCATATGTGCATGCGACCACCAGGAAGGTGAACTGGATGGACCTAGGTCTTTCTTTCGTCTAGCATTTCTTATATTCTTATACAGCCTTGTCACACACAGTCACTACATTGCCACAAACCCTGTAACACACAGTCACTACACTGACACATAGTCGTCACACAGAGAGTGTGACTGACAGTCATTACACTGTACCTGGCCAGAGCTACGCGCATTCGCCAGCCCCCGCTGAAGTCCTTCATCTTCTTCCACTGCATGGCAGGAGTGAAGCCCAGGCCATACAGGATCCTACTCGCTCGCACCTCAGCCTTGTCAGCATCCAACTCCTCCAGCCGCTCGTATATCTGTAACAACTTCTCACACTCCGCTAGGCACAGAGAGAGAGAGAGTGTGTGAGAGAGAGAAAAACAACTCCTCGAGCCGCTCGTATATCTGTAACAACTTCTCACACACCACCAGAGAGAGAGAGTGAACGGGGAGAGAAAGGGAGTATGTGACTACGTGCGGAGAGAGACGGCAGAGACACAGGTGTGTGCGCAGGAGGAGTGTGTGTGTGTTTGGAGCAGGGGTGTTTTGTTGTGGTGTGTGGGGTGTGCATGTGAGAGGAGAGGCTGTGTGTGTGTGGGGGTGGTGGTGGGTATGCATGGGGAGAGGCTATGTGTGGTGTGGGTGTGTTTGCATGTGGGGAGAGGCTGTATGTGCGGTGTGTGTATGGGGAGAGCCTGTGTGTGCAGGGAGTGTGTGTGTGTGTGTATGCGCCAGCGGAGTGTGTGTAGTATGTGTATGGGGAGAGCTTGTATGTATGTGTGTGGGTGGTGTATGTGGTGTCTGTGTGTGCGCATGATGTCTGTGTGTATAGTGTCTGTGATTGTTGTGTCTGTGTGTGTTGAGTGTGTGTGTGTGCCCGTCTGTGGTTGGCGCGCGCGTGTGGGAGCCTGTGGTTGGCACGCGGGTGGGCATCTGTGATTGGCACGTACGGGTCTGTGATGGGTGCACGCGTGTGCGTCAGTGGTGCGCGCATGTGTGCGTCAGTGGTGTGAGGGTGTCTCTCTGTGGTGTGCGTCTGTGGTGTGCATATGTGTCTGTGCTGTGCGCGTGTGTGTCTGTGGTGTGTGTGTGTCTGTGGTAGTGTGTGCGTCAGTGGTGTGCGTGTGTCTCTCTGGTGTGCGTCTGTGGTGTGCGTCTGTGGTGTGCGCGTGTGTGTCTGTGGTAGTGTGTGCGTCTGTGGTGTGCGTGTGTCTCTCTGTAGTGTGTGTGTGTCTGTGGTGTGTGTGTCTGTGGCGTGCGCGTGTGTGTGTGGCATGCGCGTGTCTCCATGGCGTGCGTCTCTGTGGGTGTGATGTGTGGAGCTGCTGTGAGCTGATATTTACAGTCCTCGTGTGCCAGTCGCTCAGCCTCCTTCTCCAGCTCCACGCGTTCCTTGTCCACCTCCATCACACAGGCCAGCGGCGTCTTCTCACTGGGAGCCATCTCCCTCGTCAGGTGGTAAATGTCAATGTGATCCGGGATAGGCAGCTCCCGATTCCCCAGTGCTGACAGCAGCATGGACTTCCCTGTGACACAGGCCGTCAGTCACACACACACACACACACACACACACACACACAGCATCCGTCAGTCACTACATACACACACACACAGTGTCTGTCAGTCGCTACACACACACACACTTACAGTGCCCGTCAGACACTATCCACACTCACAGCATCCGTCAGTCACTGCACACACAAACACAGCATCTGCCAGTCACTACACCCACACACAGCGTTCGTCAGTCACTACACACACACACACACAAACACCACACACACAGGGCCTGTCAGTCAGTCAGTCAGTCAGTCGGCAGTGACGTTACAGAGCGAGGCTTAGCGAGCAGCACTTACCGGTCCCGTTGAGGCCGAGGAGGCCATAGCGCCGGCCGGTGTTGAGCTCGAGCTTGGTGTCGCTCAGCAGCTCCTGGCCGTGAAAGGTCAAGGACAAGTTGATGATGTGGACGTCAGTGCTGTTGGGATGTGAGGCCAGGACCCCAGTCACTGCCCGTGCAGCAGCTTTCTTCAGCTCAAACTCATTCAAGTCCACAGTGATCTGTGCTAAGGCTGTAACACACACAGTCATCAGCACACACACACTGCACTGCCATCAGCACACACCCACCCACACTGCCATCAGCACACACACCCCCACACACTGCCATCAACACACCCACACACTGCCATCTGCACACCCACACACTGCCATCAGCACACGCACATCCACACACTGCCATCAGCACACACACACACTGCCATCAACACACCCACACACTGCCATCAACACACCCACACACTGCCATCAACACACCCACACACTGCCATCAACACACCCACACACTGCCATCAGCACACACACACACTGCCATCAGCACACACACACACACACTGCCATCAGCACACACACACTGCCATCAGCACACACACACACTGCCATCAGCACACACACACACTGCCATCAGCACACACACACACTGCCATCAACACACCCACACACTGCCATCAACACACCCACACACTGCCATCAGCACACGCACATCCACACACTGCCATCAGCACACACACACACTGCCGTCAGCACACACATACACTGCCATCTGCACACCCACACACTGCCATCAACACACCCACACACTGCCATCAACACACCCACACACTGCCATCAACACACACACACTGCCATCAGCACACACACACACTGCCATCAACACACACACACACTGCCATCAACACACCCACACACTGCCATCAACACACACACACACTGCCATCAACACACCCACACACTGCCATCAACACACACACACTGCCATCAGCACACACACACACTGCCATCAGCACACACACACACTGCCATCTGCACACACACACCCACACACTGCCATCAACACACCCACACACTGCCATCTGCACACACACACCCACACACTGCCATCAACAAACCCACACACTGCCATCAACACACCCACACACTGCCATCAACACACCCACACACTGCCATCAACACACCCACACACTGCCATCAACACACACACACTGCCATCACACACACACCCACACACTGCCATCAGCACACACACACACTGCCGTCAGCACACACACACACTGCCATCACACACCCACACACTGCCATCAGCACACACATACACACACACAGCCGTCAGCACACACACACACTGCCGTCAGCACACACACACACTGCCGTCAGCACACACACACACTGCCATCAGCACACACACACACATACCCACACACTGCCATCAGCACGGAATACGCACTGCCATCAGGAGAGGGTAGAGAAGCTAGGAGTATTCTTCTTGGAGCAGAGAAAGTTAAGTTAAATTATGAAGGGATTCGATAGGGTGAACAATGAGAAACTATTCCCACTGGGAGGTGGGTCGGTAACCCGAGGACACTGATTTAAAATAGTTACCAAAAGAACCAGAGGAGGTGAGGAGAAATGTTTTCACACAGTGAGCTGTTTGGATCTGGAATGCGTTGCCTGAAAGGCTGGTGGAAGCTGATTCAATAACAACTTTCAAGAGAGAAGTAGATACGTATTTGGGGAGGACAAATTTGCAGGGCTATGGGGAGAGAGAGGGGAAGTGGACAAGGATTTTGAACTCTATCCTCTGAGGGGTGGGGAGCCAGGGATCCGGGCGAGGGTGGGGGTGATGGGGACTCAGAGCCTGGTGAGGGAGAGGACACAAAGCTGCAGAGTTCTGGATGAGTTCTGGGGGGAAGAGTTGGGAAGGCCGACAAGTCATTACACGTGCATAATGACTTAGGATACTGTTGTATACCTGTGCAGTGAACGAGGGTACGTGTGCGCAGTGACTGAGGGTACAGTGACTGTGGAACACATGTGTGTAGTGACTGTGGGACACGTGTGCAGTGACAAACCTGCATCAGTGGCAGTGCCGTTTGTCTGTGTGACTGAATTCTCCACCTCCTCAGCACCGACATCGCCGTTCTCATCAACCGCCTTCGGCTTACGTCCACGAGACTTCGCAGCCTCCTTCCTCTTGGCGGCCTTCTTCTTAGCCATATCTGACGGCATGGCTTCAGAGAGAGCTTCACACACAGCAACAGGGAGTGGAGAGAGCTTCACACACAGCAAGAGGACTCTGGGGAATAAAGCAGGTCAGAGAGTTACTGTACTGAACAATGACTGGAGAACAGTACAATACAAAATTACATTTACACAGCGCCTTTCACGTAGGGAGGAAGCCCCAGGGCACTGGAGCAGACGGGGATTTGGACCTGAGCTGGGGGGAGGGTTTGGGATCAGGGAGGGTGGAGGGCAGGGAGGTGACCGAAGGCGTGATTGAACAGGAGGGTCTTGAGATGAGCCTTGAAGCAGACAAGGGAGAGGACGAGGTGAAGGGAATGTGGGTTGGAGTTCCAAAAGGGGCAGAAAGGCTGAAGATCTGATCACCTGTGGTGGTCAAGCAGGGAGTTGGCATACTTCGAGCCTAGATGTGATGAATGCGTGAATGAGGGTTTCAGCTATCCGAGTGGTGAGGCAGTGGCAGTGATGCAGAGGGCAGAGCGAGTCATGGCACAGATGTGGGATAGAAGGGACAGTTGAGGGTCAAACAAGTTGCCGAGGTTCCAAACTGGATGAAAGACGACAATTACGTGGAGAGACTGGAGTTATTCTCTTTAGAGCAGAGAAGGTTAAGGGGAGATTTAATAGAGATGTTCAAAATTATGAACGATTTTGATGGAGTAGATAAGGAGAAACTGTGTCCTCTGGTGGGTGGGTTGATAACCAGACGACACAGATTTAATATAATTGGCAAAAGAACTAGTGGGGAGACAAGGAGAACACTTGTTACCCCAGAGAGTTGTTGCGGCTTGGACTGCACTGCCTGAAAGAGTGGTGGAAACAGATTCAATAGTATCTTTCGAAAGGGAATTGGATAGGTTCTTAAAAAGGAAAAGATTGCAAGGCTGTGGGGTAAGAGCGGGGGAGTGGGACTAGATGGTAGCTCTTTCAAAGACTTGGCACAGGCCCGATGCACGATGCCTCCTTCTGTGCTGTAAGATTCTAAATACAAGGTACTGCATACAGGAAGTAAGACTGATAAACACAAGAAGGGATAGTACTGGTAAGGGGGAAGCTGAGAGAGGTCTAGGGGTGTTAGTTAGTTGACTCATCGCTCACCACATCAAAGTGGCAACAACGCACACGCAAACAGGAAGCTGGGCTGCCTTGCAAAATCAGTTTGAGTCCAGATCCACAGATGTCACACTCAAACTGTACGGTGCTCTGATCAGGGCAAATCCGGAGTACAGTACATTCATCACCACTTGAATGATACCACGGTTTAAGGGATTCAATTATGAGGACAGGCTGCATAAACTTGGGTCTCCATTCCCTTGAGTTCAGAAGGTTGAGGCCTGATCTGATTGAGTGTTTAGAATAATAAAGGGATTTGATAAGGCAGCTACAGAGAAACTGTTTTCTCTGGTGGGGGAATCCAGAACAAAGGGGTATAATTAGAACCAGGCCACTTCGGAGTGAAATCAGGAGGTAGTTTTTCACTCTCTTCTCGAGTCCCCCCCAGTCTGGTTTCCGCCCTGCGAATGGGCTACCACTGTTCCTTAATATGTTTGTTTCTGTGACATAAAATGGTTGTCCAAGCTGCAGAGGAGGTGCATAGAACAACAAACATGATCCTTAGTGACAAGTTGAGGTTTTAGCTGGTTAGACTCCAGAACTTACCCCATAAGTACTGGAGGAAGAGGAGGGGGCCAAGTGTGGAGCCCTGGGGTGCACCACAGCTGACCGGGTGGGGGCAGGAGGATAAACAGTTTTTTTTAGGTAGGACTCGAACCAGGCTAATAATGTGTTCCCTTTAAGGCGGATGAGGGAGGAGAGGCGGTGGATGAGGATGGTGTGGTTGACTGTATCGAACGAGGCGGAGAAGTCCGGGAGGATGAGGAGGCAGAGGAAGCCCTGGTCACAGCATTTGTGACCTTGACAGGCGCAGGCTCTGTGCAATGGGTACACTCTGGGTGCCCCAAGCCTCATCTCATGTCAACCAGCATCTAACATCCTCTGGAATTAGGTCAGTGGGGAGAGAGTGTGCATTCCATTTCACACACAGGGAAATTCCCATGTGTAAGTGGAAAATATAAGTGGAACTCTCAACCTGGTTTGGTTTGGGCACAGTGACGGGTTTCCACATGTGTCAGAGACCCAGCTAACCAAAACAAAATGGCCAGTGATAGAGGGATGAGGTACAAGTAACCATTAGATTAGGGCTTTTCAGGCTTTAAAGGAAGCATCTCAGAGGAGACAGTAGAATGAGAGGACATGGGTTTAGATTTGGAAAGAGTGATTTCAGGGCAGACACGAGAAAGGTTTTCTTTACCCAGAGGTGGACAGAAGTTTGTTAGGTCAGGGTATCAAGGCATAATGGGGCATGAGCAGGTAATTAGAATTGAGGTACAGATCAGCCATCTTTTAGAATGGTGGAACAGGCTCAAGGGGCTGAATGGCCTTCGCCTGTTCCTGTTGGCACAGAGATGTCTCCCGCAAACACCATGAAGTAAGCGAGTTATTGTATCGGGGGGATTGTCGGCCTGGAGAGAGAAAGAAACTCCCTCGTTTCGCCCACAAAATATACAGGCATTACACTTTACAGAATACTCTGAGAAGCGCTTTGAGAAGTCTCAACAATGTGATAAGGTGCCATATCAAATGCAAGGACTATTATTCTCTCCCCCACCCAAACACACAGACCGCATCGGGGGATCTTTAACGACCGTCCTGAACAGGGCACAAATGGGGAGGTTTAACATCTCATCCGAAGGATGGCATCTCCAGCAATGTGGCGCTCTCTTCCCCTCCGCTATCCCAGCGCTGGACTGACAATAATGACCTGTGTTTATATGGAGCTCCTCAGGTAGGAGAGCATCTCAAGAGTGCCGCTGTGAGCCTGGACCTCCATCTCAAAGTCCCTAACGTGGGGCTTGAACCCACAACCTTCAGACGAGAGTGTGACTGACCGAGTCAGGGCTGACCTTTAGTGTGGATGGAGGGGATCTGACCTTATTCCTCCAGAATCGTTCTGCCCGTCTCCCCTCCAATCGCAATAACGAGATTTGTTTTATTGACTGCTGTGTTCACCCATAAAACACACAGTCACTACACCGTGCGGTAAGTGCTGAAAGGGCGGATTGTGAAGCTGTGACCATTTGATGTGGGTGTAGTGCAGTGACTAAGCCGCTGGTGATGGCGGAGTGTGAGCTGGCGGGGCTCAGGCCCGAGAGCAGCTAATGGCCGCCCCCCCCGAGCCCCGGGGAAGGACAGGCCGCGGTCTTCATGTGTGTGTGTGTGGGGGGGGGGGTCACTGACCTGGGCCTGGGTGTCTGGAGTCGGAGCCGCGGCCTCTTCTCTCTCTCTCTCTCTCTCCCCCTCCTCGTGCCGACCACACCGACTGAACTGCCTGACTGAGCGACCGGCTCCTGCGCGCCCAACAGTCATGCGCGCATTTCGCCGGCACGGAAGCGGAAGCCGCGGCGCCCCCTGGGAGCTGTGGTACTCACGGTGGCTGCCCTGAACGGCCCCACGCAGTGACGCTGGTCCCGCGGCACTACAACTCCCAGGAGGCAGCGCGCGGCCGGCGCCGGCCGGTGCTTTTCAAAAGGAAACGACTGGGTGAGAGGCCGGACGAGCACGTGACGGTGAGCCGCGCGAGGCAGGGCGGGAATTGTAGTCCTCCCCCCTCCGCTGGTGGGCAGCCGCTTTTCCCACAGCTTCACGCACTACATGTCCCACATTGCAACGCGGGGCCCTTCTCGCCAACGCTTTTTTATTCTTGAAACTAATTCATTGATTTGTTGATGGATTGTAAAGGATCTCAGAGCAGCTGTTTATTTTGTGTTGCGTTGATGGCTGACCTGGGTGTGAGTGGTGCCGGTGGTTGGGAGGGAGGGGGGGAACAGATGACCACAGGCTGCCGCGCTGCACTCTGGGAGATGTAGTCTGCACGCCACGACGCCTTCATGTGTTACGTTGCGCGCTGACGTCAACGCCGTTCAGAACCGCAGAGCTGAGAGTGCGCCGCACGTGACCTCGCTCAGCCTCAGCTCCACAGCGCGCGACAGCAACCGCGAGCGTCATTAACAGTAATGTGGTGTGTGTGTGTGTGTGACAGGTGCACAGGTCTGTGTGACGTACGCACCCCCTTGTGTGTGACGCACACACTCCCACGCACGCTTGCGCGGCCCTCATCACGTGATGCGGGCGATGCGGTGTCTCCTGAGCCTCAGCCTCCGGAGCCGCGGTTCCCGCCGCCTCCACCTCCCGCTGCCGTTGGCCCGGGCGGCCCCGGGACTGGGCCCGGCCCCGGCCAGTCAGCGGCTCGCGGGCCAGGGTCCCCGCTCCCGCCGCTCCCGCCCCGTGGCCGCCCCCGCGCTCGCCCTGGGTAAGAGCAGCATTAGCCCACAGTAATATATTAGCATCAGGAGCATCGGCCCTCAACAACAACAACAACACAAACCCCCCCCCCCCCCCGCGGCCTTTCATACAGCGCCTCATCACGGCTTCCAGACGTCGCAAAGCGCTTCACAGGATACACTGTAGAGTGGAGTGACCGCACTCTTGTCTGAGGGGTTTGTGTGTGCGGGTGGGGACACGGTCGGGTGACGGGTCTGCGTCCGTGTCCGTGACCCCCGACTGGACAAAAAGATCCAACAAACGGCCCTCACTCCCGCCGCGGGGTCGGGGGGCGGTGGGTTCGAGCCCCACACGTCGGGGGGGGTCTGAGCTCACAGTCCAGGCTGAGGCTCCAGCCCAGCGCCGGGGGGGGGGGGGGAGGGGGGGGGGTCAGAGACCCCGTCCTTCAGATGAGACGTTAAACCTCACTCCCCGTCTGTGCTCTGTTCAGGCGGACGTTAAGAGAAGGGACTTTCTCTCTCTCTCTCTCTCCCGGTGTCCGGGCCGACAATCCCCGGATACAGTCACTCACTCACCTCACGGCTGTTTGTGGGATGTTTGGTACCCAAATTGGCTGCTACGTTCATCTATAAAACATACAGTCACTACACTTTACTGTGAGTCCTGTGAAGTACCCACATCCTTTGGAACTCCATCCCACATTTCCTTTGCCTGGCTCCCTCCCTCGCCTCCTTAAAGGCCCGGCTCAAGACCTTCCTCTTTGACCACGCCCTTGGCCACCCTCCTACTCCTACCCTCTCCGCCCTCCTCCCCCCGATCCCAACCCACAGCTCAGGTCCAAATCCCTGATTGCCCAGTGCCTTGGGACATCCTCCCGACGTGAAAGGCCGTTGTGTAAATGTTATTTGTTGTTGTTGTTAGTATCTGGTGTGTGTGTGGGGGGGGGGTCCTGTAGGCAGTGAGAATCATGTTGGATCCCTTGTTGCAGTGTTTGCAGCTGCTGCTAAACTGCAGATGGAGGAGGAGAATCCCGAGGACAGGATTGTGTTTCTTATTAAAAAAGCCAAGGTTTGTGCCCACAGCCTCGTCTCCATCACCAGCCGCAGTGTGAGGGGCCGGGAAGGGGGGTACGTCTCTATTAAACCCCACCTCCCTGTATTAAATCCCACCTCTCTTTTAAACCCTGCCACGCTGTATTAAACCCCGCCTATGTATTAATCCCCACCTCTGTATCAATTCCCACCTCTCTGTATTAAACAGGACTCATGGAGTCCTGTAGCTCAGTGGTTAGAGCACCAGCCTTGCAAGTGAGACACCTGGGTTCGATTCCCAGCAGGGCGAAACCTTGGCCAACTTTCCTTATTCTACAAGTCTGATAATAATCCCTCAAGAAAAAAAATCACTCAATCCACGACTGTTTGTGGGGACACTGCTGTGTGCAATTGTCTGCCACGTTTCGCCCACAAATATATAGTCAATTCACTTTACAGTATATTCTGTGAAGTGCTTTGAGACGTCGAGAAGACATGAAAAGCGCGATATCAAAATGCAAGGATTATTATTATTAAACCCCATCTCTCTGTATTAAACTCCGCTGCTGTATTAAATCCTGCCTCTGTGTAATCTCCGCCTCTATCAATCCCCGCCTCTCCATTAAACTCCACCTCTCTAGATTAAACCTTACCTCTGTATTAAACCCCATCTCTCTGGATTAAACACTGCCTCTCTCTGTCTCTCTTACAGCTCAGTACCATGAAGGGAGACGTAGCGGAAGCCGACCTCTTCCTACACCAAGCTCTGCACCTCGCACAGGAGGCCCACAACACCCAGGCCATTAGCTACATCTACATCCAGGTCAGCCATCCCCACCCCAGATCACCCACATTTCCACCCACACCCCAAACCCACCGTCACCCACCCCACATCACCCAGGCCATCAGCTACACCTACATCTAGTTCAAGGCATCCCACCCACCCTCACCCCACCCACCTACACAATCACCCTCATCTACATCCAGTTCAGCACTTTCCCATGCCATGGGTATTTGGGGTTGCCGATGCTACTGCCCCAAACCTTTCTCTTTCATCTCATAGATGGCAAACCTGTCCTACATCCGGGGAAACCTGCAGAACGTGAGTACACAATAGTGTGTGTGCGCGTGTGTTTGGGGGGGGGGGGAGGGAAGGGTGGGTTGTGGGGTGAGAGGTTGTATCACACATGTTCTGAGTCTTGTCTCTCAGGCAGAGAAACTCTTCAAAGCCGCCATGACATCACTGGTGGGATCTGGAGTCAGCTGGTGAGTGTCTCTCTCCCCGCTCGGGGATGGTGGGATGGGGGTTAACGAGGGGGGGAACGAGCGGGGAAGTGGGGCTAATGCCTGAGTCCTGTACCATAGTGGTTAGTGCACTCGCCTCACACGTGAGAGGACCTGGGTTTGATTCCCAGGCAAGGTGAAAACTTAGGCAAGTTTCCTTACTCCACATGCCTCTGTTTACTGAGCAGTAAGTAGGAGCCCACTTGTTAGTCAATTGGCGGATCGCTTTCCTGGGGGATATAATCCCTCCCCCCAAAAATCCCATTTACAATAATTTAATTTGGTCACTTAATCCACAACTGTGTGTGGGACGCTGTTGTGCCAATTGGCTACTGCGTTTTGCCCACAAAAAATAGTCAATTAACTTTTAGAGTATATTCTTTGAAGCATTTTGAGACGTCTTGAAGACATGATAAAGTGCTATAACAAATGCAAGGATTATTATAATGCAAGTGGGGGACGGGAGCAACGAGGGGGGAGTAGGGTGACGAGCTGGGGGGATAACGATGGGGTAACGAGATGTGTGTGTGTGATATACAGGATGATAATGCGCTGGTTGAGATGTCACTGAAGCTGGCCAGTATCTACGCCACCCAGAAACAGTGAGTGGGGGAGGGGGGGTCTTGGCACTGTGGGTGGGGGGGTGCCTCAAAGGGGAATTGGTGGGGACAGTATCAGGGGCAGGGCAGAGGGTGGGGAGGATCTCGGTGGGAGAGGGTTGGCGGGCAGGGATCGAGTCTCGGTGGGGGTGGAGGTTTGAGGGACGTGGAGGGTGTGAGGTGTTGGGGGGCATGGAGTGGGTCTGGGTGTGAGGGTGAGGTGTTGGGGGGCACGGAGGTATTCTGGGTTTGAGGTGGGAGGTTGGGGACCAGGGACGGGTCTGGGTGTGAGGGTTGGAGGGGTTGGGGGGCAGGGAGGGGATGTGGGTGTGAGGATAACACTGTAGGTCCCACAGGCACGAGCTGGCTACTCAGGGCTATAGGTGGTGCATCGACACTCTGGAGGAGAAGCTACACAAACAGGCATCAGAGCCACTGCCAGGTTAGTGTGTGTGGTAACATTCTGTCCCTCTCTGTGTCTCTCTCCCATGTTCTTTCTCCCTCTCTCTCATACACGCTCTCACTCCCTCACGCTCTCTCTAGGGTTAAGGGACATGGGGATAGAGCGGGTAAATGGAATTAGGTTAGAAGATCAGCCATGATCTTATTAAATGGCGGGGCAGGCTCGAGTGGCCAAATGGTCTACTCCTACGTCTTACAGTCTCTCTGTAGCTGAGTTGGATGTTCTCTCTCCCTCTGTCTCTCTGTAGCTGAGGTGGTTGTGGACACACAATTGCTGTTGGGATTGTGTCTGGATTCCTTCGCTCGTTACTTGATTGACAAACAGCAGCTGAAGTTGGCACAGAGCATGTATGAGAGAGCGCTAGCCATCTCCCAGGCCGTGCAGGGCGAGCGACACCCCCAGGTACACCCCACCTCAACCCCCAACCCAACCCCACATCCCCTCCCACTGCAACCCCCAACCGACCCCCGACCACTCATCCCTCACCTCACCCATCCCCACACCACATGCCCTCCCAACCCCATCTCAGCCCCACATCCCCTCCCAACCCCACCTCAGCCCCACACCCCCTCCCAACCCCATCTCAGCCCCACACGCCCTCCCAACCCCACCTCAGCCCCACACCCTCTCCCAACCCCACCTTACCCTCACAACCACTCCCCACCTCGCACCCCAACCCCACACCCCCTCCCACCACAACCCCCAACCTACCCCACCCCCACCTCACTCCATCCCCAAACCACATCCTCTCCCAACCCCACCTCACCCCAGCGACCTGGGTCCAGGGCTGTGTGAGTTTGTTTGTGTATGTTTTCGTCAGTGTGTTTGTCAGTGTACGCACGTGTGAGCGCGCCTCAGGGACACTGACACTGGCGCTGTGTGTGGCAGACGGTGCTGCTGATGAATGACCTGGCTGCTGTGCTGGACATGACGGGGCAGCAGGAGCTGGCGTTCCAGTGTGTGAGCACCGCCCTGCAACTGGCCAGAGAGACTGAGCACCCACACGAGCACATCCTACTCAACAACCTGGCCGGCATCCTGCTGCACAGAGGTACTAACCCACCCCCTCAGCCTCTCCCCATCACACAACCCCCCCAACACACAGCCCCCCAACAACACACAGCCCCCCAACTCACAGCTCCCACCCCTCAACACACAGCCCCCCCCAACACACAGCCCCCACCCCCAACACACAGCCCCAACCCCCCCCCCCAACACACAGCCCCAACCCCAACACACAACCCCCAACCCCAACACACAGCCCCACCCCCAACACACAGCCCCCAACCCCCAACACACAGCCCACCCCTCAACACACAGTCCCCCCCCCCACACAGCCCCAACCCCAATACACAGCCCCAACCCCAACACACAGCCCCAACCCCAACACACAGCCCAACCCCAACACAGTACCCCCCGCATCACAGCCCCCAATGCACAGCACCCCCCTTGAACACACAGCCCTCCTCCAACACACAGCCCCCCCAAACACACAGCCCCCCCAAACACACAGCCCCCCCGCCCTCCAACACATGATCGAAGAGGAAGGTTTTGATCCGCGCCTTGGTTGCAGGGAGTTGGTGTAGTTCAGCCGAGATGTGATGAATGCGTGGATGAGGGTTTCAGCGTCCTGAGGAGTGAGGCAGTGGCGGAGCCGGGCGATGTTGCGGAGGTGGGGAAGACAGAGCGGGTCATGGCACAGATGTGGGGTGGAAAGGACAGTTGAGGCTCACACAAGACGCCAAGGCTCCTGACTGGCTCAGTGAGGTGAAGTGTAATATAGCCGAAACCCTTGTACATGCGTTTGTCACCTCCCGATTGGATTACTCCCAACGCACTTCTCGCCGGTCTCCCCAGCTCCACCATTCACAAGATCAGCTCATTCAAAACCACGTACTGACTCAGACCAACCTCCGTACCCACATCTCACCAGGTCTGCCCCAGGCTCCACTGGCTCCCCATCACCGAATGGATCGTGTTCAAATCCATTCAGCCCTGGCACCTCCCTACCTCTCCAACCTCCTCATTCCCCGCGCGACTGGCACCGAGCTCTCGCTTGCCCCTTGCACCCTCCTCCCCACCATCGAAGGTCGTGGTTTCAGCCACTGGGCTCCAAAACCCTGGGACACTCTCCCTCAGTCCCTCCGCCTTGCCCCCTCCCTCCCGTCTTTCACATCCCGAGGGAGACGGATGCCGGAAGCAGAAAGTGTCAATTCTTTCCAGAACAAATAGATTTCTGCTAGAAAATATCTGGGGATGCAGTATATACTTTGGGACATGACATGTCAAGCGATTGCCAGGTGGGTGGAAGGCGAAGTAGATGGACCTTGTTCTTACACAGAAGTCGCTGGGAACACTCAGCAGGTCAGTCTTCCCAGGGACTTCTGTTTTTGTTTCAGAATTCCAACATCTGCAGTATTTTGTGTTTTGGACCTTGTTCTTCTTTCGCCACCAAATTCTTATGTTCTTAAACACTCGGAGCCGGATACCTGTGTTGAGGCTGTTATGTTGGTGTGTGTACAGGTGACTACACTGGAGCCAAACGTGTGTACGGGCAGGCGCTGAGACAGGCCGAGGAGAAACAAGACAAGGAGGCCATTCAGCACATCCACGAGGGGTTGGCGGAGCTGGGAGCCAGGACACAGAGTGTCTGATCTGGGATCTCTCAGCAATGGGTGTGGGCTTTGTGCTGTGTGTCTTGTCTGTAACTGCACTGAGGTCTTGGTTAAACACAGCCCTTCCCTGCACTGTGTGTGCCTTCCCCCCCCACCCGGCTCCCAGCCTGGCTCAGCCCCCACCTCACTGTGGCTCAGCGCCTCCCTCCACTGTGGCTCACTTCCACCCCTCACTGTGGCTCACTCCCCTCCCCCTCAGCCCCCTCTCCCCTCTCAATCCACAACTGTTTGTGGGGCACCGCTGTGCGCATTGGCCGTTGTGCTTCGCTCACAAAATATATAGTCAATTTACTTTACATTATATCCTGTGAAGCGCTTTGAGACGTCTCGAAGACTGGATAAGGCGCTGTATTAAATGCAGGGATTATTATTATCTGTGCACAAGCTGTAGAGACACGGTGATATATGATATAATAATAATAATCCTACAGAAACACTGACTTAGCCGCAGCAGCAATGATAAACTCTATAAAAAGCCTAAATTGTTTATTTAATCCTTTGATTGCTGATAACCTTGTTATCTGGGCAGTGAGCCCCTCACCCCCCACACACACACTCCCCTGCCCCCCACCACCCACACACATACCCCACACAGGCTCCGAGGGGGTTCCTGCATGAAGGGCGCTATATAAATGTAAGTTATTGCAGAATGAAGCTCACTCGGTCGCTGCTGTTAATATTTTACTGGTGGACAGAGATCACACCGGGGAGGTGGTGGGGGGATTTACACAGTGTTTCTCATAGCGACAACTCAACACTGCCCCCACCCGGGCATTTGCCTCCCCCAGCACACACAGGTATCGGGGGGGAGAGAGAGAGAGAGAGAGAGAAGGGAGCAATGGAGAGAGACACGAGGGGTGGGGGGGGGCGGAAGAGAGGAGGGGGTGTCAATGAGGGTTGGGCTCACAACCCATATTAGTGGGGGAAGGGATGGAAAGTGCAACATCCAAAGCTTCTGACTGAACGATCGCCAGGGCTGGTCTGGCAAAGCTGCCCCCCACCCCCGGCTCCCTCTAGGCCTCCTCGTCAGACTGCTGGTCGAGGGCGAGGGGCCGCAGGTTGCCGGCACGGATACTGGTGATGTTGGGGCAGGCGGCCAGCAGCTCAGTCACACCCGCCTCTGTTACCCCCGTCCCCTCCACGCTCAGCTGGCTCAAACCCCACAGCCTCAGCTTCTTCAGGCCTGAGACACAGAGAGACATTACCCCCTCGCACCCCTAACTCTAACCCTCACACTGCTTTACCCGCTCACACCCCAGCCATTACGCCCTCACTCCAGTCATTACTCCCTCGCTCCCCATTACGCCCTCAAACCCCATTACGCCCTCACTCCCCATTACCCCCACTCTCCATTACCCCCTCACACCCCATTACCTCCTCACATCCCATTACCCCCTCACACTCCATTACCTCCTCACATCCCATTACCCCCTCACACCCCATTACCCCCTCACTCCCCATTACCTCCTCACACCCCATTACACCCTCATACCCCACTACACCCTCACAACCCATTATCCCCTCACACCCCATTACCTCCTCAATACCCATTATCCCCTCACACTGCTTTACCTTCTCACGCCCAGCCATTGCCCACGCACACTCCAACCATTACCCACTCACACCCCATTACACCCTAACGCCCATTACTCCTCCTCACACCCCATTAGCCCCTCACTCCCCAATACTCCTTCACACCCGATTATCCCCTCACTCCCAGCCATACCTTTGTTACCCCTTCACACCCCATTACCCCCAACACCCTATCACCCCTTCATACCCCATTATCCCCAGGGGTTGGGGAGGGGGAGGTACCTGTGTCTGTCAGGCGAGTGCGGCTCAGGTTCAGTTTGATAAGTTGCCGACACCGAGCGAGGCCACGCGGCACAACCGAGTCTCCAACCAGCGTCGCCGCCAACCCCAGCACCTGCTCACACAAGAGAGAGCTGTCAGGGTCTCTCTCCTCAGCCCAAACCCCAACCGCCAACCCCAGTCCAACCCCTCCCCAGCACCAGAGAGGGCTATCGGGGGCTCCTTCCCCCTCCCCCAACCCCCTCCCGTAAACCCTACCCAACCCCAGCATCTCACACCAAACAGAGCTGTCAGGGGCTCCCTCCGCAAACCCTCCCCCTCACCACCCCCTCCCCCTAACCCCCTCCCTCAAACTCTCCCCAATCCCACCTCCCTCCCACACCTCTGACCCCCCCCCACACTGACCTGCAGGCGGGGCAGGCCACAGACACACTGAGCCACGCCCTTACTGCTGACCCTGGTCCGGTCCAGGCACAGCTCCTCCAGGCTGCTCAACGGCTGTAGGTACATCAACCCCACGTCTGTCACCTGGGTGTTACTGAGGGACAGTCTCCGCAGCCTACAGTGGGCAGAGAGAGAGACAGTGAGAGTGCCACCACTTACAAGTAGACAGCACAGTGTTAACGAGTGTCAGGCTGCGGAGGGGCAATAGCTGGCCAGGCCGGTTGGGGAGGGGGGCTGGGGAGGGGGAGGCCGGCTGGGTGTGGGAGGCTGGAGAGGGGGAGGCTGGCTGGGGGGGGGGCGGCTGGGTGGGGGGGGGCAGTGATTACCTGGTCAGGCTGGCTGGCTGGCTGGTGGGGGGGTGTCTGGCTGGCGGGGGGGGGGGGGTTACCTGGTCAGGCTGGCTGGCTGGCGGGGGGGGGGTTACCTGGTCAGGCTGGCTGGCTGGCGGGGGGGGGGTGTCTGGCTGGCGGGGAGGGGGGGGTTACCTGGTCAGGCTGGCTGGCTGGCTGGGGGGGGGGGTTACCTGGTCAGGCTGGCTGGCTGGTGGGGCGGGGGGTTACCTGGTCAGGCTGGCGGGGGGGGGTTACCTGGTCAGGCTGGCTGGCTGGCGGTGGGGGTTACCTGGTCAGGCTGGCTGGCTGGCTGGCTGGCTGGTGGGGGGGGGGGGGGGGGGGGGTTACCTGGTCAGGCTGGCGGGGGGGGGGGGGGGGTTACCTGGTCAGGCTGGCTGGCTGGCGGGGGGGGGGTTACCTGGTCAGGCTGGCTGGCTGGCGGGGGGGGGGTTACCTGGTCAGGCTGGCCGGCTGGTGGGGGGGGGGTTACCTGGTCAGGCTGGCTGGCTGGCGGGGGGGGGGGTTACCTGGTCAGGCTGGCTGGCTGGCGGTGGGGCAGTGATTACCTGGTCAGGCTGGCTGGCTGGCTGGGGGGGGGGGGGTTACCTGGTCAGGCTGGCTGGCGGGGGGGGGGGGTTACCTGGTCAGGCTGGCTGGCTGGTGGGGGGGTTACCTGGTCAGGCTGGCTGGCGGGGGGGGGGGGGGGGTTACCTGGTCAGGCTGGCTAAGCACTGCAGGCCCTGGTCTGTGGCTTGGCTGTAGTCGGTCAGGTCGAGCTCCAGCAGGCGGTGGAGGCCGGCGAGGGCGAGGAGCCCGGCGTCGCTCACTGTGTGACGGCTCGGCAGCTTCAGCTGTGTTAGTGGCAGCCCTGGAGGGCACAGCACAGGGTAACACTGTCCTTACTGCCAGAGTCTCCACACAGCCCCGACCCAACCTCCACCCCACAACCTCCGAGGCACAGGGTGTGTAACACAGTGCGTGTGTATGTTACCTGAGAGAATGTGTAATACAATATGTGTGAGGGTGTGTGTGTGTGAGGGTGTGTGTGTGTGTGTGAAGGTGTATATGAGGGTGTGTGTGAGAGGATGTGTGTGAGAATGAGGGTGTGTGTGTGAGTGTCTGTGAGAGTGTGTGGGTGTGAGAGTGTGTGGGTGTGTGATGGTGTGGGTGTGTGATGGTCTTGGTGTGTGAGGATGTGTGTGTGATGGTGTGGGTGTGTGTGATGGTGTGGGTGTGTGAGGGTGTGTGTGTAATGGTGTTGGTGTGTGAGGATGTGTGTGTGATGGTGTGTGTGTGTGGGTGTCTGTCATGGCGTGTGCGTGTGCTCCAGGCTAACCTGAGAGAATGTGCAGGACGGAGTCACCGCTGACGGACTGCAGGCCGGAGACACTGATGGAGGAGAGGTTGGGGTGAGAGCCCAGTGTCTGCAGAGAGCTCTCAGTCACTCCTGTGTGGTCCAAACATAGTGTGTGTAGGGCCGTCACCTCCCTCAGCGCTGACACGTCAGTCACCTGTGCATACACACACATATATACTGTGTATAATATAATGCACATACGTGAGATAGCAGGACAGGCCATCACACACACCCCTTGCACGGATACACCCCCTTGCACGAACACTCACACACCTCGCACGCACACACACCCCTTGCAGACACACACCCCTTGCAGACACACACACACCCCTTGCAGACACACACACACCTTGCACAGACACACACACCCCTTGCACAGACACACACACCCCTTGCACAGACACAACACAGCACTTGGATGGACACACACACACACACGCCGCTGACCTGGGTGTGTTTGATGCTGAGCAGACGGAGGTGAGGGAGGGCGCGGGGTAAGCAAACGAGGGTTCCCTCACTCACAGCCGTCTCATTCAGGCTCAAGTGAACGAGTGAGGAGGGAGCAGACTCCAGGTAGTCCCTCATTCCACAGTCGGTTACTTTTGTCTGGTCCAGAGTCAGGTGAGAAAGACAATTCAGTCCTAAAATACCAACAGACAGGAATTCAGTAAATAGTCACCGCACATACAGCGCACACCGCACACACAGCGCACACCGCACACACACAGCGCACACCCACAGCGCACACCGCACACACAGCGCACACACACAGCGCACACCGCACACACACAGCGCACACCGCACACACAGCGCACACCGCACACACACAGCGCACACCCACAGCGCACACCGCACACACAGCGCACACACACAGCGCACACCGCACACACACAGCGCACACCGCACACACACAGCGCACACCGCACACACAGCGTACACACACCGCACACGCACACCGCACACAGCCAGCGCGCATGCACACACACACACAGCCACCCAAACACACACACAGCCAGCGCACGCACGCACGCACACACACACACAGCCAGCGCGCGCGCACACACACACACACACACAGCCAGCGCGCGCACACACACGCAGCCAGCGCGCGCGCACACACATACAGCCAGCACACGCACACAGTGAGAGTACACACAACAACAACTTGGATTTATATAGTGCCCTCCACACGGGACAGTGTTTTAGAGCTTCACAGTAAAGCACAGTGAGAGTACACACACAGCCAGCGCACACACACACACAACCAGCGCACACACAGCCAGCGCGCAGACAACCAACGCACACACAGCCAGCGCACACACACAGAGTGAGAGTACACACACAGCCAGCGCACACACACAGAGTGAGAGTACACACACAGCCAGCGCACACACACAGCCAGCGCACACACACACAACCAGCGCACACACAGCCAGCGCACACACAGCCAGCGCACACACACAGAGTGAGAGTACACACACAGCCAGCGCACACACAGCCAGCGCACACACACAGCCAGCACACACACACAGCCAGCATGCGCACACAGCCAGCGCACACACACAGAGTGAGAGTACACACACAGCCAGCAGACACTGTACCTGTCAGGCTGCTCAGACAGCGGTCAGTGAGCCGGGGGCAGGCGGCCAGGTTCAGGTGCTGCAACTTCTTCAGGTGAGACACGCTCTCCAGCCCGGAGTCTGGAAGGATGCAGAAAGGGGGTGCGGGGGGGGGAACGACACCCGGGGGAGACAGCCGGGGGGCGTGGGAGGGGGGGTGCAGACATCGTCAGGTCACAGCACAATCAACAGCGAGCGTCACATTTGACTTGTCACATTGCGATGTCTCAAAACACTTTTACTGTGATGACTGCAGTGACTGTGTTTTGTTGAAGAGTTGCTGGTTAGGATACAGCCGCGGGGATCACTAACCTGAACAGGCAAACAAGGCCCACACCCCACAACCCCCACCCCATCCACACACCCCCAGCCCCAGCCCAGCCTGAGCTCAGAGGCCCTGACACGGGGCTGCGGACCCACAATACCACCATTAATAATAGTGCTTACATTTGATACAACGCCTTATCATGTCTTCGAGTCGTCTCAAAGAGCTTCACAGGACACATTGTAAAGTGAATTGACTGTGTATTTTGTGGGCAAAACGAGACAGCCAATTGCTCACAGCAGTGTCCCACAAACAGTCGTGGATTGACCAACCACATTATTTTTTTTTTGAACGGATTATTACCCCCGAAAAGTGATCCCCCAGTCGACTAACAACCGGCTTCCTACTTACTGCTGGATAAACGTGTGTGTGGAGTAAGGAAACTTGCATAAGGTTTTGCTCTTAACGAGAATTGAACCAAAGTCATCTCGCCTACGAGGCGAGTGCTCTAACTACGTAGCTACAGGACACCATAAATACCCCCATTATACCCCCTGTTTCCCCCCCGCCCGGTACCTGTGAGCAGGCGGCAGGAGGCCAGGCTGAGGTGGTGGAGGGAGGGGAAGGCTGACAGCTGAAGGAGGAGTTGGTTGGTGGTCAGAGGGTAACAGTCCAGCACTAGACTCCCCAGACTGCACCCGCTGAACAGCTCCAGGCTCCGGGGCCTCAGCCACCTCTTCTTCACCAGCTCCATCACCAACCGCTCAGCCACTCGCGGGGGGAGAGACCCCAGGCTCCCAGCGTACTGCCGGCTCGGCGCTGGGGAGAGAGAGAGAGAGTGACAGCCTAGCACTGAAGAGAGAAAGAGAGAGATATAGCCCTTTGCTGGGGAGAGAGCGATACAGTCCAACATTGGGGAGAGAGAGATACAGCCCAGAACACAACTGGGGTACACTGGTCTGGGCTGGGTGTTGGGGTACGCTGAGCTGTGTGTTGGGGTACGCTGGGTTGTGTGTTGGGGTACGCTGGGCTGTGTGTTGGGGTACGCTGGGTTGTGTGTTGGGGTACGCTGGGCTGTGTGTTGGGGTACGCTGGGCTGGGCTGTGTGTTGGGGTACGCTGGGCTGTGGGGATACTTTGGGCTGTGTGTTGGGGTACCCTGGGCTGTGCGTGAGAGTATGCTGAGCTGGGCTATGTGTTGGGGTACACTGGGCTGTGTGTTGGGGTACGCTGGGCTGTGTGTTGGGGTACGCTGGGCTGTGTGCTGGGGTACGCTGGGCTGTGTGTTGGGGTACGCTGGGCTGTGTGTTGGGGTACGCTGGGCTGTGTGTTGGGGTATGCTGGGCTGGGCTGTGTGTTGGGGTATGCTGGGCTGGGCTGTGTGTTGGGGTATGCTGGGCTGGGCTGTGTGTTGGGGTACGCTGGACTGGGCTGTGTGTTGGGGTACGCTGGGCTGTGTGTTGGGGTACGCTGGGCTGTGTGTTGGGGTATGCTGGGCTGGGCTGTGTGTTGGGGTACGCTGGGCTGTGTGTTGGGGTACGCTGGGCTGTGTGTTGGGGTACGCTGGGCTGTGTGTTGGGGTACGCTGGGCTGTGTGTTGGGGTATGCTGGGCTGGGCTGTGTGTTGGGGTACGCTGGGCTGTGTGTTGGGGTACGCTGGGCTGTGTGTTGGGGTACGCTGGGCTGTGTGTTGGGGTACGCTGGGCTGTGTGTTGGGGTGCGCTGGGCTGGGCTGTGTGTTGGGGTACACTGCGCTGAGATGTACCTGTGATCAGGGTGATGGCTCCCCTAGTGGCCATTGTGAGTAGTGAGGGCACGGCAGAGGTCGTTGCTGGTCTGGGAGCTGTGGGTTGGGAGGGGCTCAATTGTTCCCGAGACCCTCGCTGTAGGCGCTCAAGGGCGGCTCGTCCGGCAGCAACCGGCACCTGCGGCCCCCCGTGTCCATCCTCGGCCCCTGGCCTGCACACAAACACAGCCTGTCATCATCACCAGCCAAACACACCCCAAACACATCCCAAACACCCCACCAAACACAGGCCCCAAACACCCCATCACCCCCCAAACACACCCCGTCACCCCCCAAACACATCCCGTCACCCCTCAAACACAGCCCCCACACACACCCCATCACCCCCCCAAACACAGACGAAATACCTGCACCAAATACAGCCCCAAACACAGCCCAAACCCCCCAAACACAGACCAAACACACCCCAAACACAGCCCCGTCACCCCCCAAACACAGCCCATCACCCCCCAAATACCCCCCATCACCTACAAACACAGCCCCTCCCCACGCCACCCCCCGCCCACACTAACCTGAGCCGGTTGCCCTGCTCTGGCCACTGATGTTGTGGCTCAAACCCGCTGCGGATCCGGTGTCCATTCATGCGAAAGACCCCGGGGTCAAAGTCTGGTAACAGGGAACAAACAGTCATGCACCCCCCACACACACTGACCACCTCTCCCCCCCACCCCCCCACACACATACACACACACAACAGCAAACAACAAAATTACATTTGTATAACGCCTTTCATGTTGGGAGAATGTGCCAAGGCGCTGGACAATCAGTGTTTCGGATCCGAACTGGGGGTCGGGATCGAGGAGGGTGGAGTGTATTGATGGAGAGAGTTCCACAGCTTCAGGGCGTAGTGGCTGAAGGTTCGGCCGCTGATGGTGGAGCGAAAGATTCGAGGGACAAGGAGGAGGCCAGAGCCAGTAGAGCATTGACAGCGGGTAGTGTTGTGAGGAGAGAGGACATTGGAGAGGCAGTGGGGTGCCAGGCCATGGGGTGATTTAAACACTAAAATGAGTAAAAGGGCAATGGGGGTAAGGAAGGTGGTCGTAGAGGTAACGGGGAGCAAGGCCATGGAAGGTGAGGACCAGGATCTTGAACTGGATCCTCTGTGTGATGGGAAGCCAGTGGAGTCGGGCGAGGATGGGGGTGATAGGGTCATGGAGACTGGTGCGGGAGAGGACACGGGTGCATATAGACACACACACTGCCCCCACAAACAAGCTACCCCCCCACACACGCACTGCTCCCCCCTCCCCCCCACAGACACACGCACCACCACCCTCCCTGTCCCCCCCCCCAACACACAGATGTGCTGCCCCACACTCACACACAGGCATTGACCGTGCCTGGAGGGCTGTTCACTGACCGGGGGGAATCAGCGCCATCAAGTTATCTTCCTCATCGTCTTCATCGTCCTCTTCTGGGGCATCCTGGTCATCCGCCTCCTCACAGCTCAGCCCCGCAGCCAACTTCTGTCCTTTACCTGGGCAACAGATACAGCCCTGACCATCGTGTCTGTGCTGGGGCTCACTCCCCCACTGGAGCTCTCTACTCTAATCCCATTCCCTGCTCTCTCTCCCCCCATTGTGCCTCTGCATTAAACTGATCACCCCCACCCCGGCCCGGCTTCACTGGCTCCCCATCCCACACAGGGTCAAGTTCTAGATCCTCGCCTTCACTTTAAAAGCCCTCCACAGGTTACTCCTCCTTACCTCGCAACCTTGTAAAATGTTACCAACATGTCCGCACCCTCTGCTCAGCGGGCACTGCCCTGCTCCCCATCCCTCGCCTTGCCCGCTCCACCATCGGCAATCGAACCATCAGCCATTCTACCCCCACCCTCTGAAACTCCATCCCGGAGCCCCTCCACCTCGCCCCCTTCAAGGCACGTCTCAAGAAGATCTTCCTCTTCGATGTTCAGCCACCCTCCCACCCAGCTCCGTACCCTCCATCCCACCTGGTTCCAGCCCACAGATCGTGTGCAAACCCTTCACTGTGCAGCGCCTTGGGACATCCTCCTGACGTGAAAGGCACTGTGTGAATGTCATTTCTTGCTGTATTTCTTAATATTTTGCTCCCAATATTGGGAGCTTTACTTTAACTTGTACTGTCCCTGACCCAGGAGTGTGGACACACAGTGTAGAGGGAGCTGTACTGTGTCTCTAACCCTGACCTGGGAGTGTGGACGGACAGGATTGAGAAGATCAGAGAGACAGGGAGGTGCTGGAGCACGAAGGACCTGCACCAGTGGAGCGTGGCGTTGTGTGATGGAGATGTTATAGCAACAGCACAGGTTAGAGACAGAGAAAAGCTCCCGCACTGTCCATCCATAACGCCATATTAACCTGTCCACTCCCTCCAACCAGCAGGCTCCGGCCTGCTCCACGTCCCCCGTCCGGCCATCCCACCATCGGTAGTTGGCCCTTCAGCCTCTCTGTCCTTTTGGAACTCCATCCTGCAGTCCCTCGCCCCTTCCCTTGCCTCCTTCAAGGCACATCTCAAGATGCTCCTCTTCGACAGCGCCTTCAGTTACCCTCCTACTCCTATTCTCCCTACTGATCCCAACCCCCTGGTTGGGTGCAAATCCCTGACTGTCCAGTGCCTTGGGTCATCCTCCTGAAGTGAAAGGCGCCGTGTATATGTCATGTATTGTTGTTGCTGATGTGGAGAGGATGTGGGCCGTGAAGGTTTGGATCAACTGAAGTTGGTGTAACTCAGAAGGGACTGGTGGGAGCGAATGACCTAACCAAGGTCTCACACAACATTCCTCCATCACTGGCTGTTCAACACGTCTGATAGAAATCTCAGGGATTCCTGGTCCCCTCACCCCGACCCCGGGTTCTTACCCCAGGAATGTGTGGTGTGGGCTAGGGGCCGGGGGCCGGGCTGCCTCCTGTGATGTCCCAGTACCGCCAGTAACTCCTCTCTGTCGCGCTCATCATTATCATCATCGCCCCCATGGTGTCGGGGAGAATGGGCCCCCAGCCCAAGGACTCTCCCCCTGGGGCCTCCGATAGTGGGCACTCGGGGGTCTGTGCCCGGGCTGGGGTCAGGGTCGGTGTTCAGTCTGTGTGCAGTGAGGGTGGGGGGGTCTCCGGGCTGCTCTCTGGGCTGCACACACAGGGTGGGGCTGGGGATGGTGCTGGGGTCAGTGGTTGGGTCTCCGGGCTGCACACACAGGGTGGCGCTGGGGTGGAGGCCGAGGGCTCGAAGCGTGAGGCTCAGGTCGGCCTGACTGAAGCGACGCCGGGGTAACCCCTGCAGCAGCAGGAAGTTGGGGAGATGGGGGCAGCGCTGGGCTACCAGCTCCCGTACGCCCGCCAGGGTGGTCTCCGCAGGGAAACGCTCACGGATACACTCGCCCCACGGCAGCCGGATCTGAGGAGAGAAACATAACAGGGATAACAGCACACAATACATTACAATAATAATCTTTTATATTATAATAATACAATATAAATCATACTCTGTTATAATAATAATCCTTGCATTTGATATAGCTCCTTATCACGTCTTCGAGACGTCTCAAAGAGCGTCACAAGATATACTGTAAAGTGAATTGACTGTATATTTTGTGGGCGAAACGTGGCAGCCAATTGCACAGCAGAGCCCCACAAACAGTCACGGATTGAAGTGAATTTATTATTATTATAATATGGATAAAAATATGATGCAACAAATTGTATTTACATTTACATACAGGGCCTAGTGGCTGAAAGTGCGGCTGAGGATGGTGGAGCGGAGGGGTCTAAGGGACAAGCAGGAGGCCGGAGCCAGCCGAGCGGAGAGAGTGGGCAAGATGGTAGGGGGTTAGGAGGTCACAGAGGTAGGGGTGATCAAGACCATGGAGGGCTTTGAAGGTGAGGACCAGGACCTTGCACTATATCCTCTGTGTGATGGGAAGCCAGTGGAATCGGCCGAGGATGGAGCTGATAGTGTCTTGGAGTCAGATGCCGAAGAGGACACGGGCCTTCAGAGTTCTGGATGATCTGCAGCCTATGAAGGGAGGAGTTGGGGAGGCCGACAAGCAGGGAGTTTGCAGTCAAGCCTGGATGTTAAGAATGTGTGTATCAGGGTCTTGGTGGCCTGCGGTGTGAGACCGTGGCGGAGCTGGGCGATGTTGCGGAGGTGGGGAAGGCAGGGCGGGTCATGGCACGGATATGGGGTAGAAAGGATAGTTGAGGGTCAAACAAGACCCCAAGGTTCGGGAGGTGGAACAAGGTGGAGGGAGCAGCCATGGATGGTGATGCTATCAGCGCATGAGGTGAGGAGGCGCTGACGGGAACCAATAATAATAATCCTTGAATTTGATATAGCGCTTTTCACGTCGGGAGGAAAGGGAGGAAGCGGCGAAGGCACTGGGGATAGAGTTCCAGAGCCTCGGGGCTGAGAGGCTGAAGGCCACCGATGGTAGGGCGGTTGGGGCGGGGGATGTGGAGCAGACCGGAGCCGGAGGAACGGAGGGTACGGGCAGGTAGGTAGGGGGATAGTAGGTCGGAGAGGTAGGAGGGAGCGAGGCCGTGAATGGCCTTGTAGGTGAGGATGAGGATCTTGAATTCGAAAGCCAATCAATTGAAGTGAATTTATTATTATTATTATAATATGGATAAAAATATGATGCAACAAATTGCATTTACATTTACATTCAGGGCCTAGTGGCTGAAAGTGCGGGTGAGGACGGTGGAGCGGAGGGGTCTAAGGGACAAGCAGGAGGCCGGAGCCAGCCGATCGGAGGTGAGTTCGGAAGTAAAAAGTCAGAGTGGTAGGGAGGTGTGAGAGTATGAAGGGATTTGTAGACGAGTGTGAGGATCCCGAGCCAATCAGGAGAGCCTCGGTCTTGTTGAAGTTCAACTGAAGAAAGTTCGCTCTCATCCAGGACTTGATGTCTGACAGACATTCTGTCAGGACAGCAGTGGGTCCTGGAGTCGAGGGCGGAGGCAGAGAGGGAGAGTTGGGTGTCATCCGCATACATGTGGAAGTTGACCCTATGTCTGCGGATGAATCATAGAATTATACAGCACAGAAGGAGGCTATTCGGCCCATCGTGTCTGTGACGGCTCTTTGAAAGAGCTATCCAATTCAATCCCACTCCCCTGCGCTCTCCCCATAGACCTGCAAATATGTCCTCCCCAAATAATTATCTACGTCTCTCTTAAAAGTTGTTATCGAATCAGCTTCCATCCCCCCCCGCCTTTCAGGCAATGCATTCCATATCTGAACAACTCGCTGTGTGAAAAAATTTCTCCTCATCTCCCCTCTGTTTATTTTAACAACTATTTTAAATTGGTGTCCTCGGGTTACTGACCCACTCGCCAGTGGAAATAATTTCTCCTTGTTCACCCTATCAAATCTCCTCATAATATTGAAAACTTCTGTAAGTCTCCTTTTAACCTTCTCTGCCCCAAGGAGAATAATCCCGGCTTCTCTCGCCTCTCCTGATAACTGAAGTCCCTCATTCCTGGTACCATCCTGGTCAATCTCCTTTGCACCCTCTCCAATGCCTTGACATCCTTCCTAAAGTGTGGTGCCCAGAACTGAACACAGTCTCTCGCTGAGGGCTAACCAGTGTTTTATATAAAGGTTCATCATAACTTCCTGACTTTTGTATTCTATGCCCCTATTTATAAAGCCGTGTCTCCCAGATGCTTTTTTAACAGCTTTATCTCCCTGTCCTGCCACCTTCAAAGATTTACTTATATGAACCCACAGGTCTCTCTGTTCCTTTACTCCCTTTAAGATTGTACCATCAGCTTATAGAGGGAGCATATAGATACTGAAGAAGAGGGGATCAAGGACAGAACCCTGGCCTCCTAGATTGTCTTGGAGTAGAACAACGATTTAGTGGAAGCGATGGCGGAGTGGTAAGATTTGATAAGGTCAAGCCAATTCTGCCGATGGACCGTTCAGTTCAATTTAGGCCAGGTGGGTTCAGCGGCGTGCACCTGTACTTTGGAGGGAGCAGAGGTGGCTGGTGTACCATGGTGTCTTACATGAGTAGGACATGGTTCGAGAAGTGAGGGGAGCAAGGGAAACGAGAGTGGAGGAGAGGGAACTGTGGAGAAGAGTGACCGAGGAGGATAGATCATTGCGGGAAGAAGCCCAGAGGGGAAGGAGTTCAGATGACTCGAAGCAACCGAAAGGTGGGGGGGGGGAATTTTATTCCAGGGGCAGTATGAGATGGAGGTGGGTGGGTAGCAGTGGGGAGAGGGATGAGGATTTAAGGGAGATGAAGTGATGATCCGAGATCGCTTTGTCGATGATGGTGGGATCCGAGACGGCGAGGCCCTGAGTGATCACCAGGTCGAGGGGGTGACCGTGGATGTGGATGGCAAAGGTTGAGAGAGGAGATAACAACAACAAGATTACGCGTGTATAGCGCCTTTCACGTCAGGAGGACGTCCCAAGGCGCTGGACAGAGTACTGCATTTCAGACCCGAGCTGGGGTCAGGCGGGGGGAAGGGAGGGGAGGGGAAGGGGGATGACCAATGGCATGGTCTAAGAGGAAGGTCTTGAGGTGGGACTTGTAGGAGGCTAAGGAGGAGGCGAGGCGGAGTGACTGGGGGATGGAATTCCAGAGATTGGAGGCAGAGTGGCTGAAAGCTCTCCCGCCAATGGTGGGCCGAGTGGGTTGGGGGACGTGGAGCAGGCCAGAGCCGGCTGAGCAGAGGGAACGGGCGGGTTGGTAGGGGGTTAGGAGGTCACAGAGGTAGAGTGGGGCGAGGCCATGGACGGCTTTTTATGTGAGGACCAGGATCTTGAACTGGATCCTCTGAAGGATAGGGAGCCAATGGAGTTGAGCGAGAGTGGGGGAGATGGGGTCACGGAGTTTGGTGCGGGAAAGGACACGGGCTGCAGAGTTCTGGAGGATCTGCATCCTGTGGAGGGAGGAGTTGGGAAGGCCGACAAGCAGGGAGTTTGCATAGTCGAGCCTGGAGGTGATGAAGGCATGAACAAGAGTTTCAGCGCCTGAGGGCTGAGGTAGTGGCGGAGTCGGGCGATGTTATGGAGGTGAGGGAAGGCTGAACGGGTCATGGCTTGAATGTGGGGGAGAAAAGACAGTTGAGGGTCGAACAAGACACCGAGGTTCCTGACTGGCTGGTGAGTTGGTGAGTTGTAGTGAGCAACCATGGAGGTTGATGCTGCCAGAGCCTGAGGTGCTGAGGCGTTAGCGCGAGCCAATCAGGAGGGCCTCAGTCTTGTTCACATTCAACTGTAGGAAATAAGGGATAAGGGAGGAAAAGTCAGCAGAGGTAGAGCAGGAGGGAGTGAAGTGAACGTTGAAGTCACCTAGGATGAGGAGGAGTTCGGAGCAGAGGGAAAGGGAACATAGTAGGGTGGAGATATCGTGGAGGAAGGCGGGGGAGGGCTTGGGGGTGCGATAGATAAGGAAAATTCTGAGAAAAATGTTGGAGGGGTGATAAGGGGTAAGGTGCTCGAAAGAAGGGAAGGTTCCTGGCTCCTTGCCCGCCGCTAACAGACATTGCCCACCGGCACTGTTCCCACAACCTAAAAAAATCCGTCATCACCTCACCCTCAAAATACCTTCCCTCGTCCCATCCCTGTTCTCCAACTACTATCACATCTCCAACCTGCCTTTCCTCTCCAAGGTCCTCGATGAGTCGTTGCTTCCCAGCTTCGCTCTTTTCTCTCACGCTACTCCTTCTACGAACCCCTCCATTCTGGTTTCTGTGCTGCCCACAGCACCATCTGTGACCAGGGCTCTCTCTGCCTCTTGTCCTTCTCGATCTCTCTGCTGCCTTTCACACTGTTGCCCATTCTATTCTTCTCCACCGCCTCTCCTCTCAGCTCCACCTTCTGCCCTTGCCTGGTTTCACTCTTACCCTATCGTCTCCACTTTGTATCTACATAAGAACATAAGAATTTACTAGGCGAAATAAGACCAAGTCAACAACAACAACAGTTTGCATTTATATAGCGCCCTCCATGCTGGGCGATGTCCCAGAGCGCTTGACAATGGAGGAGCCTGATGCCGTTCACCTGACACCATCCTGGCAGTCGCTTGACATGTCATGTTCCAAACTATATACTGTATCCCGAGATATTATTTCCTAACAGAAATCTATCTAATTTGTTCTTGAAACAAACAACAACAACTTGGATTTATATAGCACCCTCCACGCCAGATGGCGTCTCAGAGCGTTTTACAGTAACAGATCCCGGGGCCGAGCCAGGGGGAGGGGGAGGAAGGTGACCAAAGGAGTGGTCGAAGAGAAAGATCTTCAGCAGAGACCTGAAAATAGGAAGAGAGGGGCGCAAGGCGAAGGGAGTGAGGAAGGGAGTTCCAGAGCCTCGGGGCATAGTGGCTGAAGGCACGGCCACTGAGGGTGGAGTGGAGGACTCAGGGGATGAGGAGGAGACCAGACCCGGAGGAAAGAAGGTAATGGGTACTGTTTTGAGGAGAGAGGAGGTCAGAGAGGTCGGGGGGTGCAGAATAATGGAGTGATTTGAATACAAGGGTGAGGGTCTTGAAGTCGATCCTCTCTGGGACAAGCAGCCAGTGCAGTCTGGCCAGGACTGGGGGGATCAGGGAGAGGGGTTTGGTGCGGGTGAGAATGTGGGCAGCAAAGTTTTGAATGATCTGGATTTTATGGGTAGTAGTGGAGGGGAGGCCGGCGAGGAAGGCATTAGAATAGTCCACCCGAGAGGTGACAAAGGCATGGACCAGGGTTTCAGCAGCTTTCGGAATGAGGTATTGGCGGAGACGGGCGATGCGTCGGAGGTGGAGGAAAGCGGTGCTGGTGAGGGACCGGATGTGGGGGAGAAGGGAGGAACCTGATGCCTAAAAACAACATTTTCTGCTTCCCTAGGGAGCCTGTTCCATAAGTTTACTATCCATACGTATCTGCCAACGGCTTCTCCCGCAGCTCTCGTGAGGTGTTCTCCCAGAGCTCTGTCCTTGGTCCTCTCCTCAATATCTACATGCTCCTGCTCAGTGATGTCATCCGCAGACATGGGGTCAACTTCCACATGTCTGTGGATGACACCCAACTCTACCTCTTGGCCTCCACCCTCGACTCCAGAACCACTGCTGGCCTGACCGATTGCCTATTGGACATCAAAATTTTGGATCATAGAATAGTAGAACGAGAGCTAACTTTCACCAGTTGAATATCAACAATTCCGAGGCCCTCCCACTTGGCTCCCGGCAGCGTCTCCACACCTCAGGCGCTGATGGATTCGTGACAAGGTTGGTTTTGTGGAGGGTTTGTGTGTGTGTCCCTTGATATGGCTCCCGGCTGGGAGCTCACTGCAGTCTGACACTTACCATCAGCGCGCTGTGGCCCCCAGGGGTCCCCGGTACCGGGCCCTCGAGAGGCCGGGACAGAAAGCGCTCAGACAGCCTGGCCGGAGATGATTTTGCTCGCAGGTTCTCACGATCGTCTGCGATTCTCTTCAGTGCCAATTCATGGTCCTACAGTAAGACAGTGAGTGTTAAACACCCGCCTACAGTCACTGCCTGGTCAGCTCTCCTCGCACCAGCTGATCATTGTGACTTCCAAACCCTGGATATAATAATAATAATAATCCTTGCAGTTGACACAGCGCCTGATCACATCTCAAGATGTCTCAAAGCGCTTCACTGAATACACTGTAAAGTGAATTGACTGTATATTTGCGGGCGAACCATGGCAGCCAATTACGCACAGCAGTTGTGGATTGAGTGACCGATTATTTTATTTTTTTTAGAGGTTATTACCCCCGGAAAGAGATCCGCCAATAGACTAACAACCATGTTTAACAACAACAACAACTTCCATTTATATAGTGCCCTTCAGGCGAGGTAATGTCCCAGAGCGCTTGAAGTAGGTTCCTACTTACTGCTAGGTAAATAGAAGTGTGTAGAAGAAGGAAACTTGCTCAACATTTCGTCCTGACAAGAACTCAATCCCAGGTTTGCAAGGCGGTCGAACCACTATTCTACAGGACTCCATTATTATAATATAAAAGATTATTATTATAAATTATTATTATTATGTAATAAGAAATGATAACAATAAGACTTGCATTTGAAGGATCAAATTACCCAAATAACCAGAGGATTGTTAAACTCTCTCTTTGCCAATAGTGTTGCCGGGTTTTTAATGTCCACCTGAACAAGTGGGACGTGGATTTATACTACATCTGACAGCAGAGCGCTCTCCCAGCATTGAGCTGCTCTATCAGCCTGCACTTGCACTGTAAGTGGCTTCAATCCATGACCTTCTAATGCGAGAATATGACTGACCCACACCAAGCCAGGCCTTACACCCCACACCGAGACACACACACCCACACACTGAACCACACTTAGCTACACCGAGACACACCTCACCCCCACACCTACACACACTGAGCCACACCCACCCACGCTAGTCACGTCCAGCCACACTGACCCACACTGAGCTGGGCCACACACCTCCACACCCAGCCATGCCGAGCCACATACCCCCACAACGAGCTACACCAAGCCAGGCCCAGCCAGACTGAGTCAGGCCAACTCCGGCCGAGGCGAGCTCCTTGTTACCTTCTGTTTGTTCCTCCTCTCGGTCCGGATCTCCTGCTGTGCCTTCTGCTGCTCGTCAAACTGCTGCAGCTTCCCCAGCTTCCTGGGGACAGGCAACATTGGGTCTGGGAGGAGAAACAGCAACATGTCAGGGGGGTGAGAGTAGGTTGGGGGGGTGGGGGTGAGGGTAAGGTTAGTTTTGGGGGGTGTGAGGGTGAGGTTGGTGGGGGGGTGATGGTTAGGTTTGGGATGTCCTCCCACTATGTGCTATAGTGTGAAAGGTGATATATAAATGTAATTTTGTTGTTGTTGGTTACTTTAGAGGGTGTGAGGGTGAGGTTCAGTTAGGTTAACTGGGGAGGGGTGAGGTTAGTGGGGGTGACGGTGCGGTTAAGAGGAAGGCTTCACATGGGGATGTTTACACAAGAAAGTGCCAACTTTGTAACCAGCGGAGGCTGTTTGACGTTCAATTCCCTGTTCTCTCCCCATCGAGTCAGTCCTGGTGCTCACTCCTGCACTGGAGCTCTCTACTCAACTCCATTCCCTGCTCTCTCTCCACTGACTCAGTCCTGGTGCTCGCTCCCCCTCTGATCCCATTTCCTATTCAGTGTCCACACAACCGGTTGGTGTTGACTCTAACCTGTGCTTTTGCTCACAACAAATTACACCCAGAAAGCAATCTGCCGTTCAACTAACAACAACAACAACAACAAGATTACACTTGTATAGCGCCTTTCACGTCGGGAGGACGTCCCAAGGCGCTGCAACTGGGTTCCTACTTCCTGCTGTAAACAGAGGCTTTGTGGAGTAAGGAAACGTGCCTAAGGTTTTGCTCTGCCCGGGAATCAAACCCGGGTCCTCTCGCTTGCGAGGCGAGAGCTCTAACCACAACGCTACAGGACTCCTTACCACATCCTCATGGTATGAAATACAACAACAACAGTAACTTGCTTTTACACAATGCCCTTCATGCAGGGCAGCGTCCCAGAGCAGAGCAATTGACAGGGAGGGAGGGAGGGAGGGGGGAGGGAGGGAGGGAGGGAGGGAGGGGGGAGGGAGGGAGGGGGGAGGGAGGTAGAGATAAATGTGTAATGTTACAGAGCCTTACCTTGCTGCCTGTATGCGGGGGCTGGGGGGCCGGGGGGCACACGCAACGCCAGCCTGTGTGTGGGAGCCTGGCCCAGGGGCGGGTTAAACGCCGACATGGCCCCTCCCGCCTGCTTCCTCTGGCCTTGATCGTTGTGATCACTGCCCTGCAGCAACCTGAGGGCAAACAGCAAACAGTAAACCAGTCAGTGACACTCAGCCCGACCCAGCACCCCCTTCACTGCCCCCCTCACACTGCCCCCACACACTGCCCCCCATTGCCCTGACTGTTACTGCCCCCTCACACTGCCCCCCATTGCCCTGACTGTTACTGCCCCCTCACACTGCCCCCCATTGCCCTGACTGTTACTGCCCCCTCACACTGCCCCCCTCACTGCCCTCCTGTTATTGCCCCCGATATGCCTCCACTTATTGCCCCCCACACACTGCCCCCCCCACACTGCCCCCCATTGCCCTCCACTTTCTGCTCCCCCTCACTGCGTCCCCCTCACTGGCTCCCCCAATGCCCCCCCTCTCCCGACACTGCCCCCCAATCCACTGTACGAAACAGGTGTAAACTCACCATTCGGTGGCCTCCTGGACGTTGAAGATCCCGGCGTTCACGGCCGCCTGTGCCCTTCGCTCCTCAAACCCCATCTCCTGTAGTGCCAACAGCACATCACTGAGGGTCTGCAGGGACACAGCGGCTCAGTGCCAACTCCTCACCGCGGCCCCACACCCACCAGCATCTCCCACACAAACCCCCCGCGAGCTCCCAGTACACTCCCCACCAGCTCCAGACAGGGAATGAGGGGCAGGGACGGGCAGTCTGGCAGTGAGGGGCAGTGACTGGCAGTGAGGGGCAGTGACTGGCAGTGAGGGGCAGTGAGGGGCAGTGACTGGCAGTGAGGGGCAGTGACTGGCAGTGAGGGGTAGTGACTGGCAGTGAGGGGCAGTGAGGGGCAGTGACTGGCAGTGAGGGGCAGTGAGGCAGTGAGGGGCAGTGACTGGCAGTGAGGGGCAGTGACTGGCAGTGAGGGGCAGTGACTGGCAGTGAGGGGCAGTGACTGGCAGTGAGGGGCAGTGACTGGCAGTGAGGGGCAGTGACTGGCAGTGACTGGCAGCGAGGGGCAGTGACTGGCAGTGAGGGGCAGTGACTGGCAGTGAGGGGCAGTGAGGCAGTGAGGGGCAGTGACTGGCAGTGAGGAGCAGTGACTGGCAGTGAGGGGCAGTGACTGGCAATGACTGGCAGTGAGGGGTAGTGACTGGCAGTGAGGGGCAGTGACTGGCAGTGAGGGGCAGTGACTGGCAGTGAGGGGCAGTGACTGGCAGTGAGGGGCAGTGAGGCAGTGAGGGGCAGTGACTGGCAGTGAGGGGCAGTGACTGGCAGTGAGGGGCAGGGACTGGCAGTGAGGGGCAATGACTGGCAGTGAGGGGCAGTGACTGGCAGTGAGGGACAGTGACTGGCAGTGAGGGGCAGTGAGGGGCAGTGACTGGCAGTGAGGGGCAGTGATTGGCAGTGAGGGGCAGTGATTGGCAGTGAGGGGCAGTGGCTGAGGCAGTGAGGGGCACTGACTGGCAGTGAGGGGCAGTGACTGGCAGTGAGGGGCAGTGACTGGCAGTGAGGGGCAGTGACTGGCAGTGAGGGGCAGTGAGGCAGTGAGGGGCACTGACTGGCAGTGAGGGGCAGTGACTGGCAGTGAGGGGCAGTGACTGGCAGTGAGGGGCAGTGAGGGGCAGTGACTGGCAGTGAGGGGCAGTGACTGGCAGTGAGGGGCCAGTGACTGGGCAGTGAGGGGCAGTGAGGGCAGTGGAGGCGGCAGTGAGGGGCAGTGACTGGCAGTGTGAGGGGCAGTGACTGGCAGTGGAGGGGGCAGTGACTGGCAGTGGGGGGCAGTGACTGGCAGTGGGAGTCAGTGAGGGGCAGTGACTGGCAGTGAGGGGCAGTGACTGGCAGTGAGGGGCAGTGACTGGCAGTGAGGGGCAGTGAGGTGGCAGTGAGGACTGGCAGTGAGGGGCAGTGACTGGCAGTGAGGGGCAGTGACTGGCAGTGAGGGGCAGTGACTGGCAGTGAGGGGCAGTGACTGGCAGTGAGGGGCAGTGACTGGCAGTGAGGGGCAGTGACTGGCAGTGACTGGCAGTGAGGGGCAGTGACTGGCAGTGAGGGGCAGTGACTGGCAGTGAGGGGCAGTGACTGGCAGTGACTGGCAGTGAGGGGCAGTGATTGGCAGTGAGGGGCAGTGATTGGCAGTGAGGGGCAGTGAGGCAGTGAGGGGCAGTGACTGGCAGTGAGGGGCAGTGACTGGCAGTGAGGGGCAGTGACTGGCAGTGAGGGGCAGTGACTGGCAGTGACTGGCAGTGAGGGGCAGTGAGGGGCAGTGACTGGCAGTGAGGGGCAGTGACTGGCAGTGAGGGGCAGTGACTGGCAGTGAGGGGCAGTGACTGGCAGTGAGGGGCAGTGACTGGCAGTGAGGGGCAGTGACTGGCAGTGAGGGGCAGTGACTGGCAGTGAGGGGCAGTGAGGGGCAGTGAGGGCAGTAACTCGAGGCTGAGGCTCAGGACCTGACACTAGGCCGCGAGGCCTCGGCCTGGATCCCGGGACATTCCCGGCTTCACTCACCGCCGCGCGGGGCTCCATAGCGCTCAGGTGTCGCTCACTCGCTGCTCAGCGCCGCGGCCGAACTCCACCTCCAGCCCCGGGCCTCAGGCCTTCCCCACCTCACCTCCCCGCGGGGCCCCGCCCCCCGCGTGACAGCCAGGGGCGGGGCCTCCCCCCGCGTGACAGCCAGGGGCGGGGCCTCCCCCCGCGTGACAGCCAGGGGCGGGGCCTCCCCCGCGTGACAGCCAGGGCGGGGCCTCCCCCGCGTGACAGCCAGGGGCGGGGTCTCCCCTGCGTGACAGCCAGGGGCGGGGCCTCCCCCCGCGTGACTGCCAGGGGCGGGGCCTCCCCCCGCGTGACAGCCAGGGGCGGGGCCTCACCCCGCGTGACAGCCAGGGGCGGGGCCTCCCCCCGCGTGACAGCCAGGGGCGGGGCCTCCCCCCGCGTGACAGCCAGGGGCGGGGCCTCCCCGCGTGACAGCCATGGGCGGGGCCCCCCGCGTGACAGACAGGGGCGGGGCCCCCCGCGTGACAGCCAGGGGCGGGGCCTCCCCCCGCGTGACAGCCAGGGGCGGGGCCTCCCCCCGCGTGACAGCCAGGGGCGGGGCCCCCCGCGTGACAGCCAGGGGGCGGGGCCTCCCCCCGCCTGACAGCCAGGGGCGGGGCCTCCCCCCGCGTGACAGCCAGGGCGGGGCCCCCCGCGTGACAGCCAGGGGGCGGGGCCTCCCCCGCGTGACAGCCAGGGGCGGGGCCTCCCCCGCGTGACAGCCAGGGGCGGGGTCTCCCCTGCGTGACAGCCAGGGGCGGGGCCTCCCCCCGCGTGACTGCCAGGGGCGGGGCCTCCCCCGCGTGACAGCCAGGGGCGGGGCCTCACCCCGCGTGACAGCCAGGGGGCGGGGCCTCCCCCCGCGTGACAGCCAGGGGGCGGGCCTCCCCCGCGTGACAGCCAGGGGCGGGGCCTCCCGCGTGACAGCCATGGCGGGCCCCCGCGTGACAGACAGGGGCGGGGCCCCCCGCGTGACAGCCAGGGGCGGGGCCTCCCGTGAGTGACAGCCAGGGGCGGGGCCTCCCGTGAGTGACAGCCAGGGGCGGGGCCCCCCGCGTGACAGCCATGGGCGGGGCCTCCCCTGAGTGACTGCCAGGGGGCGGGGCCTCCCCCCGCGTGACAGCCAGGGGCGGGGCCTCCCCCCGCGTGACAGCCAGGGGCGGGGTCTCCCCTGCGTGACAGCCAGGGGCGGGGCCTCCCCCCGCGTGACTGCCAGGGGCGGGGCCTCCCCCCGCGTGACAGCCAGGGGCGGGGCCTCACCCCGCGTGACAGCCAGGGGCGGGGCCTCCCCCCGCGTGACAGCCAGGGGCGGGGCCTCCCCCCGCGTGACAGCCAGGGGCGGGGCCTCCCGCGTGACAGCCATGGGCGGGGCCCCCCGCGTGACAGACAGGGGCGGGGCCCCCCGCGTGACAGCCAGGGGCGGGGCCTCCCGTGAGTGACAGCCAGGGGCGGGGCCTCCCGTGAGTGACAGCCAGGGGCGGGGCCCCCCGCGTGACAGCCATGGGCGGGGCCTCCCGTGAGTGACTGCCAGGGGCGGGGCCACCCCGCGTGACAGCCAGGGGCGGGGCCTCCCGTGAGTGACAGCCAGGGGCGGGGCCCCCCGCGTGACAGCCAGGGGCGGGGCCTCCCGTGAGTGACAGCCAGGGGCGGGGCCCCCCGCGTGACAGCCAGGGGCGGGGCCTCCCGTGAGTGACAGCCAGGGGCGGGGCCTCCCGTGAGTGACAGCCAGGGGCGGGGCCTCCCGTGAGTGACAGCCAGGGGCGGGGCCTCCCCCCGCGTGACAGCCAGGGGCGGGGCCCCCCGCGTGACAGCCATGGGCGGGGCCTCCCGTGAGTGACAGCCAGGGGCGGGGCCCCCGCGTGACAGCCAGGGGGCGGGGCCTCCTTTGAGTGACAGCCAGGGGGCGGGGCCTCCCCTGCGTGACAGCCAGGGGGCGGGGCCTCCTCTGAGTGACAGCCAGGGGGCGGGGCCTCCCCTGAGTGACAGACAGGGGGCGGGGCCTCCCCTGAGTGACACCCAGGGGGCGGGACCTCCTCTGAGTGACAGCCAGGGGGCGGGGCCTCCCCCTGAGTGACAGCCAGGGGGCGGGGCCTCCTCTGAGTGACAGCCAGGGGGCGGGGCCTCCCCTGAGTGACACCCAGGGGGCGGGGCCTCCTCTGAGTGACAGCCAGGGGGCGGGGCCTCCCCTGAGTGACAGCCAGGGGGCGGGGCCTCCTCTGAGTGACAGTCAAGGGGCGGGGCCTCCCCTGAGTGACAGCCAGGGGGCGGGGCCTCCCCTGAGTGACAGCCAGGGGGCGGGGCCTCCCCTGAGTGACAGCCAGGGGGCGGGGCCTCCCCTGAGTGACAGCCAGGGGGCGGGGCTCCACACACAGGTACACACTGACACAGCCCTAATGCACAGGTACTCACATTAGCGGTAAACGCTCACACAGTCACTACACACTGCCCCATATGCTCTCCCCCCCAAGTCCACTGTACAGAGGCAGTAAAGATGAAACAACTCTTTTTATTAAAGTTAAAAAGATTTTATTTCCAGTGTTTCTCTGTTTTCCTGGAGTTTCAAGTCTGAAAATTAAATACCTGTGCGGCTCAGTACAAAATCCAGTGGTAATCACACACACTCACTCACTCCATCACACCGCAACACGTCACTGACTGCTGGCGACCGGGGCGGGGGCGTCAATGTCACCCCCTTCACACCGCCGCACGGGGAGGGGGGGATGCGTCACTCAGGGCCGGTCAGGATTTGGGGTTTGTTCCCTCCAATGGCCACTGAGGTCACATCAGCCATGTGGCTCAGGACAGAACTAAGTAAACAGCGACACCGTAAACAGGCTGAAATGTGGGGCGAGAGAGAGAGAAACGGAGACACGAGTTGCATTTATACAGCGCCCTTCACGCGGGGTCGCGTCCCGGAGCGCTTGACAGTGGCGGAGTCTGACACCGAGCCAAGGGGGGAGGGCGGTGGGAGGTGACCGTAAGCACGATCAAATAGGAAGGTCTTTAGGCGGGATTTGAAGGTGGGGCGGGAGGGGGCCGAGGCGGAGGGATTGAGGGAGAGAGTTCCAGAGTTTCGGGGCGCAGTGGCTGAAGGCACGGCCATCGCTGGTGAAGCGAAGGGCACGAGAAACAAACAGGAGCCCAGAGCCAACCGAGTGGAGGCAGTGGGTGGGGGAGTGGGGGGTTAGCAGGTCGGAGAGGTGGGCGGGTGCCAGGGCACGAAGGGATTAGAAAACGAAGTTCGTGTAATCGATCCATTCGTAAATGGGAGCCAGCGAAGCCTGGCCAGGACCAGCGCGACACCGGTCTCCGACACAGGGAGACATGGTGAGGCTGTGCTTCAATGTGGTATTATCATGTGGGAATGGCTATGAAACGTCGCACGTTTAGCCCCACAATGGGGAAGGGGGTGGGGGGGGGGGGTCCCTCTCGTCTTTTTTGTATGTTCAACGAATATCAACCGTGTTTGGGTGTTGATTGTAACAGAGATTTTATATAAAACACAGCGAGGCATGCTAACACAGCCGATAAGGCAGGAAAAAAAGTGTTTGTGAATGTTTCTCTTTACTGTACAGGTTTGTTGGCGGGGAGAGGGGGTTCTCACAGGGAGTTGTTGTGGGCTGCGGGCTCCTCCACGCTCGCCCCTCCCTTATTCTCCTCCTTCAGCCCCCAGTTGTTCTGTCCGCCCGGCACCTCATCTCCCTTTGCCTTCACTGCCTCCGCTCCTTTCGTTTGTCCGTTTGACTCCTCCTGGGAACAACGACAACAAACGATATATACACAGTACCTTTCACGTCAGGAGGACATCCCAAGGCTTTGGAAGGTCAGCGATTTGGACCTGAGCTGGGGGTTTGGGATCGGGGAGGGTGCAGGGCAGGGAGGGTTGGGTAAGAGGGTGACCAAAGGCACAGTCAAAAGAGAAAGGTCTTGAGACCTGCCTTGAAGGAGGCCAGTGAGGGAGTGAGGTGAAGGGACTGTGGGATGGAGATGCCATAGAAGGCTGTGAAGGCGAGGAGGAGGATTTTGAACTCTATCCTCTGTGGGGAGCCAGTGGTGCCTGGCGACGGTGGGGGAGATAGGGTCACAGAGCTTGGTACAGGAGAGGACACAACTGCAGAATGGTCTGAATGTGGAGGGAAGAGTTGGGAAGGCCGACGGGCAAGGAGTTGGCGTAGTCGAGCCTCAATGTAATAAAAGCGTGTTTGAAGGTTTCAGTGGCCAGAGGAGGGGGGCAGTGGCGGAGCCGGGGGATGTTAATAATAATAATAATAATCCTTGCATTTGATATAGCGCTTTTCACGTCGGGAGGACGTCCCAAAGCGCTTCACAGAACACACTGTAAAGTGAATTGACTGTATATTTGTGGGCGAACGCGGCAGCCAATTGCGCACAGCAATGTCCCACAAACAGTCGTAGATTGAAAATGACCAATTTATTATTGTTTTTGGTTTTGGAGGGATTATTATTAGGCTCTGTGTGGAGTAAGGAAACTTGCCCAAGGTTTCGCCCTCTGCCTGGAATTGAACTCAGGTCTCTCACTTGCAAAGCGAGTGCTCTAACCACTGAGCTACAGGACTCCATGTTGTTGCGGAGGTGAGCAACAGTGAATGGGGAGACGGCCGGAGCAGGTGGGTTCATGGGCAGTGGATAGAGAGTGGTTGGGATTACAGGGGTGTTGGGGGGTTGAATGTGGAGTGACGAGGGATTGGTGAGGACCAGATAGGGAGTGACTGGCTGTTATGGGGGGTTGGGGGGAGAGAGGGGTGAGGAGGGTGCGGTGCTGGGACTCACATTGACCTGCGAACCCTCTGCGATTGTCGACAAGGAAAAGTTGTCATTGTGCTGCTCCATCTGTGGCCTGAACTTACTGTGTGTGAGAGAGCGAGAGAGGGACACAGAGAGGGACACAGAGAGGGACACAGAGAGGGACACAGAGAGGGACACAGAGAGAGAGAGAGACAGTGTCATTAATCAGCACAGCCTCTCCCCCTGGGGAGATTAGTGTGTGTGGGGGAGGTAGTGTGTCTGTGTCTGGCGGGGGTGGGGGTCAGTGTATTTGCGGGGGTCAGTGTGTATGGGGGGGTCAGTGTGTATGGGGGGGTCAGTGTGTATGGGGGGGTCAGTGTGTATGGGGGGGCCAGTGTGTATGGGAGGGGCCAGTGTGTATGGGGAGGGCCAGTGTGTATGGGGAGGGGCCAGTGTGTATGGGGAGGGGCCAGTGTGTATGGGAGGGGCCAGTGTGTATGGGGAGGGCCAGTGTGTATGGGGAGGGGCCAGTGTGTATGGGGAGGGGCCAGTGTGTATGGGGAGGGGCCAGTGTACATGGGGAGGGGCCAGTGTACATGGGGAGGGGCCAGTGTACATGGGGAGGGGCCAGTGTACATGGGGAGGGGCCAGTGTACATGGGGAGGGGCCAGTGTACATGGGGAGGGGCAGTGTATATGGGGAGGGGGCAGTGTATATGGGAGGGGGCAGTGTATATGGGGAGGGGGCAGTGTATATGGGAGGGGGCAGTGTATATGGGGAGGGGGCAGTGTATATGGGGAGGGGGCAGTGTATAGGGGGGGCAGTGTATAGGGGGGCAGTGTATACGGGGGCAGTGTATACGGGGGCAGTGTATACGGGGGGCAGTGTATACGGGGGGGCAGTGTACACGGGGGGCAGTGTACACGGGGGGGCAGTGTACACGGGGGGGCAGTGTACACGGGGGGCAGTGTACACGGGGGGACAGTGTACACGGGGGGACAGTGTATACAGGGGGCAGTGTATAGGGGGGCAGTGTACACGGGGGGCAGTGTATACGGGGGGCAGTGTATACGGGGCAGTGTATAGGGGGGCAGTGTACACGGGGGCAGTGTATACAGGGGCCAGTGTATACGGGGGCAGTGTACACGGGGCAGTGTATACGGGGCAGTGTATATGCTCACCTCCTCTTGCGCAGTTTCCTGTTCTCGGTTTTGAGGGAGTAGAGCTTTTTGGCGAAGCAGACAGTCAGCATAAACAGCAGCAACAGCGCAGCCGCCGTTGAGCCCACAGCCACACACAGCACCTGGAACTCGGTCAGCACCGCCTCACACCTCAGCCCCTTGTGCCACAGGTACGCCTGTGCGTTACACCTGCACAGGGAGACACGGAGTCACTGCGCACACGCACACACACACACACACACAGCCAGAGAGTCACTGAATACACACACAGCACCGCCTCACACCTCAGCCCTTAGTGCCAGATACAGGCGCCTGGGCGTTACACTAGTACACACACACACACACACACACACACAGTGTCACACACTGACACACACACACACACACGCAGTGTCACACACTGACACACACACACACAGTGTCACACACTGACGCACACACACACACAGTGTCACACACTCACACACACACACACACACACACAGTGTCACACACTGTCGCACACACACACACACACACAGTGTCACACACTGACACACACACACACAGTGTCACACACTGACGCACACATCGGGAGGACATCCCAAGGCGCTGGACAGACACAAATACACAGACACACACACAGTGTCACACACTGACACACACACAGTGTCACATAGTGACACACACACACAGTGTCACATAGTGACACACACACACACAGTGTCACACAGTGACACACACACACAGTGTCACATAGTGACACACACACACACACAGTGTCACACACTGACACACACACACAGTGTCACACACACACACACACACACTGTCACACACACACACACAGTGTCACACAGTGACACACACACACACAGTGTCACACACTGACACACACACAGTGTCACACAGTGACACACACACACACACAGTGTCACACACTGACACACACACACACACACAGTGTCACACACACACACACACACACAGTGTCACATAGTGACACACACACACAGTGTCACATAGTGACACACACACAGTGTCACACACAGACACACACACACAGTGTCACATAGTGACACACACACACACACAGTGTCACACACTGACACACACACACACACACACACACACACAGGAGACAGGAATGGACGGCGTCTCTCGGGAGGCCAGAGTGGAGCTGTCGGCTCCCATGGGAACCATTAAAGCTGTATTAATCCGCGGCACAATGTGAGGAGGTCAGTGACCCCCTCCCCAGCGCTCGCACTCACACAATCCACATTACACCGCTCCGAGCTCCGCATTACACCTCAAAGCTTTTCTCTGGAAAGTGACTGTGTGTTTTGTTGGCGAACACAGCAGCCAATTTTGCACACAGCAATCTGGTGATGCTGTCGGCACCTGAGGTGAGGTCCGCTTCACGGCCCCCGCCTCGCTCACCCTTCTATTGGCGGCCGGGACTTCCGCCACTCTGCCCCCACCCTCTGGAACTCCATCCCGCAGTCCCTCCGTCTCGCCCCCTCCCTCGCCACCTTCAAGACCCACCTCAGGATCTTCCTCTTCGACTGCGCTTTCGATCTCCTGCTTCCCCCCCTCTGCCCTCCACCCTCCCCCACCCACACCCCGACCCTCAGCTCGGGTCGGTAACTCTGTCTGTGCAGCGCCTCGGGACGTCCTCCCAACGTGAAAGGCGCTTTACACATGTCATTTTGTTGTTGACGTTCAACTGAAGAAAGTTCGCTCTGATCCAGGACTTGACGTCTGACAGACATTCTGTCAGGACAGCAGTGGGTCCTGGAGTCGAGGGCGGAGGCAGAGAGGGAGAGTTGGGTGTCATACATGTGGAAGTTGACCCCATGATTGCGGATGACATTGCTGAGCGTGTAGATATTAAAGAGAGGACGAAGGACACAGCCCTGAGGAACAATGCATATGACATACCTCTATATCGTCTGATATTTGCAGTGACACCTCTATTTAGTAGGATATCGTGCGTAAAAAGAGATGGTGGAAGGCTCAAGGGAGAGGGAGATAAGGAAATGGTCGGAGATGGCATTGACCACCATGAAGAGCTCAAATATATGGAGGCAGCTGAGGTTGAGGGGCAGCCTGGCCGGGGGGGGGGGGGGGGGGGGGGGCAGAACGAGCTCCGGGAGGGAGGGGGCAATGGGGACGGACTCCAGGAAGGAGGGGGCGAGGCTGAGTGCTGTAGTTAGGGGTAGTTCCAGAGAGTGGGGGTAAATAGGCTGAAAGCCAGATCGCCGATGGTGGTGGGGAGGGTGGGGTCCGTGAAGCAGGGCGGTGCTCGCTGAGCGGAAGGAACGGGTGGGTTGGTCAGGTTACAGACGGTCGTAGAGGTCGGGTGGGGTAAGACCACGGAAAGATCAACTCAATCTTGTACTCTATCCTCTGAGGGATGGGGAGCCAGTGGAGCCGGGCGGGGATGGGGGTGATGGGGTCACACAGCCTGGTGCAGGAGAGGACACAAGCTACAGAGTTTTAGATGATCTGTAGCTTGTGGGGGGGGGAAAAGAGTCAGGAAGGCCAACAAGCAGGTAGTCGGCTTAATCTAGTCTGGACATGATAATGGCATCAATAATGGTGTCGGTGGCCTGAGTGTCGGAGGTGGGGACATTGCGTAGGTGGGCAAAGCTGAGCAGGTCAGGTCAGGGATGTGGCGTTTAAATGATTGGGAGTCAAACAAGACCCAGAGGTTCCTCATGGACTCTGTGAGCGCAATGTACATCCCTGTGGGTTGATACCAGGAAGCACCGACTCGTTTCAGCCCCTTGGAGAGGAAGAACAGTAGGTTCCAGGAAGGACAGGATGTACCATCAATATTAATCCTTGCATTACATACAGCGCCTTATCAGGTCTTCAAGACGTCTCAAAGCTCTTCTCAGAATATACTGGGAAGTGAATTGACTGCGAACTTTGTGGGCGAAACACGGCAGCCAATTGGACACGGTACTGTCCCACAAACAGCCGGGGATTGAGTGGCAACAGTTTTTTTTAATTTTGAAGGGATTATTAGCCCCAGAAATGCGATCCACCAACAACTAACAACCGGGTTCCTACTGACTGTGAGGTAGATAGAGGTGTGAGCGTGTGTGGAGTAAGGAAACCTGCCCACATTCTGCCCTGCCCGGGAATCGAACCCAGGTCCTCTTGCTTGCGAGGCGAGCGCTCTAACCACTAAACTACAGGACTCCACATCAGATCAGTTTATGGGGAACCCCCCCGAGCTCCTCAGCATGCACCCCCCCCCCCCCCCCCCTTTCCCCCCGTGACGTGCTGGGCAGACACGGTCACTGACCTGCAGATGGGCCCCAGCGTCTCCATGAGGAAGCACTGTCCCCCGTTGAAGCAGTAGCTCGGCACCATGTCACACAGCGATTTGCAGGAGTTATTGTGGAGGAAGTAACCGGGTTTACAGCCCTCCCCATCACTCGTCACCTCATCTCCCAGTGCCCCACCCCCCCCAGCCTGCCTACTCTCCGAACCCACGGCCCCCGGCACTCCACTGCCCCCTACCACACCACCCCCCACTCCGCTGCTCCCCACCACACCACCCCCCACTACACTGCTCCCCACCACACCACCCCCCACTCCGCTGCTCCCCACCTCACCAACCCCCACCACCCCCCCCCACTCCACTGCTCCCACCCCCACCCCCCCACCTCACCACCCCCCGGCACAACAACCCCTACCACACCCTCCACCTCACCGCCCCCACCTCACCGCCCCCCACCTCACCTCCCCCCACCTCACCGCCCTCTGGCAGCACCCAATCAAAGCTGAAGTCCCCATCTGGCGCTGACTGTCCGGTCACTTGTGTGTGGTCAGGGGGGGCTGTGGTCAGGCTGGCTCCCCCCGGCTCAGTGCCCGCGACTCCGGCCGGTGCCAGGCTGTGGGCAGGTTCGATGGTCACGGGCAGGCGGGTGGCGTCCAGATCGGTTGTGCTGTTAGCCCAGGGGTCTGGCTCGGAGAGGGTCTCCGGGGAGCTAGTGGGCACCGTTGCCCAGCGCACCATCAGGTCCAGGTCCAGGGAGTCGGTGCTGCCCTCAACACCCAGTGTGACCAGCTCGGTGCTCGCTCCGGCGGGCAAGCCCAGACCCAGTGAGTCGGTGTCGGTGACTATCAGAGAGGGGCTGAGAGACTCCCCGCTGCCCTCAGGCGATGCCAAGGGCCGAGCGGAGCGGGGGCCAGGGCCCCTGGGAGACACTCTTGCTGCTGCTCGCTCGCCCTCATTATCGCTGCTGGTCCTCACAACGTCCTTCGCAGCCCGGCTCCTCTCCATCCCAGGGTTGTTGTCAGCCTCTGCCCTCGGGCCCCTGGCTCCTGGGGCCCAGGCCCCCACCTTCGCTGGCAGTGGGACGTCTAGGCGCGCCAGGCTGTGGTGGGTGTCAGCGCCAGGCGGGTCTGAGTCCCGAGAAGGGGGGCCAGAGCCAGCCACAGGTAACAGCGGAGTGGAGCCAGGCAGGTAGTGAGAGGCCGCGCCTGCAATAGGGGATGGGAAAATAGGAGAGAATTAGTAACACTGATCACACTCACTGCGCAGAGTGTGTGTCACCCATGTTCACACACAGGCTGTTCACAAAGTCCTGTTACTCCCCCCCCCTCTACCCCCGTTATTTTTCTTGCAATTAATTTTATTTTCTGTTGTAGATGAGCGCAGGTCTAATACCAGTAACTTCCTCCTCATTCACTCACTCACTCCAGCACTGAACATGGCAACCGATCATTAACTACCATGAAAATAATAATCCTTGCATTTAATGCAGCGCCTTATCACGTGTTCGAGACGTCTCAAAGCGCTTCACAGAATATACTGTAAAGTGAATTGACTGTATATTTTGTGGACAACACGTGGCAGCCAATTGCACACAGCAGCGTCCCACAAACAGTTGTGGATTGAGTGACCAAATTATTATTTTTTTTTGAAGCGTTTATTAGCCAGAAAAGCAATCCACCAATTCATTAACAACCGGGTTCCTACTTAATACTGGTAAACAGAAGCGTGTGGAGTAAGGAAACTTGCCGAACATTTCACACTGCCCGGGAATCAAATCCAGGTCCTCTCGCTTGCGAGGCGAGTGCTCTAATCACTGAGCTACCTTCATGAAAATGATAGCGCTCACACTCACACCAATCCTATGGACATCTGAATACAATTACACACTCGCACTGAGTACAATTAAGCACTCGTAAATACAATTATCATCATGCTTCCACATGTTTCAGTTGTGGAGTCCTGTAGCTTAGTGGTTAGAGCACTCGCCTCGCAAGCGAGAGGACCTGGGTTTGAATCAACAACAACAACAACAACAAAAACAAATTACATTTGTATAGCGCCTTTCATGTCAGGAGGACGTCCCAAGGCGCTGGACAATCAGGGATCTGTACCTGAGCTGGTGGTTGGGATCGGGAGGGGTGGAGAGCGGGGAGGGGAGGGGTAGAAGGGTGATCGAAGGCACGGTCGAAGAGGAGGGTATTGAGACGGGTTTTGAAGGAGGCGCGGGAGGGGGCGAAGTGGAGGTTATTGTGAGATGGAGTTCCAGAGGGTGGGGGCAGAGAAGCTGAAGGCCCGCCCAGAAATGGCGGGGCGGGCAGTGCGGGTGAGCAGACATGTTGGTAGGACAGATTCACAGACAGAGAGGGTGGAACACTGGGTAAGTTTAATAAATAATAATTTGTGGGCCATAATCCACGACTGTTTGTGGGACACTGCTGTGTGCAATTGGCTGCCGCATTTCGCCCACAAAATATACAGTCAATTCACTGTACAGTATATTCTATGAAATACGAGGTGTCTCGAAGACATGATATGGCGCTGTGTCAAATGCAAGGATTATTATTATTACATTGCCCGGGGTCGAGGGTCAGACTCTCTCTTGTTCAATGTTTGTGGAGCAGAAACTCCCCAGAAAATGATCCGAGTTCGACCTCCCCTCAACCCGCGAGGACATCATTTACCCGCAAATTCCCACAGATCAACAGCTAACATCTGCTTCTCCATCAGCCTCTATTGTTCGAGTCTCTGCCTGTGTCTGTGCCGCGGAGAGGAGGGGCTGTCACTGTGTGAGAATCCTTCACATCAACCCTGGGCTGTAACAATCTGCACAGCCTGAGACACACCGAGAGACAGAGACACACAGACACAGACACACCGAGAGACAGAGACACACAGACACACCGAGAGACAGAGACACACAGACACACCGAGACAGAGACACACAGACACACCGAGAGACAGAGACACACAGAGAGACAGAGACACACCGAGAGACAGAGACACACAGACACAGACACAGCGAGAGACAGAGACACACAGACACACCGAGACAGAGACACACAGACACACAGAGAGACAGAGACACACAGACACAGAGAGAGACAGAGACACACAGACAGAGACACACACAGAGAGAGAGACTACAACAGCCTATACACAATCTCATTGATAATTACATTACACACACACTGACACACACACACCGACATACATGCAGACAATGCACCCATACACTTACACCCCACTGATCACACACACACACACACACACACACACACACACACCACACACACACACACAAAACACACACACACACACACACAGGCAAAACACACACACACACACACAGGCAACACACACACACACACACACGCGCCGCGTAGACAGACAATCCTCGTAATTTAAAAGGATTCAGTGTTATCGGATTTAAGGATATAAACCAAAAAAATCCTGTGAGAAACTGGACGGGCGGTTTATAAAGCTCTATAATCCACCCCGTGTGGTGTTGGTACAGACACATATATGTAGAGAGAGACACGGACACACACACACACACACACAGATACACACACTGATACACACACACACACACACACAGATACACACACACACACACACACACACAGATACACACACACACACACACACAGAGATACACACACTGATACACACACACACAGACAGAGGGACACAGACAAAGGCTGAAATGAAGTGTAAAGGATCTGATTGATTCTGAGCCGGTGGTTTACTACACAAACTGCTCAGTCCCTCCCCACATACCCCCCTCACACATACACCCCCCTACACCCCCTCCCCCCCCTCACACACATACACCCTCCTCTCCCCACACATACACCCCCCTACACCCCCTCACACACATACACCCTCCTCTCCCCACACATACCCACCCACACCCCCCCCCCCTACACCCCTCACACACATACACCCCCCCCCCCCCCCCCCCCCCACCCCCCCCCCCCCGTCTCCCCCACACACAGCACAGTGGGGGTGGGGGGCTCTGACCAGACGCAGCTCAGGTTGACAATGAGAAGCTGATGTCTGGCTCTGCCCCCCCCATAAACACCCCCCCATATACACCCCCCCCATAAACACCCCCCCATAAACACCCCCCCATAAACACCCCCCCATATACACCCCCCCATAAACACCCCCCCATAAACACCCCCCCATAAACACCCCCCCCCCCCCCCCCCCCCCATATAAACACCCCCCCCCCCCCCCCCCGGTCACTCACCCAGCCCAGCAGCCGGCAGACAGGGCAGTGCAGGCAGGAGACACAGACAGAGACACAGACTCCCAGCGCTCGGCAACAGCAACAGCAATGGTCCCCTCCCCATCACTGCTCCTCTCTCTCCTCTCTCCTCTCTCTCTCAGCCTCTCACACCCTCTCCCTCTCACACTCACACTCTCTCCCTCTCTCACTCACTCACTCACTCACACACACTCCATCTCCCGGACACTTGTTTGCAAAGGGAAAAGGCTGAGAGTGAGAGAGAAAATGGAATTGGTTTAATCTGCAGATTCTCTCTCTGTGTGTGTGTGAGTGTCAGTCAGACAGTGTGACCACAGCGGCCCCTCACTGTCTGTCTGAGCTATGGCACGTACTCACGTATACACACTCATACACACTCATATACACATTCTCATACACACTCTCTCATGCACACACTCACTCACATACACTCATTCACATTCTCACACCCACTCAAGTCTCAAACACACACTTCGTCACTCACACATTTACTCTCACATGTTCCTCACTCACCTGCTCACACTCAGGACATTTGCAAACATACGCTCACAGCAGACGTGCACTCACACTTCACACACACACTTTCACCTGATCACCTTCTCAGGTCAAAACATTTTAAAACAATCCCAGGGTTTTCCTGTTTCCTGCGACGTGCAGTGACTGTTAATCCAATACTCCACCACCCACATAGTCACCACATTAAGCTCTGTAGCCCCATCACTCCAGTCCTCACCAGACTCCACTGACTCCCCATCACCAAACAGATTCAGTTCACTTGGTGTCCATTCACCTCTCAGACCCGCTTACTCCCCAACCCACGGCCTCCGCTCGGCCTCCGCTCGGCTGGCTCGGGCTTCCTGCTCGTCCCTCATGCCCTCCGTTCCACCATTGGTAGCCGCGCTTTCAGCCTCTACGCCCTGAAGCTTTGAAACTTTCTCCCCCAATCTCCCTCTCACCCCAATCTCCCCCTCTCTCCCCTTCTCTCTGTGTAAGGGTCAGTCCTCCCTGATGTGTGGACAATGCTTATGAATGAATCAGCCGCTCACACACCACACACTCTCACAGCCACTCAGTGAGTGAGACGCTCAGGCTTTGTGTCTGAGCCCGGCTTAGAGAGAACAGCAAACCACAGCAGTGTTGTGTTTGTGTGTCTATCTGTGTTCCTGTGTGTGTATATGTATGTGTGTGTGTTGGGGGGTGGCGGGGGGCAGAGCTTGAATGTCTGAAGCCGGGGCTGTTAGAGCGGGAGACTCGGGGGGTGGAAATCTGTAGTTTAGCGGTTAGAGCACTCGTCTCACAAGCAAGAGGACCTGGGTTCAATTCCCGGGCAGGGCGAAATGTTGGGTAAGTTTCCTTACTTCACACAAACGGCTCAGATTACCTAGCAGTAAAGGGACCCAGTTGTTAAGTCGTTTGGTGGATCGCTTTTCCAGGGGTAATAATCCCTCCAAAAAATAATCTGGTCACTCAATCCACAACTGTTTGTGGGACACTGCTGTACGCAATTGGCTGTCGCGTTTCACCCACAAAATATACAGTCAATTCACTTTATAGTATATTCTATGAAGCGCTTTGAGACATCTCGAAGACACACACACACAGCACGAGGTGTGATAGCACAGCAATGAAATGAGTTTGTAAATCAGAGTGCTTTACCTGTGCTGGTGGCTCCGCCACACCCCTTCTGGCCCTGCCCAAGGCCCACAGTCCAGGGAATGATCACCGCCGTCAGATATTGTCTGTACAGGAGGCAAAACAACAACAGCTCACACCCCATCCACCCCCTCCCCCCACTGATCAGGTATGGAGTGTATCTTCATTCCACGGAGAGATGTATTCTGCACTGTATCGCTGTGTGACAGTGGGTCATTGTTTGAATGTCTCAGTGTGTTAGGGTGTCAAGCGATCTGGGACGCTACCCCATGTGAAGGGCGCTATATAAATAAATGCATGTTGTTGCCAGGCACTGACTGATCACGGTGACGGGTTTCCCTGTGTACACCGTTTGACCAAAATGAATCCTGGCTTGAACAGGAACAGTGGCCACTTGGACAGACAGTGGAGAGTAGCCCAGTGTCCAGGGAGTCACAGCCCAGGGATAGGAAGAAAATTAAACAAATGTCTTCAGATTTGTCTCCAATTAGACATCTGATGTGGTCACAGATAACCTGCGTCTCCTGCAGGGACTCCCTTTGTGGGTAAACAGCAAAGAATATGTATACACGGACCCAGGCACGTTTGAGGCCCTGGAGCTCAGTGGTTAGAGCGCTCGACTCGAAAGTGTGAGGATCCGGGTTTGATTCCTAGACAGCGCAAAACGTTAGGTAAGTTTCCTTACTCCACAAGCCTCTGTTTACCTAACAGTAAGTCGGAACCCAGTTGTTAGTCGATTGCAGATCGTTTTCTGGGGATAATAATCCCTTCAAAACTAAATAATTTTTTTAAAAAAAAATTGGTCACTCAATCTGTGACTGTGAGACGCTGCCGGGCACCTCAGCTAAAGTCTCATCTCAAGCACACCATCTCTGCCCCTGTAGCTGTGTGTGTGTGTCCCACTGGTCTGTGAGCTTCATGTCCTGATGTAGGACACCGTATCCCCATCACACAGTTCGAGTCGGGCTCCACTGGCTCCCTATCACCAAACAGGTCGATTTCAAGATCCTCGCACTAGTTTTCAAATCCCTTCGTACCCTGGCCACGCTTTCAGCACTACACCCTGAAACTCTGGAAAACTCTTCCTCTATCCCTCCGCCTTGCCCCTTCCTTCCCCATTATCTGGTCGTGGCTGAAGACCTTCCTCTTCCGACCAGTGTCATCTCCCCTTCCCCCCAACTCAGCATCGTGCTCCGCCACTGTCGCTCTGGGACGCTACCCTGGATTATGGGCGCTACATAAACGCAAATTGTTGTTGTAAGACATGAACCACAGCTTTCTGCTTGAGAGGCGAGCATCAGAGCCAGAGCCAGGTTGACTAGGGTCAGGATAATGCGATGCGCTGGATGAACAGGTCACTGTCTCGCTGACTGAATCAACTTTGATGTAAAAAGAAAACAAACGCCTTTTTATTTTGAAAATGTCAAGTTCCACCAAGATAGAGCCAACAGTGACACGTTCTCCCCCCACACCCCACACATACACACTACAGGCCAGAGTCACCACTAAGTCAAGGTCCAGCCTCCCGCTCCTTGCCCCCCCCCCACCCTCAGCACGGACCGACTCTCACTGTTATAAATCCACAATTCCATCCTGGTCCACACCGAGTGATCTGACAGCCCACTGGGTAACCGGCCACTTGCCATTCAGCACCTGACCACATTTGGTAAAGGAAGCCCTCTCTGTACTCGAGTGTGCAGCCCCCTCGCCCCCCCCCCCCCACCAAACACAAACCACAGCCACACGCACACAGTCACGCTCACAGCAAGCCATGGTGCTGCTCACTGCTGTCTCCTCCTGATCCAGCTCAGCAGGAGCGACGAAGGGAGGGAGGGAGAGTGGGAGCACGACACAAAGCTCTGAAACACGAGCCAGGTGTAACTCGCACTCACTGAGACCCAATGGCTAGAGGTCAGTCCAAGTTTGAGGAGTGATGGAGGGGTGGGAGGCTGCTGCTTGAGCTCAGTCAGAGAGAGGGTGGGGGCCTTGTCTGGAGGGAACACACGCTTTCGGCTGTAATCCAGGGAGCGGGTGAGAGAAAAAGCCTGACCTTGAACTGAACACTAACGCAGTCCTGCTGATGGTGACTGTATCCCTTTGACCGACAGGTGATGGAAACCAACTGTCCCAATGCCCCTCCATACTGTGTGTGTGTGTATGTGGCAGCACGTGAGCCGGACTCAGGGCTTACACCCCTCCATTGCAGTGTGTGACAGACCGGTGATGGAGGTCCATGAGATGGGCACAGACGGGTTAGTTACTGTGGGGTTGGATCAGAGTCTGATATCTCAGTCATTGTACTGAGGACCAACTCGGCTTTGCCCAGTGACTTGCCGCTGCTTACCCTGGGGAGTGGGAGGAACCCACTGGAACTTGCCCTGTAGCTCCCAGCCATCCGCCCCCCCAATTTCAGGTCACTGTAAAGTGTAGTGACTGTATTTGTGACACAAACACCACCACAGTCTCTACTCCCTGTGCCAACTGCTCTGATATGGGCGGAGCCGGACGAGGTGAGGGCGGCAGGGCCGGATGGGGTGAGGGCGGGGCTGCACAGGGTAAGGGCGGGACTGGCCAGTGGTATGTGTGGGGTACGGCTGGCATGTGGGGGCGGGGCTGGGTTATTGAGGGCAGGGATGGACTGTGTTTGAGGGTGGCGCTGGACAGTGGTTGTTGAGGGTGATGCTGGACACTGTTGAGGCGGGGCTGGCTTGTGGGGGCGGGGCTGGACAGTGTTGGGGTGGGGCTGAACAGTGATGAGGGTGGGGCTGGCTTGTGAGGGCGGGGCTGGACAGTGTTGGGGTGGAGCTGGACAGTGATGAAGGCGGGGCTGGCTTGTGAGGGCGGGGCTGGACAGTGTTGGGGGTGGGGCTGGACACTAACCAGGGCAAAGAGATAGACTCTACTAAGTGAACTCCAGTAATATCCAACATGTGTGACATCTACACTGAGATGCGACAGACAGACTGACAGACAGACAGAGAGGTAGAGCAGAGGAGAGCCAGACCAGTCACCACATGGACAGCCCTGGCAAATGGCAAACACTCTAAATCTAGTCATTTTGCCCAAGGAATCTTTCTTCTGAGAATGCCTGACCCAGCCCAAGACATTAGGACATGGAAAGGCCATCAGTGAGTGGGTGTCAGAGGGAGGTAGCTGAGAGCACGAGTGGTGGCTTGGGTTCGGCAAGTCTCCTTCACACAGGGCTGGGCTGGGCCGGGCTGAGCCAGGCTATGGCCCTGAGGACACTGGTGCTGGTGTGGGGCCTGCGATGCCATCCAGCTGAACAGGAGGAGTGGGATCTGTGGAGAGGATCAGAGAGCAATGATCATCATCAACTACTGGAGCTCTCTAACCCCATTCCCTGCTCTCTCTCTCCATCGTGTCTGTGCTGGGACTCGCTCCCCCACTGGAGCTCTCTACTCTAACCCCATTCCCTGCTCTCTCTTTCCCCATCGTGACTGTGCTGGGGCTCGCTCCCCCACTGGAGCTCTCTACTCTAACCCCATTCCCTGCTCTCTCTCTCCCCATCGTGACTGTGCTGGGGCTCACTCCCCCACTGGAGCTCTCTACTCTAACCCCATTCCCTGCTCTCTCTCTCCCCATCGTGACTGTGCTGGGGCTCGCTCCCCCACTGGAGCTCTCTACTCTAACCCCATTCCCTGCTCGCTCTCTCCCCATCGTGTCTGTGCTGGGGCTCGCTCCCCCACTGGCACTCTCTACTCTCTCCCCATTGTGTCTGTGCTGGGGCTCACTCCCCTACTGGAGCTCTCCACTCTAACCCCGTTCCTTGCCTACAGTGTCATGCGCTGTTCTCCCCCACACCCCCAGCCATGCGCTGAGCTCTTACACATGCCGTTGGTAGCGGCTGCCGGTCGTGGGCCCATCATGTTGCCGTGACCAGGCGGCACGCCAGCCGGGGGCAGGTGCGGAGCAGCTCCTGGAGGCAGATTGGGCTGAAGGTTCGGCATCATCCGGCCTGGCATGGGCTGTCCTGGCATCATCGGCATCTGGCCTGTGTCAACATAAAACATCCCATCAGCACCCGGCAACTGCGATACACAGACACAATAAAGCTCCCTCTACGCTGTCTGTCCACACTGCCAGGTCAGGCTTAGAGACAGATAAGAGAGAGGCAACGTGTGAGAGAGGGGGAGGGAGCTTGTGTGCGAGGGAAAACAACAGAATTGTGAGAGATGGGGGTGTATGACAAAGGAGATGCGAGTGAGTGCCACAGGGCGGGGGGTGTGACAGATAGGGGGGGGGGGGAAAGAGTTTTACTGAGAATGGGGCGAGTGTGACAGACAGAAGGGGGGGGGGAGGGAGTGTGACAAAGAGAGGGGATGTGTGGCAGAGAAGTGAGTTGTGTGGCAGAGGGGTGGGTGTGGCAGAGAGGGGGAGGTGTGTAGCAGAGGGGTGGGTGTGGCAGAGAGGAGGGGGGTGTGTGGCAGTGAGGGGGGGGTGTGTGGCAGAGAGGAGGGGTGTGGCAGAGGGGTGTGTGTGGCAGAGAGGGGGGGTGTGGCAGAGGGGTGGGTGTGGCAGAGAGGGGGAGGTGTGTGGCAGAGAGGGGGGGGTGCGGCAGAGAGGGGGGGGGTGTGTGGCAGTGAGGGGGGGGTGTGTGGCAGAGAGGGGGGGTGGGAGTGTGACAGTGAGGGGAGTGTGACAGAGAGAGATATAGAGGGAGGACGCGGTGGTGTGTGAGTGTGTGTGAGTGAGTGAGTGGGGGGCATGTGTGAAGGAGCCTGTGGAGTTGAGCAGTGCTGTGATCAGCCTCTCATAACAAGCCTAGAATTACTAATTACCATCTGTCTGTTGGAGAGAATGTAGGTCACATAGAGATGGCGCGCAGGCGGCCTCTGGGGAACTTGTCTAACGGAGAGACCGGCCAAGTGGCCACAGGAAGCTGCCTCTACCCCTACCCCTCTCTCTGTGCCCGTGACTGTCTGCCTGCAGACAGCCTGGGGGGGGCACCAACCAATACTGTGCCATTGCTCTTTGCCCCTCACTCACACCGTTCCAGCCCCATGCCCACAACAGCGGGCTGTCATCTCCCTCACTTGCTGATCACTCACACACACAGCCCCCCCCCCCCACTCCCACTCACGCACAGTTTCCCCCCCCGTTCACAGTCCCCGCCCCCCAACGCGCGCACAGCCCACCCCCCCGCACGCGCGCACAGCCCACCCCCCCCCACCGTGCGCACAGCCCAACCCGCCAACACGCGCGCACAGCCCCCCAACCCGTGCGCACAGCCCCCCCAACCCGTGCGCACAGCCCCCCGCCAACACGCACGCACACACACCGCCTACAGCCTTCACTCACAAAATATATAGTCAATCCACTTTACAGTATATTCTGTGAAGTGCTTTGAGATGTGATAAAGCCATTTCAGACCATTATTTCATCTCCCTTCACTCCTCCAGCATCCTCCCTGCCACCCAAAGCACGTATATCACCTATTGTGTTCAAATCCATTCGCTCCCTGGCAGCTCCCTACCTCTCCAACCTGCTTACTCCCCAATCCACCACCCAGCGCCTCCGCTCAACTGGCACTCGCCTCCTGCTTGTCCCTCGCACCCTCTGCCCCGCCATTGGAAGTCGTTCTTTCAGCCACTACGCTCCAAAACTCTGGAACACTCTCCCCCAATCCCTCCGCTTTGCCCCCTCTCTCCCATTTCAAGTCCTGCCTGAAAACTTTCCTATTCAACCGTGCTTACAGCCACCTCCCCCCTACCCCTGGCTCGGAGTCAGGCTCCGCCACTGTTAAGTGCTCTAAGACGCTACCCTGCGTGGAGGACGCTATATAATGGCCCCAGGAAACAAATCTCCTCTAAAATCATCCACCACCCTCTGGTATTCCTCCTGCAACAACCTACCCTCTACATTCACTCTCCTCCACTACTCCCACTCTGTTATCCTTGACACTTTTGCTTGTCACCTCCTGCACCGCCACTTACTCCTGCAAGTCCCCCTGCTACCAGCCATCTCCCTTTGCACCCCCCTCCAGCTCTCTTGCCTCCTTCAGGGTCCATCTCAAGACCTTCCGCTTTGATCATGCCGGTGGTCACCCCCCCACACCCACCTCCTTGCCCTCCACTCTTCTTGATTCCAACACCAGCTCGGATGCAAAATGTTCAGCATCTTGGGACGTTCGCCCGATGTGAAAGCCACTACTGTATAGAAATATGTTTTGTTTGTTGTTGCCATTGATATCGCTGCCTGGCAAGCTTTCCTGCTGTTTGTCCAGCCAGGACCTCCATACCCATTGGGCTTTGGCTACAGGAGCTGAGTCGGAGGATTCCCTGCTCTCAGTGACTGGTCTGCCCTTCCAGGGCCTGCCAATGAGCCAGACTGCAGGGGTGCCCTGGAATACTGCAGTCCCTCCTGGCTCAGGAACCGGACTACAGGCCGTCACAGAGGATGGGCTTGATTCTGACATTCTATTGCTAAACACGTCACGTTGAAGCCAGTTCAGCTTAGATAATTATTGCCAGGATAATTGTCCTGGGGGTAATCGGTGTCTCCTTGAAGCTGAACAGGCTCCAAGATGAAGTGCCTGGTAAGTGCTCTCTCCCACGCAGCCAGCCTCAAACACACATACCAAAGTGGCAACGGTCCACACCCAGGGCCATACTGTAGAGAGGCCTAAACCTGACCGCCAAAGGCTGATGAGGTGTAACACAATAATAATCCTTGCATTTGATATATATCACCTCCACACCTCGTTGAGACAACTCCAACTTGCACTTATATAGCACCCTCCATGCAGGGTAACGTCTCAGAGTGCTTAACAGTGGTGGAGCCTGACTCTGAACTGGGGGCGTGGAGAAAGGTGGCCGGAAGCAATGTCGAAGAGAAGTTTTCAAGTGGGTCTTGAAAGAGGGGAGAAAAAAGGGGGCAAGGCGGAGGGATTGAGGGAGAATGTTTCCAGAGTTTTGGGGTGTAGTGGCTGAAAGGTGGTAGTCCTCCGATGGTGGAGCGGAGGGTGTGAGGGACGAGCAGGAGCCTGTGTCAGTCGAGCAGAGGCGCTGGGTGGTGGATTGGGAAGTGAGGAGGTCAGAGAGGTAGGGAGGTGCCAGGGAGTGAAGGGATTTGAACACAAGTGTGAGGTTCTTGAAGTTGATCCATTCCGTGATGGGGAGCCAGTGCAGCCTGGACCAGAACTGGTGAGATGTAGGTATGGAGTTTGGTCTGGGTCAGTATGCGGACGGCAGAGTCTGAATCAGCTGAATCTTGTGAATGGTGGAGCTGGGGAGACAGGCGAGGAGTGCGTTGGAGTAAACCAATCGGGAGGTGACAAACAAATGCACAAGGGTTTTGGCTGCATTTGGGGTAAGGTACGGCTGGAGGGCAATGTGGTGGAGGTGGAAGAAGGCGGTACAGGTCACAGACCGGATGTGGGGGAAAAAGGACAGCTGGGGGTCAAACCGGACACCTAGGTTGTGCACTGGTTTTGGTGAGTCTGCGGGAGAGCCCAGGGAAGTTGAGGAGTTTAGATCCGCAGGAGTGAAGACATTGACAAAAAACAAAAAGTATGGCTTCTATCTTGTCCATATTCAGCTGCAGGAAATTTATATTCATCCAGGCCTTGATGTTTGCCAGACAAGCTGATAGAACATCAGCAGACCTGGAGTTGGTACTGGAGGAGGCAAAGTAGATTTGTGTGTCATCTGCATAAATGTGGAAGTTTACCCCATGTCCGTGGATGACATCGCCCAGAGGGAGCATATAGATGAGGAAAAGAAGAGGGCCAAGGATGGAGCCCTGATGGAGTACCTCGCAGGTGACCGGGCGGGGGCGTGAGGAGAAACCATTTGCTGAGATGAAATGGAGGTGGTTGGTTAAGCAGGACTCCTACTTAACTTTTAAAGACTCAAAGCGCTTCACAGAATATACTGTAAAGTGTAGTGACTGTGTATTTTTTGGGAGAAATGCAGCAGCCAATGGCGGGCAGCAACGTCCCACAAATTACTATTATTATTTGTTTATTCAAAGTGATGCCCCAATTGACTAACAACCGGGTTCCTACTCTCCGTTGGTAAACAGCCACACACCTAATAATAATCCTCCAAAACCAAAAACAATAATAAATTGGTCATTTTCAATCTACGACTGTTTGTGGGACATTGCTGTGCGCAATTGGCTGCCGCGTTCGCCCACAAATATACAGTCAATCCACTTTACAGTGTGTTCTGTGAAGCGCTTTGGGACGTCCTCCCGACGTGAAAAGCGCAATATCAAATGCAAGGATTATTATTATTATTAGAGGCGTGTGGAGTAAGGAAACTTGCCTAATGTTTTGCCCTGCTCGGGAATCAAACCCAGGTCCTCTCGCTTGCGAGGCGAGTGCTATAACCATTCAGGTCCAGGCTCCGCAATAGATGAGGAGCTGATAGATTAACCGCGGGTGTCAGTGCTGCACTAACCTAACTGTTGCTGCATCTGATGTTGCATCATGGGGTAGGGGGGTGGGGGCGGGGGTCCTGGCTGTAACATGCCCATTGGCCCCATGTGCTGGCCGGGGCCGGGGGGCTGTGCGTGCTGCTGTTGCTGCTGCTGCTGCTGTTGCTCCAGTTGCTGCCGTGCCCTCATCTCTGCGTACTTCAGCTGCTCCATGTGGAAGGCCTGGCGCTCCGTCAGTAACTGCTGCCTCTGCTGCTCCAGCTGTGAGAGAGAGAGAGAGCGCGTCAGTAACACCCGGGGAGAGCCCAAGGCTGCCAGTCACTGTCCCTCACTGCTCCCAGAGCACCACCACTGCCCCTCACTGCCCCCAGAGCACCATCACTGCCCCTCACGCCCACAGAGCACTATCCACCTTCCCAAACACCTGCTAATAACCCTGAATCATATAATAATTCTTGCATTTGACACAGCGCCTGATCACGTCTTCGAAACATCTCAAAGCGTTTCACAGAATATACTGTAAAGTGAATTGACTGTATATTTTGTGGGCAAAACACAGCAGCCAATTGCACACAGCAGTGTCCCACACACAGTCATTATTATTATTTGTTTTATTATTTTATTTTGAAGGGATTATTACGCCCAGAAAGTGATCCGCCAATCAACTAACAACTACTTACTGCTGGTAAACAGGTGCGTGGAGTGAGGAAACTTGCCCAACGTTTCGCCCTTCCCAGGAATCAAACCCAGGCGAGAGCTTCAACCACTGAGCACAGGAATACACAACACAACCGGCAACGTTCCTCCTGCCTTTCCTGGCTATTTTGTACATTATTATATCTTATACATTGCTCCCCACTGACTGAGTGGTTCTGATTGTGAGTACAACCAGCTACAGGTTTAGAATCTGTTGCATTTTACTGACAATCAGAGGTTTACAGAGAGGACCTGAGCCACATTGGTAAACACAGCCATTAATCCATTCCATGCAGCTGTAACAATCTGATTAAAAGGCTGTTTAGCTTTAAGTGCCTGTATTTAAATACATGTCTATTAGGAGCAGCCTACACTCTCCCCCGCCTTCCTGTTAACACAGTGCTAGTGGAGAGATGAATTACTCATTCATTCGCCCTTGCTATCTGTCTGCGGATGTCACAGTCTCACTCACTCTTGCTCTCTGATTGTTATTCCACATTTTAGCAACCAAGGTTATATATCAGTGAGGGCACACGTGGATTACACAGCCCAGCCCTGTTTTTTTTTGAGGAGGGGAGTGCTGACGGTAGTTTTAAGGGGGAGTGGACAGAACCCGAGAGTGTGTGGTTGACTTTGCCAGCGGCAGAGGAGGGGGAGTTGAGTGACCAGCAGCTGGGTGGGGAAGGGGTCTAGGCAGCAGGTGGTGGGCTTCATCTGGGAGATGGTGGTTGAGAGGGAGGTGGGAGTAATCAGGGCAAAGGAGTGTAGGGAGTGGAGGTTTGGGGGGTGCGGAAAAGGACTTAGGGGAGGAGGAAGCAGCCAAGCAGATATTTTTAATCTTTGATACGAAGAAGTCTAGGAGCTCTTCGCACTTGGTGGTAGGATGGAGGCAGCTTGGGGGAGGTGCGTGGAGGAAGTGATAGATGATGGAGGACAGTGCCTTTTAGGTTTTGGAGTAAAAGTCAGTTTTGGCCTGCGAGAGGGAGAGGAGATTGTTGCACCTCCCCCCCAAGCCCCAGTGTCTGTGTTGATGTTCACTCCCCACTCATAAAGATGAGCTGCTGATGTACAATATCCCGTTGCTCTCAAAACTCTGGTTCCAACCTCTGGAATTCCATCCCTCAGTCACTCTGCCTCACCCCCTCCTTAGCCTCCTTCAAGTCCCACCTCAAGACCCTCCTCTTCGACCATGCCATCGGTCACCCCCCCACTTCCCCTCCCTTCTCCCTCCCTGACCCCAGCTCGGGTCTGAAATGCTGTCACTGTCCAGCGCCTTGGGATGTCCTCCCGACGTGAAAGGTGACGTACAAATGTAATCCTGTTGTTGTTGCTCTTAAGGAAATGCCCTGAAGCATCCACACACCCCAGGCCTTTCAGCAGAAACCACTGTAACTAACTCCACACCAAACTCTTCCTCCACAATGGAGCCAAATCCATTCCACCCTAGACTGCTGGCTGCATTGTACACTGAAGCTGGATAGGCAAGACAACCACAACAAATTTACACAACGTCTTTCATGTCAGGAGGGCGTCCCAAGGTGCTGGATAGTCAAGGGTTTGCACCTGAGCTGGGGTTGAAAGAGGCGGGGGGGGTGGGGGCAGAGGGATGGAGGGTCTCCGGAATGAGTTCCAAAGGGTGGGGGCAGAGAGGCTGAAGTCCTGACCGGCGAGGGTGGAGTGGGCAGGCGGTTGAGACGGGGCAAGAAACTCGTTAAGAGATAATGGCAGCCACACAATTTCCTCTGACCCAAACCCCTCCCCCCAGGCCCTCGGCTTCCCCCTCCCCCTGGGCCACGTCCTTCTCCCTCCTGGGGCCCATGTCTCCCTCCCTCAGGTGAGCCCTTGCCCCCCCACCACCCTTAGGATTCTGTTCACTCACCGCTTCCCGTTCACGGTCCATAATGGTTTCCAGTTCCTCAAAGTGCCGAAGTTTAATCTCCAGTTTTTTCATCTGAGTCTCTACCAGGAGTGCCACCAGTGACTTGATTTTCCGTTCCTCCACGGCAGCCAAATGCTGAGAGACAGAGAGAGAGAGAAGAGAGAGAGGAGAGTGAGACACAAGGAGCAGAGAGAGTGAGACACAAGGAGCAGAGAATGAGAGGAGCAGAGAGTGAGAGAGAGACATAAGGAACAGAGAGAGAGAGAGAGACAGAGACACACAGGGAGCAGAGAATGAGAGATCAGAGAGTGAGAGATCGAGCCCAGAAAGAGACAGTCAATAACCTAGCCTGTAGTTTTGTGTCACTAACCCAGGCTGTAGTGAGTTAGTGGTCACTAACCTTGGCTTTAGTAGCGGCCGAGGCCAGGGCGGCAGCGGCTGCAGTTACGATGTTCCCTTCACCGATGTGATGCTCGAGCCGTTTCTTGCCCACCTCCAGCTCCTTGTCCCGGCCGTTCACATCAATGTTCTCCTTGTTCTCCTCCTTGTCCTTCTCCTCAGTCACAGCTGTCACACACAGCACAGGGCGTCATCAACACTGAGCCTGGCTACATCTCAGCTCAGCACCGCTTTTATAATAATAATTCTTGCATTTGATACAGCGCCTTATCAGTCTTCCGAGACATCTAAAGCGCTTCACAGGATATACTGTAAAGTCAAGTAACTATATTTTGTGGGTGAATCACAGCAGCCAATCGCGCTCAGCAGTGTCCCACAAACAGCCGTGGATTGAGTGATCAATTTTTGTTGTTGTTGAGGGACTATTACCCCCGGAAAAGCGATCCGCCAATTGACCAACTGGGTTCCTACTCCCTGCTAGGCAAACAGAGCCGTGTGGAGTAAGTCAACTTGCCTAAGGTTTCGCCCTGCCTGGGAATTAAACCCAGGTCCATTCACTTGCGAGGCGAGTGCTCTAACCACTGAGCTAAAGGATTCCTTTCAAAACAACTGCATTTATTTTCACAGCACCATTCACAGCAGGAGGCGGCGCAATGCAATGGACAGCCAACGGTTTGCACCTGAGCTGGGATTGGGTGGGAGGGGACTAGGGGAATAGGTCTATGGGGTGGCAGTGAGGGCCAAGGGGAGGGGAAGATGACTGAAGGCACAGTCAAAGTGGAAGGTCTTGAGACAGACCTTAAAAGGATGCAAGGGAAAGAGTGAGGCGTAGGGGCTTCGGGATGGAGTTCCAGATGGTCTGGGCAGAGAGGGTTAAGGCTGGACCCCTAACAGTGGGGCAGGCGGGGGGCGTGAAGCAGGCCAGTGCCCGTGGAGTGAAAAGCATAGCTGGGCTGGTAGGTTGCAACGGTAGGGACGGCTTTCAAAGTGAGGACGACGATCTTGAATTGAGGGTCAGGGAGCCTCTACAGCATCTGAGGTGAGAAAACGCTGACTGTGTGGATTCCATCCCAATACAAAGGGATTTCTGTGTCAAGGTGATAAACACATAGAACTCAATCTGGTTTGGTTACATGTAAGTGTGCCTATGTGTAGAGGGTGTGGAGTTCTCTGATACTTTGATAGTTTAAAATACTTTCTGGTTGTTTAAGTAGCTGTGAGCACAGCCTGTGTGTGCAGTGCAGGGCTGTCTGCCACCCACACACTGACCCGGATCAAACTCAGCACCCACATCTCACCAGGTCTGGCCCAGCCTCCACTGGTTCCCCATCACCGAACAGATCGACTTCAAGATCCTCACACTTGTGTTCAAATGCCTTCATTATCTCTCACCTCCCTACCTCTCCAACCTCCTCACTCCCCAATCCATCACCCGGCGCCTCTGCTCAACTGGCACTGCCCTCCTGCTCGTCCTCGCACCCTCCGCTCCACCATCGGAGGTCACGCTTTCAGCCGGTACACCCCAAAACTCTGGTACACCCTCCCTCAATCCCTCCACCTTGCCCCCTCTTTCAAGTCCCGCCTGAAAACTTTCCCCTTCGATTGTGCTTACAGCCACCTCCCCACTCCCCGCGGCTCGGAGTCGGGCTCCACCACTGTTGAGCGCTCTTATAGCGCCTCTCTCGCAGGGTAGCGTCTCTAAGTGTAAGTTGTTGTGTGTGTGCGCGCGCACGTGTGTAACTGCGTGTCAGCCTGGCTTGGCTCTGCCCAGGTGGCCGCTGTGGGTTACCACCCGCAGAGGGTGGCGGTTTGAGGTCGATGGTCAGGTCCAGCTGTGAAGAAGCTGCTGAGGTTTATTTTGGTTTTGTTGGATGTTGTGAGGCTGCTGTTGTCAGGCTGTGCGCGGCTGTGAGTGTGAGAGTTTACTCCTGGGGGAGGCAGAGCGGGTTCTCTTTGACCGTGCCTTCAGCTCCCCTTTCGACTCTCTACACCCTCCTCGCTCCCTCCCTTCCTTCCCCTCACCCTGACCATTTCTCCCCTGCTCGGGTCCTGACCCAACTGTACAGCGCCTTGGGACGTCCTCCCGACGTGAAAGGCGCTCTATAAATGGAATCTTGTTGTTGTTGTTGTGGGTTAAACAGAGGACACAACTGTGGTACAACAACAACTTGCGTTTACACAGCGCCCTTCATACAGGGTAGTGTCCCGGAGCACATGAGAGCGGCGGAGTCTGACCCCGAGCCAGGGGGAGAGGGAGGGGGGAGGTGACCGTAAGGGATTTCAAGGTGGGGAGAGAGGGGTAAGGCGGAGGGATTGAGGGGAGAGTGTTCCAGAGTTTCGGGGCGTAGTGGCTGAAGGCACGCCCACCGATGGTGAAGCGAGGGCACAAGGGACAATCAGGAGGCTGGAGCAACTATAAGGCAACAAGACTTGCTAACACCATTCATTGTCATCAGTGAGTGAGAGCGAGAGAGAGAGGATGAGAGCCGAGAGAGAGAGGAGGGGAATCTATCTATATGAGTTAAAAGTGCTCTACACTCATAGAGACTAAAACCTGTGCCAGCTCAGTCCACAACAACGCAATAGATAGTCCATTTGTGCTCTCAGCAGTAAATACAGCTTGCTGTAATAAATGCCGGATTTGCCTGTATTCAGGCTGGGATTAGCCTAATAGGATTATAAAATGGCAGAAAATTGCCTCTGGAGAAGCTTCTGTCCTGAACAGATGTTTAATTCAGGCCTGTCCCTGGCAGCAACAGCCAGTGCTCATTCCGAGTGTAACTAGCCCTGTAGCTTAATATAATAATCCTTATATTACATAACTTCAGGCAAGTTTCCTTACTCCACACGTCTCCGTTTACCGAGGAGTAAGTAGGAACCCGTTTGTTAGTCAATTGGCGGATCGCTTTTCTGGGGGTAACAATCCCTTTCAAAAAACAATTAATCATGCAATTCACAACTGTTTGTGGGACGCTGCTGTATGCAATTGGCTGCCATGTTTGATTTGTATTTAATAATAATAATCCTTGCATTTGATATAGAGCCTTATCACGACTGAGACGTCTCAAAGTGTTTCACAGAATATACTGTAAAGTGAATTGATTGTGTAATTTATGGGAGAAAGGCAATAGGCAATTGTGCACAGCAGATTCTCTCAAACACTCGTGGATTGAGTAACCAATTTATTATTAGTATTTTGTAATTTGATTTTGCGAGGAGGGTGCTCTATCTACTAAGCTACAGGACTGCACTTTGAATAAAAGAATCCTCCATGTTTAATAGAGAATCCTCCCTCTGTACAGGTCAGCTTTTCCAGCTGTCTGACTGAATTATTAAATTACAATCGGATGCTCACACACAGAGCGACATTCCGCCTCTGCCTCACCTCCCCTCAGCTCCTGGAGCTACAAAGCTGTCAGCCTCGCTCACCTCACTATCTAACACTCCGAGCATGCTTTCCGCATATTACACTCTAGAGGAAGATGTTTCCTGATAGGCTGGTGCTGCCAGCACCTCGATGGGACAATCTCTGCATAAAGCAAGCTTGGGTTTTCACTCACTGATTTTCAGATGGTTCAATCGAACCATCCCCATCTTACTCAGCGAAAGGCAAACTGTGTCTGGCACAGGAGTGCCCACTTCTCTCTGGGTGGGAGGCAGAGGAAGGTCATACAGCTTAGTGGTTAAGCACTTTCCTTGCAAGCGAGAAACCACCTGGTTTCGATTCCTGGGCAGGGTAAAACCATAGGCGAATTTCCTTACTCCACACAAATTTCCTAACTCTAATGGTAAGAACCGGTGGTTAGCCGATTGCTTTTCTGGGGGTAATAATCCCTCCAAAAAGTAAATAATTCTAATTAAAAAAATAATTTGATCACTCAATCCATGACTGTGTGGGGGTCACTGCTGTACATAATTGGCTGCCGTGCTGTTTCTCCCACAAAATATACGGTCAATCCATTTTACAGTATATTGTGTGAAGTGCTTCAACACGTCACAAAGTGATGATAAGGCACTATATCAAATGCAAGGATTATTATATTATTATTTTGTAGCTTCACAGCTCTCCGTGTCCTCTAAACCTTCACTGCTCACACTCTTGTCCAGAATTCAAGATCTTTATCAGATGCCAGACACATGTCAAACCCTGACCCTCAATAAAATAATTTTTGACACAGCACCTTCCACGCCAGTACATGTCAAAGGCGTCACAGGGTTGACTGAAGTGTAGCGACTGTTTTGTACCTGGTTTAATATCGGCACTGGTGGTCTCCGCGTCCATGGGCTTCTCCGCACCAAGCTCTTTAGGAGAGGGAACCGGAACCTTCTCCACCGTCTCCGAGGCAGCGTCTGTTTCCTCCTTAGTCTCCACCTGAACACGGAAACACTACTGAGCAATGTCCTCTTCTCCAGTCAGTCACAGCCCTAGCGGGTAATGCCAGGGCTTTAAAAGTAAGGTTGAGGATTTTGAACTCTATCCTCTGGGGGATGGGGAGCCAGTGGAGTCGGGGGAGGGTGGGTTGATGGGGTCACGGAGCCTGGTGCGGGAGAGTACACGAGCTGCAGAGTTCTGGATTAACTGCAGCTTGCAGAGGGAAGAGTTGGGAAGGCTGATAAGCAGAGAATTGGAGAAGCTGAGCCTTGATGTGATGAAAGCGTGGATGAGGGTCTCAGCAGTAGACGAGACAGTGGCGATGTTGTGGCGGTGGGGAAGGCAGAGCGGGTCATGGCACGCATGTGGTAGAAAGGACAGTTGAGGGTCAAACAAGACCCCAAGTTTCCGGACTGGCTTAGCAAGGTGGAGTCTCAGTGCCTGAGGTGAGGAGGCGCTGTCGGGAACCAACCAGGAGAGCCTCGGTCTTGTTGACATTTAACTAAAGTAAGTTAGCTCTCATCCAGGACTTGATTTCTGACAGATAATCTGTCAGAACAGCTGCAGTTTTAATCCCTAGTGACATTCACCACCTCCCCCCGGCTCCAACCCCTCGCTATTGTTTCACTCACCTTTTCTATTTCCCGTCCTTCCGGTTCTTGAGAATCCATTTTCTCCTCCTCCAGGTCCGCTGTATAAAGAGACTCGTTATAAAAAGTTGCTATCTGCCAGCGCTCACGTTAGTTACCGCTCTGTCGCAATTCATCTCTCCACTGAATCCTAGGGGTAGCTCCCCCTCCATCAGGGCCCCGCGTGCAACTGGGTGACATTAAACACCTACAAAACAAGAACTTATTGCATTTGTAGAGTGCCTTCCACATCGGTAAAGGGTTGGGAGGATGACTGAATTTGTGGTCTTGAGATGGGCAGAAAGGCTGAAGGCCCAACTGCTGATGGTGTAGCGGGCAGGACGGGAGACATGGAGTTGGCCAGTGCCAGCCGAGCGGAGGGAGCAGACAGGATGGTAAAGCTTTAATAGCCCACAGTGGTAGGGAGGAGCAAGACCGATACAGCAAATAAACAGCCGACAATCCCCCAAAACAGATCAGCCAGTCATCTCATGGCTGTTTTTACAGATTATCCACCTACACAACACGGTCACTGCACTTCACCATGAATCTTGAGAAGCAGTCTAAGCCGCCTCACCCCCATGTGAAATGCACTGCATCAAATGTAAAGTCATTATTGTTGGCCAGGGCACCGGGAGAGAGAGAAACTCCCATCACTTTTCCAATAGCTTGCCTCAGGCTGCTGGTGACAGCACTAGGTCACGGGTTGACAGCGACCGGCTTTCTCTCCCTGGTAAATCATCACCGTGGAGTCCTATAGCATAGTGGTTAGAGCAAGTGAGAGATCCTGGGTTTGATTCCAAGGCAGCGCGAAACCTTAGGCAAGTTTCCTTACTACACACGACCCTGTTTACCTAGCAGTAAGTAGGAACCCAGTTGTTAGTTCATTAGCTAAAATATACAGTCACCACACTTTACAGTATATTCTGTGAAGTGCTTTCAGGCATCTCGAAGAAGTGATGAGATGCTATATCAGATTATTATTATAACATTTCCCGCTCCCACCCCCACCAAGGACCAGGTGAGCATCTAGAGTAGGCTGCCAGCACTGGGCGGGTTCACTGAACGTTGCCCATTCCACTTTACCTAAACATCCCTCAATTACAGCGACTGGTCACCATGGAAACGGGAGGCAGAGCACAGCACCCGGTAATAGCGCTGCCTGTACAGACAGCCACGGGATACCAAAGCTAATAATAACCCTCTCCTCATTGGCCATACAATCCAGGCAGAGCCAGAGCAGCCTGGCAGCCAGTCCTCGTGTCTACCTGCCTCCAGTGATCACATCACCTGAATTATTCATAGCAATAATAATCCGTGCATTTGATATAGCGCCTGAACAAAGCACTTTTATACACAGAATAAACTGGTGAATTGACTGTATATATTGTGGGCGAAAAGCAGCAGCCAATTGCGCATAGCAGGTCCCACAAATGTTCATAGGTTGAGTAACCCAACTATTAGCATTTTTGAAGGGATTATTACTCCAGAAAGAGCGAACCGCCAATCAATTAACAACCGGGTTCGTACTTTCTGCTAGATAAACAGCAGCGTGTGGAGTAAAGAAACGTGCCCAACGTTTCGCCCGGCCCGAGAATGAAACCCAGGCCATCTCGCTTGCGAGGTAAGTGTGTTAACTACTTAACTACAGGACTCCACACCAATATCTTCTGCTTGAGTCCAGCTTGGTCAAGAGGATCCTCAATCACACAAACCACCATCTTCTCCATGAGAGGTCGATAAGTTTCTCTAAGCGATAGAGCTTTGGCTTTCAGGGTAAACAGGTGATGGCAGGTAACAGGAACTCCTTGTGGTCTTCCCAGAGAGAAACACATCTCAGCATGAAATGCATGAGAGCATTGCCACCATCTTACTATCCGCAGCTCAGGCACACATTCCTTCCCATTGAGCAATGGCTCTGCCATTTGTGGTCCCCAGGACTTAGTTCTTGGCAACCTGTGCCTGAGACTCCATGATTAGCAAACAGGCTGCGTCCCTCCAGGGAGAGAGAGTGCATTCCATTACAATGGGAATTTGCATGTGTATGTGGGATGCATGGAAGTCTGGTTTGGTTTAGATATTATTATAATGGAATGGCCACATGAGGGCTCTCTACTCTAATCCCATTCCGTGCTCTCTCTCTCCCCATCGTGTCTGTGCTGGTACTCACTCCCCTACTGGAGCTCTCTACTCTAATTCCATTCCCTGAACCTTTTCATATCCTGATCAACAATTCTCTCCATTGTTGGTTCATGTTTGCCTACAAACAAAGAGCCACTCTTGTTAATTACTGTAAAGTCGAACTAAGTGTCTCAACCTGACAAGGTGCCAGGAAAATACAAGCCCTTTCTTACATTCTCTCTTTAAAATCCTTTTCTTGCTTCCAAAACGTTTTACTCCACGTTTATGAACATAAAATAATAATCCCTCCAAAACAAAACAATAATAAAATTGGTCAATTTCAACCCACGACTGTTTGTGGGTCACTGCTGTGCGCAATTGACTGCCGCATTTCACCCACAAATATACAGTCAATTCACTTTCACTTTACAGTCTATTCTGTGAAGCGCTTTGAGATATCGAGAAGACGTGAAAAGCGCTATATCAAATGCAAGGATTATTATTATTATAAAATTGCATTTGCCACCCAACTGCCCACCCCATCTCCATCAGTCTCCATCTTCGTGCACTGCTACAGGCTGCCACTTTGCCAGACTCTGATCTGGTTAAGCAGAATTCCGACACTTTCAGGGCAGTCCAACTGGCTGCCCGCGAGCCACAGCCCTCCCGCTGGCCGATCTCATACGGGCCTGGTGCCCTCCCTCCATTTCATGTGGCCCATATCCAGAAATGCTGTTATGTTTCTGGAAAGGAAACACAAAGATATTGCCTCTGTGGCATGCGGATGTCTCTCAAATAGGGAATCTGGTGGTCAGTAGCCAAAAGGTTGGAGCATCCTGAAACTTTGTATTGCTGTGACACAGTTTGAGAACAGCTTCTAACGGCACTGATGGCAATGGCCCGAGGGCCCCAGTAACCTGAGTTCACTAAGTCTAACGCCCCCTTAACTGCTCTCAGCCCTCGCCAGGCGACACAAACATCTGAAGCTCAAAGCTGTGGTCACACTTCAACGATTAAAAATACGAGAGAGAGAGAGACAGCTGAGCGTGTTTAACAGCTCAGACTAGGCGCTATGAAGGGGACAAGGACATGTCAGAGCACTCACCGCGACATAACCCATTACCAAAGGCTTTCTTCCCTTTTGAAGCTGCTGCAGGAGGTTTAAGGAGCTTGTGTCACTTTAACCATTTCTGCTGGAGACATGCTCCCAGACACACACCAGATAATCACAAAGGCCTGCACCCACAGGCAGGGGATGTGCAATTCACTATAATAATAATAATCCTTGCTATCGATCTAGCGCCTTATCAAGTCGTTGAGACGTCTCAAAGTGCTTCACAGGATATATTGTAAAGTGTAGTGACTATATATTTTGTGGGCAAAACGTGGCAGCCAATTGCACACAGCAGTGCTCCACAAACAGTTATGGATTCAATGACCAAATTATGATTTTTACATTTTTTTGGAAGGATTAATATCCCCAGAAAGACGATCCGGCATCGACTAACAACCAGGTTCCTACTTACTGCTGGTAAACAGAGGCGTATGGATTAAGGAAACTTGTTCTATATAAAAAAACTTTCTACCACAAACTACGGACGAGGCAGAGCTAAGCAATTCCTCAAGAAGGAATAGGATGAGATAATAGTCCTTACGTTTGATACAGTGCTGCTCACCTCGGACTGGGGTGGGGGGGAAGAGGGGGGAGAGAGGATTGAGCAAACAAAGGGGGGGATAAGGGAGTGATGGGAGAAGCCAGGAAGTGGGATGAGGGATGGAGGGGTGTGAGGGAGGGATGGGAGGAGGCCGAGGTATGGAGTGGGGTGAGGGAGGGATTGGAGGAGGCCGAGGAATGGAGGGGGAGTGAGGGAGCGATGGCCCATCCTGCACCAGGCAGTGGGTGTTGGGAGCAGGGGCACCATGCCACGCTGTGTCAGGCAGAGGGTGCTGACATACCTGTCTTCTCAGGTTCCTCGGGGGCGGTGCCAGCAATGCCGCTGGTCTCCAGGCCGAAGCCGGGGTCCACTGTACCCGAGGAGCGCGCAAGCTCCTGGACCTTCTTCACATGAGCTTCCACCAGCTCTGCGGGCACCTCCTCCCTCACGTGAGAGAATTCCTCTGCACAAAACAGCACTGCTGTGAACATCAGCCCAACAACAACAAATTACATTTACACAGCACTTTCACAATCAGGGATTTGGGATCGGGGGTGGGGGGGGGGGGGCCGCGGGCAGTGGGGTGGAGGGGAAAGAGGGTGGCCGAAGAGGAAGGTGTTGAAATGGGTCTTGAAGAAGGTGAGGGAGTGAGCGAGGAGGTGAAGGGGCTGTGGGATGGAGTTCCAGAGGGTGGGGCAGAGAGAGAGGCTGAACAGTAACCATCCACTCAGCGCCAGAGGTAACTCTCTGACTGCATGTCCACCCATCTCACTCAGACCCACTCTCGCCTCCCAGGCAGACTGTGGGTTTGAGGCTCAAGTGGGGGGGGGGGGGGGGGGGGGAAACTGTGATCTGCAGTACTCGCCACATTGCCAGCAGTGCCTGGGACCATAGGGCAGTGCTCCCACTCTGGACTGGCCAGCCGTACTCAGGTACATGGGGCCGGACGGCTGAGGGGGCAGCAAGGATTTCGAGGTCTGATTGAAAAAAACTGCCCCTGATTTCACTCCTAAATGGCCCGGCTCTAATTTTAAGATGACGTCCCTTGTTCTGGATTCCTCCTCCAGAGGAAATAGTTTCTCTGTAGCTACGCTATCGAATCCCTTTATTATTTTAAACACCTCAATCAGATCAGCCTCAACCTTCCAAACTCAAGGGAATAGAGACCAAGTTTATTCAAACTGTCCTCATAATTTAACTCTGTAATTATTTGGCTGCCATTTGCTTTTATTCACCAACAGAATAAACTTGAGTCTCTGTCTCAGTCTCCAACAGAATGAAATATTAATGTGAGCTGACAACACTCAGCTCCTGGCTGCTCACAGGGCCGGCCAGTCACACGCAAGGAACACATTAATGAGAAACTCGAGCCGTTAGCACTAATCTGCTCTCAAGCAGCATCATTAGCACTGAGACAGGCCAGGTCTCCCCCTCTCGCCCACCACCCCGGACCCTGCAGTGTAAATGGAGAAACATTCAGAGAGAACAGGGGGCAGCGAGCTGGGAGTGAAACCTGGTCTCTCGATTTGTGTAAAATCATAATATTAATCCTTATCACGTCTTCGAGACGTCTCAAAGCGCTTCACAGAATATCCTGTAAAGTGAATTGACTGCATATTTTGTGGGCGAAACGTGGCAGCCAATTGCGCACAGCAGCGTCCCACAAACAGTCGTGGATTGAGAGATCACATTATTATTTGTTTACATTTATTTTTTGAAGGGATTATTACCCCTGGAAAAGTGATCCGCCAATCCACTAACCACCGGGTTCCTGCTTGCTGCTGGGTAAACAGAGACATGTGGAGTAAGGTAACTTGTTTAAGGTTTCGCTCTGCCCAGGAATCAAACTCAGGCCCACTCGCATGTGAGGCGAGCGTTCTAACTACTAAGATAGAGGTCTCTCACCAGCATTGTATCTCACAACTCACACTGCTCGTGAGAGGCCTGACTGAGAGCAGAGGCTGAGCCAAACTAACACTAACGTGGCGTCTCTTCACACTACGCAGACCCTGGGCCCAGTGCTTACCCAAGGCGGCCTTGGCGGCGGCGGCGGCCACTCTGGGATCCACCACGGAAGCCAGGAAGGCCACGGTGCTCATGACGGGGTTGCCGGACTGGCTGAAAGGCACCGGCTGGAAGGCCAGTGGGCCCAGCGAGCACTCCGTGTCCTCCAGGTAGGGGTCCTCAATGGGCAGCCGCAGAAAGTTCAGGATACACTCGTCCTGAGTGCGGCTCCCCACGTGCTCAGACACCTTATTCCAGTCGTCCTTGTACATCTCCAGGGCCTGAAACACAGTCGGCATCAGTCACTCGCACTGTGTGTGTGTATGTATAACAGCCACCATCAATCACTACTAGTGTGTGTAGCTACCAACAGTCACTGACACTGTGTGAGCGCGCATGTGTGTGTATATAACAGCCAGCACTAGTCACTCATACCGTGTCTGTGTGTATATATATCATATATTAATTATATAAACAGCCACATCAGTCACTCACACCGTGCCAGTCGCTTGACATGTCGTGTCCCAAACTATATACTGTGTCCTGAGATATTATTTTCTAACATAAATCTATCTCATTTGTTTTTGAAAAAAATCAACACTTTCTGCTTCCACCGCCTGTCTCTCTTGGGAGCCTGTAGCCTGTTCCATATGTTTGCTACGCGTTCACTGCAGTAATGTTTCCAGTTTAGTTCTGAATTGACCCCCCTTCAATCACTAGTTTTTTTAATTGAAGTTCTCCAGAGCGGGACAGGAATGTGTCTCACCTCCAGCAGCAGCAGTGTCTCCTGGTCGGTCCAGTCTCTGCTGGCGCTCGCTTTGCTTTGCTACAACACAGAGAGACAGTGAGCACACAGCACATACACCCCGGTGTACACACCACAACTTAGTGTGTACACACATCCCTGTCATCAGGTATCGTGTGGGTGCCGTGTGGGCAATGGGAGAGGATGACCCACCTTGACTATGGTGCCCTTCCTGGAATACATGTCTGTCCGCAGCCCGAAGTTCTGTAGGTCCACGGCCTTGTCCTTCTGCTTCTCGGGGAAGTTTAACATCTGCTGGGAGGCCGATATCTACATAGAGAGAGTGAGTGAGGGCGCGAGGGAGAGCAATTGCGGGAGGATGCAATGACGAAGGGGCCTGAGCTGCTGAGGGAAAGTGAATGCATAGTTCAGATTTAATAACAACTTGTATTTACACAGCGCCCTTGACGCGGGTTAGCGTCCCAGAGCGCTTCACGGTGACGGAGTCTGATTCCGAGCCAGCGGGAAGGTGACCGTAAGCATGATCAAAAAGGAAGGTCTTTAGGCGAGATTTGAAATCGGGGAGGGAAGGGGTAAAGCGGAGGATAGAGGGAGAGTTTCTGTGTTTCAAGGCGTAGCGGCTGAAAGAGGGACAAACAGGAGGCCGGAGCCAGACAAACGGAGGCAGTGTGTGGGTGAGTGGAGTTAATGACTTCACATTGAGCGGGACTGACCCAGCGAGGCAGGGGTGTGAGCAGACTCGGGAGGGAAGGAGACAGATATTTGGTAAAGGAATGGACAGGGAGTATTGGTGTGTGTCTTACCTGGGGAGTGCGGAGGTGGAGGGGCACCAGGCCTGAGGGTGTGTCAGCCAGCACATTAAAGTGAGGAGTGGGCGGAGGGCCCATCGGCAGGGGTCGGCTGTCAGCATCTACCTGATAGTTCACCAGCCCCCACTGCTCCAGGAAGGCATGTACCCTGCCAATACATTACACACACGTCAGCGTGTCCTCACACACACACGTTACACACGTCAGGGTGTCCCCCCACACACACTCACCAGCCCCCACTGCTCCAGGAAGGCATGTACCTTGCCAACACATTACAAACACGTCAGTGTGTCCTCACACACACGCTACGCACACGTCAGGGTGTCCCTCACGCGCTGGAGAGTTAACAGGAGCTGAGTGGGAGGATTCGCTGCCCCCAGTGACTGGTCGGCCCTTCCAGGGCTTGCTGATGAGCCGGGTGGCAGCAGTGTCCTGGAATATTGCGGCCTCTCCTGGCTCAGGAACCGGACTAGTGACCATCACAGAGGGTGGGACTCGATTCCCACATTCTGTTGTCAAACATGACACCTTGAAGCCAGTTCTTCTCCAAGGAGACCCCACTTATTCAACTCACCAGTCACCAGGTTAGCCCCGCGTCACTCACAGTCACCAGGTTAGCCCTGTGTCACTCGCAGTCATCAGGTTAGCCCTGTGTCACTCAGTCACCAGGTTGGCCCCGAGTCACTCACAGTCACCAGGTTAGCCCCGTGTCACTCACAGTCACCAGGTTAGCCCCGCGTCACTCACAGTCACCAGGTTAGCCCCGCGTCACTCACAGTCACCAGGTTAGCCCCGTGTCACTCACAGTCACCAGTTACTCACCTCATGACAGCACAGACGTCTCCGGTCAGGTTCCTGCGGCAGGACGTGCTGGTCAGATACTCCTGAGGGTTCAGTCGGTACGTGTCAATCATGAAGTTGCGATACGCCAAATAACTGTCAGCAACACAGAGAGGGGTCAGGGCTGCTTCCTTCGGGGGGGAGTTGCGACAGAAGTGGAGATGAGGGGGAGAGAGGGAGGGAACAGACCAAGACCTGAGCAGGAAGTGGGGGCAACAGTGGGGACTAACCAACACGTATTCGAGAGCACAGTGCAGCTCTCTGAGCAGATCAACACTTTGCAATATAAAGGAGCTGGGCTGCCTACACACGCTCCTCACCTCCCACCTCAAATGCCCTTCTCGCCAGGCTCCCCAGCTCCACCACCCACAAAATACAGCTAATCCAAAACTCTGTCATCTGCATACTCACACACACTAAAGTCCATACCCCCGTCACACGAATCCACCGGCTCCTTCTCACACACACTAAACTCTGTACCCCCATCGCAACAGTCCTCCCCAGACTCCAGTGGCTCCTTATCACACACACTAAACTCCTTACCGCCATCACAGCAAGATCCTCACACTCGTCTTCAGATCCCTTCACTTCCTGGCACCTCCCTACTTCTCTGACCTGCTTACTCCCCACTCCACTATCTGCTGCCTCCGCTCGGTTGTGAAGGGGGAGCCTCTGGTGTACGCTGTATGTGTGTGGGGGAGGGGGCACAAGCTATAATAATAATAATCCTTGCATTTGATATAACCCCTTATCACGTTTTCAACATCCCCTGCCCAGGCCTCCCCGTCATCGGCGGTCGGGCCTTCGGCTTCTCTGCCTCCACCCTCTGTAACTCCATCCCACAGTCCCTCCACCTGCTCCCTCCCTTGCCTCCTTCGGGCACCTCTCAAGACCCTCCTCATCAACCACGCCTTTGGTCACCCTCCCTGTCGTCCACCCTTCCTGATCCCAACATCCAGCTCAGGTGCACATCCCTGACTGTCCAGTGCCTTGGAACGTCCTGCCAACATGAAAGGCGCTGTGTAAATGTAACTGGTGTTGTTCTGTGAGAGCTGAGTGTGGTCTCGTCAGGAACAGGTACTTACATTTCTGGACTCTTGGATTTATTCTTTCCATTGAAGAATTCTGGTAAAGCTCGCCGCTCGATCTCGTGAATACTGCAAACCAAAAGAACCTTGTTAGCATCATTGTTCACATCAGCTCAGAGGCACGCCTGAGCAAACAATAAACCCTTACACCCCAACCCCAGAATATACTGTCAATTGTGGTGACTGTATATTTGTGGGAGAGTCGGCAGCCAATTGCTGCCAACAGCAGTGTCCCATAAATTGAGTGACCAAATTATTATTTTTTTTGAAGGGATTATGATCCTTGGAAAAGTGATCCGCCAATCGACTAACAACCGGGTTCCTACTTACTGCTGGGTAAACAGCGGTGCGTGGAGTAAGGAAACTTGCCGAACATTTCGCCTTGCCCGGAAACAAATCCAGATCCTCTCGCTTGCAAGATGAGTGCTCTAACCACTAAGGTACAGGGCTCCACTGTAGCGTATTGGTTAGAGCACCAATACATTTATATTAAATCAAGGTTTCATATAACTATAACTTCAGCTCCCTACTTTTATATTCTACTTCACTGGATATAAAGCCAAGGCCTCTATTTACACTCTTTATGGTCTTGCCCACCTGAGCTACTGGATTCAGAGTCCCGTCAACACTGCCTGGTTCGAGTCCTACCTCACAAACCGTCAGCGGTATATCTGCACAAACGGCTTCTCCTCCCGCTCTCACCCGGTCATCTACTGGTACCCTAAGGATCCATCCTTGGCCCCCTCCTCTTTCTGATCTATATGCTCCCTCTTGGGGATGTCATCCGCAGACATGGGGTACATTTCCACATGTATGCAGATGACACCCAACTCTATGTTTCCACCTCTCTTTGTGACCCCCAGTCCCCTGATGTTGTCAGCTGCCTGTCAGACCACAGGGGCTGGATGAGCGCAAATTTCCTTCAGCTGAAAGTTGACAAGACAGAAGCCGTACTCTTTGGCTCTCGTCAACGTCTAAAATCTCACGGCTCTCACCTCCTCCACCTACCCGACCTCCCCCTAAAACTCTCCAAACCCATACCTAGGCATCAGGTTCAACCCCCAATTATCCCTCCTCCCCCACATCCAGTCCCTCACCAGCACTGCTTTCTTCCACCTCCAACGCATTGCCCGTCTCTGCCAATACTTCTCCCCAAAAGCCGCTGAAACTCTGGTCCATGCCTTTGTCACCTCTCGGCTGGACTATAACACCCTCCTCGCCGGTCTCACATCCACTACCATCCATAAAATCCAAGTCATTCAAAACTCTGCCGCCCCCATTCTCACCCGCATGAAACTCTGCTCCCCGATCACCCCAGTCTTTGCCAGACTGCACTGACTGCCTGTCCCAGAGAGGATCGATTTCAAGATCCTCTCCCTTGCATTCAAGTGCCTGCACTCCTCTGCACCCACCGACCTCTCTGATCTCCTCCCTCTTCAAAACTGTACCCGTTGCCTTCGTTCCTCCGGGTCTGGCCTCCTCCTCGTCCCCCGAGTCTTCCGCTCCACCCTCGGCAGCCGTGCCTTCAGCCACTATGCCCCGAGGCTCTGGAATTCCCTTCCTCACTCCCTTTGTCTCGCTCCCTCCCTTCCTATTTTCAGGTATCTGCTGAAGACCTTTCTTTTCGACCGTGCCTTTGGTCACCTTCCCCTCCCTCCCCCCCCCCCCCTCTGGCTCGGTCCCAGGATCCGTTACTGTGAAGCGCTCTGAGACACCGTCCGCTGTGGAGGGCGCTATATAAATCCAAGTTGTTATTGTTGCTGTTGCAGCTTTTGGTTACTCGCCCTCTCAGGCTCCCACCCACCAAAGGCAATCACTTCACATTTACCTGAATTAAACTTCATCCTCAATCTATCCACCCACTTGCCAAGGCTATTTATGTCTTCCTGTGTATTTTTACAATATTATGATTAATATTAATCCTTGCATTTGGTAAAGCGCATTATCACATCTTCGAGACGTCTCAAAGCGCTTCACAGGATATACCATAAAGTGAACTGACTATATTCTGTGGGTAAAAATGCAGCAGCCAATTGCACACAGCAGTGTCCCACAAACAGTTGTGGATTGAGTGACTAAATTATTATTATTTTTTTAAAAAATTGAAAATTACCCTCAGAAAAGTGATCCGACAATCAACGAACGACTGGGTTCCTACTTACTACTAGGTAACCAGAGGCGTGTGGAGTTAGGAAACTTGTCTATGGTTTGGCCTGGCCTGGAATCGAACCCAAATCATCTCACTTGAGAACGAGTGCTCTAACCAATTAGTCACAGGGCCCCACAATGCTGCACTAGGATGTCACCTGTTATAGTCAAACCAGGCGGAGTAGCTGGGGATGATGATGTGATGAGTCTGCTCTGTGACGTTGTCCTCACTCTGGTCCACGTGACGAGCGTGATCACCTTTGGCATTCGCTGTGTCCTCGTCCTCCTGGTGATCAACACAATCACTGCTCTGCTTCTCAGTGCGTCAGCCCCACCTCTACCACCAGGGGCGCTGGTATACACTGTATGTGTGAAGGGGAAGCGCTGGTGTACACTGTGTGTGTGTGGAGGGGGGCACAAGCTATAATAATAATTCTTGCATTGATACAGCGCCTTATCACGTCTTCGGGACATCTCAAAGCGCTTCACAGAATAGACTGTAAAGTGATTTGACTGTATATTTTGTGGGCGAAATGTGGCAGACAATTGCGCACAGCAGCGTCCCACAAACAGTAGTGGATTGAGTGACCAAATAATTATTATTTAATTTTTTTGAAGGGATTATTCCCCCGGAAAAGCAATCCGCAAATCGACTAACAAGCTGGTTCCTACTTACTTCTAGGTAAACAGAAGCGTGTGTGTGGGGAGGAAGGAAATTTGCCTAAGGTTTCACTCTGCCCAAGAATCAAACCCAGGTCCTCTTGTTTGTGAGGTGAGCGTTCTAATCACTAAGGTACAGGACTCCACAGGTCAGGAATATCAGACACTCAGCTGACCACTGTGGGTGGAGGTACTGTCCCTTACTGAGTATGTGGGTGGGGGGGCGGGGGGCACAAGCTCTGTGACAGGCACTGGTCTGTGGGGAATGTAGTGTCGGGGAGGGAGTGGAGGTGAGCCCAATGGCTGGTCAAAGCAGTGAGAATTCTGACATTGGCCGCCAGAGTGAGAGGGGAGCGCTGTCTCCCAGTTCCTTACCTTTCCTCCTGCACTCGATGGATCATCCTCCTGCTCATCTGTAACGAGATAATCAGACAACACCGTCAGAGGGTGGTGGGGGGAAGGCACCCACTGGAGGGGCAGGCCAGGTGGGGTAGAGGCTTCCCAGGTTCTGCAGTAATTGCAGTCGAGATAGCAACAGCCAATTACAGCAACAGGTGTCTGTTCATGAGTGAGTAAGTCAGGTCACCTGCGATGTCAGATCACACTAACGCCTCTGATTGAAGTCACGCTGCGGAGGCTCCTCAGCAAACAGCAGCGAGCACTGAATGATTTAGTGGAGAGCAGCTGAGTAATGCATTCAGTGCTGTGAATCTATCAGTCACCACAGACAGCAGATATCAAACTATCAGGCCTGTGTGAAAGGGCCGACGGTGGCTTTAAACTGTAGCTGAGCAGGGATCGGGGAGAAGTGGCGGGGAATGTGGGGGCGAGGGGGAAGAAAGAGGTGGATGGGGTCTCCACTTAAGGCAGGAAGATGGTGGCAATGTTCCTGTGCATTCTGTGTAATATGAAGGCCGCCTTTCTAAAGCACTCTCCCCAATAATAATAATAATCCTGGCATTTGCTACAGCACTTTATCACGTCTTTGAGATACCTCAAAGAGCTTCACAGAATATACTGTAAAGTGTAGTGACTGTATTTTGTGAGCGAAAAGCAGCAGCCAATTGAACAGAGCAGTGTCCCACAAACAGTTGTGGACTGAGGACCATTTATTTTTGAAGGAATTATTACCCCCGGAAAAGCAATCCGCCAATCTACCAAGAACCGTATTCCTACTTAGACACAACTTGTGTTTACATAGTGCCCTTCACGCAGGGCAGCATCCCAAAGTGCTTACTTACTCCTAGGTAACCGGTGGTCAGGAATCTTGCCCAATGTTTCACCCAGGCCGGGAATTGAATCCAGGTTCTCTCACTCGTGAGGTAATTGCTCTAAACGTTGAGCTACAGGACTCCACAATCACTAGCGAGGGGACAGTGAGGAACCACAGCAGTGCTGGCTGGCGCTCCGTGTGCCCTTGGCAGCTTTGGGGTTTATGTTGAAAAGCAGTGGCCTGGCAGAGCAGGGGGAGGGCAGCGATGTGTATCAGCTGCCTCCACAGCAGATGGTTGCAGAGTTGGCTGACAGAGTTCTGACAAAAGGTCATCGACCTGAAACGTAAACCCACTTTCCTCTCTCTATAGATGCTGCCTGACCTGCTGAGTGAGTGTTTCCAGCCACTTCTCTTTTTATATCAGATCTGCAGCATATTACCTTTTGATTATCATGATGATGATTATTCAAACACCCGGACAGTAAGAGAGGAGGAGAGAGACTTACCCAGATCAGCGATGGTCCCACCTTTCACAGGAGCGTGCTCACTGTCCTTTTTGGGGTTGACTAAACAAAATCACAAACCTTCAGAACATTGTACAACAACAAGTGATGTTTACCAAGTGCCTTTCATGTCGGAAGGACATCTCAAGGCACTTGACAGTCAGGGATTTGGACTCGAGCTGGGGGTTGGTTGGAATTAAGAGGGGTGGAGGATAGGGAGGGTGGCCGAAGAGAAAAGTCAAAGAGAAAAGTCTTGAAATGTAACTTGAAGGAGGCAGGTGAGGGGATGGGGCGAGACGGAGGGACTCTGGTATGGAGGTCCAGAGGGTGGGGGCAGCCAAGCTTAATTCCCAACCGCCGATGGTGGGAGCCGAGTGAGACGTGGAGCAGGCTCGAGCCCACTGAGCAGAGGGGGCAGACAGTTTGGTATGGTGTTAATAGCTCTCAGAGGTAGTGAGAAGCAAGACTGTGGAGGGCGTTAAGACAATGATTTTGAACTCTATCCTTTTGGAGATGGGGAGCCGGGCGAGGATGGGGGCGATAGGGAATTGGCGTAGTTGAGCCAGGACATGATGAAATCATGGATGAGTGTCTCGGCAGCCTGAAGGAAGAGGCAGTGGCAGAACCAGACAATGTTGCAGAGCTTCCCTCCCCTCCCACCAGGCCCCCACGGCCAGCACTCTCCCCCCCGGGACTGGCATGCAGCCACCCCACAGACTACTATCACTGCACGTGGGAACGGCCGAGTGTGAGGGTCACTCACCATTTTTGGGTAAAACCACCTCCTCGATGTTGGGCACAGGAGTAGGATCTTCCAGATCTTTGGTCAGATCCTCCTGTTCCTCCTCATCTCTCTGTCCCCTCCTCTTAACATACGCTGTGGGCTGCCTGTGGGGCACAGCGAGGTGTTAAGATCATACTTCCTCCCCTCCCCCCCCCTGTACTTTACAAACCCTTCTATTCCATGACTGACCGCTACTTATAATAATAATCCTTGCATTTGATATAGCACCATATCACATTTTGAGACGTCTCATAGCACTTCACAGGATATACTGTAAAGTGTAGTGACTGTGTATTTTGTAAGTGAAACGCAGCAGCCAATTGTGCACAGTAGTGTCCCACAAACAGTCGTGGATTGAGTGATCAAATTATTATTTTTTTAAGGGATTATCAGAGAAGTGATCCGCCAATCAACTGACAATTGGGTTCCTTCTTAATGCTAGGCAAACAAGGCGTATGTGTGGAATAAGGAAACTTGCCTAAGGTTTCATCCTGCCTGAGAATCGAACCCAGTTCCTTTCGCCCACAAATATTTCTGTTCACCCACAAATAGTCATTACACTTTACAGCAAAACAACTGAAGCTCTTTTGAGACATACACTGCATATGTGAATTATTATTAAAACATAATGGCAGCTGAAAGACAGACATACACACAAACCAAAATGTGTGAGAGAAAGACATACACTACAGAGGGAGACACACAAACCACAGAAAGAGAAAGACACACACACATTCACACACCACACAGAGACATAGATACACACACACACACACCAGAGACAGATATGCACAAACCAGAGAGAGAGAGAGCTGATGACTGAATTCTGAGCCAGTCACAGAGCCAACACTCACCCTTTTTTCCCGCCTTTTTTCCTGGACTCCATGGGGGTGGGCGGGGGCGACGGAGAGCGAGAACGTTTCCTTTTCTTGGCTCCCGCCGCAGCTTTCCTGTCTTTCCGATCTGGTGTCCGAACCGTCTGTACAGACACAAAGCAAAGCACAGTGGTCAGCCAGGCTGGGCATTGGTACAGTGGTCAACAACTGCCTGCCCCCCCGCCCACACCCTCCCTGCCCACAACCCATCCCCACACTTCTTGCCCACCTGCCCACCAATTCACTGCCCCCACCACCAACACACTCCCACCCTCACCCCCAACTCCCAACACCTGCCCGTCCCACACTCCCTGCCACAATCCTCCACCCCGCGTTCCACCCACTCCCACACACCCGCTCCCACAACCCACCCCCCGAAATTAACACTAAAGCCGCCCGGGCCCAGAGTGGGGAGGGGTTCACTGTACCTCTTCAGTCACTGTTCTGGTGGGAATGCGCTGCCGATAACACACAGGCTTCCTGTTCTCATCCACCTCGTAATCCTCTTCGTTCATCCACTCATTGAACACATCTGTGTCCAGGATCCATTTAGCATGAACCTGGGCAGATCAATGCATCTAGCTTTAATCCCTCAAACCACACAACAAAAAGCATTTATATAGTCCCCTTCATGCAGGGTAGCGGCTCGGAGCGCCTGACACTAGTGGAGTCTGACCCCCAGCCATGGGGAGATGAAGGGGGAGGTGACCATAAGCACGATTAAAAAGGAAGATCTTTAAGAGAGATTTGAAGGTGGGGAGGTAGGCAAGGCAGAGGGATTGAGGAAGAGTTTCAGCGTTTCAGGGCATAGTGACTGATAGCACGGCCGCCAATGGTGGAGTGGAGGGGACAAGGGACAAACAGTAGGACGGAGCCAGCCATGGAGTGGTGGAGAAGCAGATCGGTAGGGAGGTGCGGGGGCATGAAGGGATTTGAAAACGAGTGAGGATCTTAAAATCAAGATTACATTAAATCGGGGTGGGGGGGGGGAGGTGAAGAACAGGTCACTGAACATATATTAAGATGTGACACCTCCCCGTGAGGAGCCATTACAGACATATTAGATGAACTCATAGTGAATTATGTATAACAAGCGTCGCAAAGAGCCCTTGGCAATTCCTGTCACTCGTAAATGTGTATTGTGGCCATCGCCACCCACTAGTTATCTTTGGGTTGTCCTCCCGACGTGCAAGGCGCTGTACAAATGTAATTTTACATTGTATTGTACTCTAACCCCATTCCCTGTCTCTCCCTGTCGTATCTATGCTGGTGCTCGCTCCCCCACTGGAGTTCTCTACTCTAATCTCATTCCTTACTCTCACCCCGTCATGTCTAGTGTCTTCAAAGCTCCCCAAGGTCATTACTCCTTCCTACCTTTGTGACCTGCTAATGCCATATCAACCAGTCCGTTCCCTCTGCTCAGCAAGTTTCGGCCCACCCCACCATCGACAGCGGTCAGGCCTTCAGCCTCTCTACCTTTACCCTCTGGACTGGGGTATGGAGTTCCCTTTAACCTCGCCCACTCACTTGCCTCCTTCGAGGCACTCCTATTCGACTGCGGATTTGGTCACCCTCTCACCCCTAGCCTCCTGATCCAAACACCCAGCTTGGGGCCAAATCCCTGACTGCCCAGCGCCTTGGGACGTCCACCCGACATGAAAAGCACTGTGTAAATGTCATCTATTGTTGTTATTGCTGGTACTTGCTGCCCCACTGAAGCTTGCTTTGCTCCCTGCCCATAATTTGAATATTTTGCTCAAGTGTTGACTGTGTTGCTCAGTCCGGCCTTAGCACTGGAGAGCTCGCTGTGTGATTCCCTGGATTAAACCTACCTTCCACGGCCTTTCAGGTATTGGCGCATCTTCAATATCAGCATCGATCTCACTGGCAGCGATCCAGGTATCATAACTGGAAAAGGACCAATAGTTTCACATTAATATTAAACTGCAGGACTGGAATGGGTACAATTCAGCAGACAGGCTGTAGCTGGCAATAATATATATATGATATAGCGCCTTATCACGTCTTCAAGACGTCCCAAAGCGCTTCACAGAATAGACTGTAAAGTGAATTGACTGTATATTTTTTGGGCGAAACTCAGCAGCCAATTGCACACAGCAGTGTCCCACAAACAGTCGTGGATTGAGTGACCAAATTATTATTATTTAATAATCATTATCTTCTAACTACTAATTTACAGGACTCCACAAAATATGTAAGTCATTTATCTGGAAAATCATCTTTCCCCTCTCCCATCCCCAGCTCGGTGCCCAGCCAGCAGTGTGAAAGGCCCTGTGTAAATGTAAATGATATTGTGTTGGCCAGGCCACCACAATGCTGTTCATGTAAAACCAGCTACAAATAGATTCGAGAAGACTCGAAGCTATAGAGGCTGATGGTGGGGAGTGAGTATAAGGCTGCAATTTACTTTGCTCACATAACACAGTTTAGAAACCCTCAACATTGGAAGTTACAACCACAATAAGATCAGTCTTAATTGGGATCCATGGATTCATACAACTCTGAATATGAACTGCAGACTTATGGTGTGATAGGAGTCTGAAATACACAGGGCTGCACAACTCAAATCACTGTGCAAACCTTATGAAGCTCTATAAAAGGAATTAAAGAGCCAAGTGAGTATTATTCATTACAAGAGGCAGAAAGTGGAATAAAACAAAGAATATCCAGCAGAAACACACACACTTTACATTTTTGTGAAATTCTCCTCTGCGCACAAGACAGAAAGAGCGTAAATCAGGGCAGCGGAGTACAGAAGGTGGCTGTAAATGTTAACAGATAAGCTATAAAAGTTAATCTGCCGCTGGCGTTTACAGTTTAAAAGCCTGTTAAATGCAAATGAAAATCCTGGAGGTCATAAACTGTAAATCACAGCCAGTTGTGAATTGCCATATCAACATGTCCACTCAGCGGGCTCCGGCCTGCTCCATGTCCCCCACCATTGGCGGTCGGGCCTTCAATCTCTCTGCCAACACCCACTAGAACTCCATCCCACATGCCCTTCGCCTTGCTTCCCCCCTCACTTCCTTCAAGATGCATCTCAAAACCCTCCTCTTCGACCGTGCCTTCGGCCACCCTCCTAACCTTACCCTCTCCGTCCTCCAACCCTCCTGATCCCATCTCCCAGCTCGGGTCCCAAATCCCTGACTGTCCAGCGCCTTGGGACGTCCTCCCGACGTGAAAAGCGCCGTGTAAATGTCATTTGTTTTAAGCACTCTGAGTCGCTACCCTGCGTGGAGGGAACTATATAAATGCAAGTTGTTGTTATTGTGAATTAGCTTTCTTGTTACTCAGAATCTCAGTGACCAGCTGAGATATAGAGGTTTCCCTCCCAGGCTAAGGTACAGAGATACCCCACCAGGGTGTAGTAATAATAACAATCTTTGCATTTGATATAGCGCTTTATCACATCTCCGAGACATCTCAAAGCACTTTACAGAATATACTGTAAAGTGAATTGACTGTATTTTGAGGGTGAAACGCGGCAGCCAATTGTACACAGCAGCGTCCCACAACAGTCGTGGATTGAGCGACCAAATTATTATTATTATTGGAAGGGATTATTACCTCCAGAAAGCAATGTGTCAATCAACAACTGGGCTCCTAGTTACTGCTAGGTAAACAGAGGCGTGTGGAGTAAGGAAACTTGCCTAAGGTTTCACCCTGTCCTCTCAGTTATGACACCCCACCCTTAGCACATTATAATTACAAGTGAATATTGAACCAGTGCAGGGACAGGCTGGTCTGCATACCCAGATCTTCCCAGAGGCCTGACTGAATAGCCTCTTTATGGTGAGATGCGGTTTCGGCCAAGGATCCCTCGCTTTTCATTGCCAACAACCAAAGAACCACTCGGGTACGAAAAGGCCACAAACTATAATTAAACCCAACATCACAGAACCATTACATAACCACAACAGCCAAAGCAAGCGGTGTACTATTGCCAGGCAGTGAGGGTGTTTAAGACTGTGCATCTGTTGTGAAAGGCTTAGCGCTCCTCTCAGCTAATGAAAGACTTGCTTTGAACTGAGTGTCCTTTGTTCTATAGAAACGGCACTGGGGAGGGAACAGACAGGCCAGCAGCTTGCTTAGCAACTCAAACAGAGCCTAACGATGACCTCAGCAATTAGCCAAAAGGGGGTGAGAGCTTCCGACGCGTATTCCAGCCCCCTTCCCTCCCCTCCCTCCACACGCACACTGCCTGCCATTCACAGGCTCCTCCGTTCGAATCTTGTTCAGCCAGCGGCGTAGTGACTGCCTGCATTGCCACTTCCCTGTTTTTCTGCCCTTCCTCCCAATGACAGGAGCCTGACAGTGCAGTAAAACTTCCCGTAATCCTTGCATTTGATATAGTGCTTTATCACGTCTTCGAGACGTCTCAAAGCACTTCACAGAATATACTGTAAAGTTAATTTTACACCATTCACAACCATTGGCGGGCAGGCCTTCAGCTTCTCTGCCCCCATCATCTTGAACTCCATCCACCTCGCCCGCTCCCTTGCCTCCTTCAAGACCTGTCTCGAGACCCTCCTCTTCGATCATGATTTTGGTCACCTTCCTACCCTCCCTGTCCTCCACACCTCACGATCTCAACCACCAACTCAGATGTGGATCCTGTCTGTCCAGCGCCTTGGGATGTCTTCCCAACATGAAAGGCGCTATACAAATATCATTTGTTGTTATTGTTGAAGTGGCTGTATATTTTGTGGGCGAAACGCGGCAGCCAATTGCGCACAGCAGCGTCCCACGAACAATCGTGGATTAAACAACCACATTTCTTTTGAATGGGTCATTACCCCCAGTAAAGCGATCCACCAATCAACTAACAACCGGGTTCCTACTTACTAACAGAGGCATGTGGAGTAAGGAAATGTGTTTAAGGTTTTGCCCTGCCGGGAATCGAACCCAGGTCCTCTCACTTGTGAGGCGGGCGCTCTAAACATTGAGCTACAGGACTCAACGTTACATAGAAACACAAATTATTCTGCCACTGCTATCTGCATTATCCCACTGTTGTGCTCTTTCCACATCCCTTAATAGCTTTGGTGCTTGTGCAGTTCTCCTTTAAATGATTTAATTGATCCGATCTCGATAGCCTCTTGTGGAGATGAATCACCAGCCCCCAAAGCCCCCCACCCACCATCCCTGCCTGTCTGCAGTAAACAGACGTACCTGTCTGGCTGTCTGTCTGTGCGCAGACGTACCTGTCTGGATACATTCCCCAGTGTGCCAGAACCTGTTTTTCTCGTTTCATCACGGGTCTCAGCCACTCCTCTGCAACGGAAAGAATTGTCCTTTACACAGCACGGAAATCAAACAATAAAAATCGTTGTATTCGATATACTAATCAAATAATAATAATCCTTGCATTTGATACAGCACCTTATCAAGTCTTCATGCTGTCTCAAAGCGCTTCACAGGATATACTATAAAGTGAATCGACTTTTTTTTAAGGGAATTTTTACCCCCGTAAAAGTGAATCGCCACTCAACTAACAACTGGGTTCCTACTCACTGCTAGGTAAACAAATGCATGTGGAGTAAGGAATCTTCTCTAAGGTTTTGCCCTGCCTGGGAATCAAACCTGGGTCCTCTCGCTTGTGAGACGAGTGCTCTAACCACTGAGCTACAGGACTCCACATGGACATAAACATCACAGCCTAGTTGAGCTGGACGGCATTTTTCTTGCTGAGGGATAGAGATTGCAACCCGTTGGGCACTGCCTGGTGCTGTGGGCACTACATGATATAGCATAGGTCTCCAAGATATCAAGAGAGAGAGACTCCCTTCTCTTTTTCAATTGCACCACAGAATCCTTAATATCCACCTGAACGGGCACACACTGGACCTCAGTTTAGGAACATTGGAACAGGAATCGGCCATTCAGCCCCTCGAGCTTCTTCCAACATTCTATCAGATCATGACTGATCTATGCCTCAGCTCCATTTACCCGCCTTTTCTCCATATCAACAACAACTTGAATTTATAGTGCCCTTCACGCAGGATAGCATCTTGTTGCGCTTACCACTGGCGGAGTTTGATGCCAAGTTGGGGGGGGGGTGGGGTGGGTGGGAGGGAGGGTGACCGTAGGCATGATTGAAAAGGAAGGTTTTCAGGCTCCACCTGAAGATGGGGTTGGAGGGAGGGGAAGGGTAGAGGAAGAGTGTTCCAGAGTTTTGGGTCGTAGTGGCTGAAAGCGGGATCACCGGTAGTGGAAGGGAGGGCATAAGTGACACGTAGGAGGCTGAAGGCAGTCGAGTGGAGGCAGCGGGTAATGGGGCGGGGGTTAAGCAGGTCGGAGAGGTAGGGAGGTGCCAGGGCATGAAGGGATTTGAAAACGAGTGTGAGGATCTTGAAATCAATCTGTTCGGGGATAGGGTGCCAGTGGAGCCTGATGAGAACTGGTGATGGGGGTACGGAGTTTAGTACGGGTGAGTGTGCGAGTGGTGGAGTTTGGAATCAGCTGGATTTTGTGGATAGTGGATGGTAACCGGTGCGATGTGAGATTTTCCACACACTGTGATCTGTGTCCGTGTATACTGACCACTTCTCCCAACCAAGGCTGGAGTCTGAGTTATCAGCACCATCTAGTGTTTTGGCTGAGAACAAGTTTAACAACTGATGTTAAACCAGTCCAGTAATTCGTGTGGGGGGGGGGGGGGGGGGGGGGTGTCCAGTCTTTTGGCTGCTGAGGACATGATGCCGGACTTGAGAAACGTCCACGGACCACACAAGCAATATTTTTGTGTTTCCCTTCCAGAAAGATAACCCATAACAATCATATAGAAAATCCTACAATTAAAATTGTGTAACTGTATTTCATTTCTGCATTACTACAACCCCTCCGCCCTACTGCTCGATACCTACCCTCGGCCAATACTGATATTAGCCATGATCTAATAGAATGGCGGATCAGGCTCGAGGGGCTGAATGGCCTACTCCTGTTCCTGGCTAGTCTCACCAGTCCTTGCCAGGCTCCACTGGCTACCAATTACCAAATGGTTTAATTTCTAGATCCTCTCACTCATTTTCAAATCCCTTCATGCCCTCGCTATGAGGGCACTTCATGCCCTACCTATCCGATTTGCTTACCCTCCAGTCCCACCACCCGCTGCCTCCACTTGGTTGGCTCCAGCCTCCTGTTTGTCCCTCGTCCCCTCTGCTCCACCGTCGGTGGCCGTGCCTTCAGCCACTACGTCCCAAAACTCTCGAACTCTCTCCCTCAATCCCTCCACCTTGCCCCCTCACTTTCAAATCTCGCCTAAAGACCTTCCTTTTTGATCGTGCTTACCGTCACCTCCCCCTTCCCCCCGGCTCGGAGTCAGACTCCGCCACTTTTAAGAGCTCTGGGATGCTTCCCTAGGAGAAGGGCCCTATGTAAATGCAAGTTGTTGAGATCAGTTTATATCATTATCCTCACACGGCACCTTTCACATCAGGAGGATTCTCACAGTCACACATATGTGTATGCACCACTGGGAAAGGTGTAGTGACTGTTTGTAGGAATCAAGGCTTTCAGCCTTACCTTCGTCCAACGAGCTGGGGATGGGGTAGATCAGGTGGGAAGCTTTGGATTTGTCATCAGTAACTGATCCCTGAGGAAACAAAATTGAGTCTTTTGAGAGGAGCGGAAGTGGTGCAGCCCCACACACCTCACCACCTGGCCCAGCACAGCACAACCATGGGGACAGATCCGGGGGAAATCTCCTTTGTTCAGCCACAAGTATCCCCACCCTCTCCCACAGCCACACACACGCACCTACCCAGTCACACATACACGTGCACCCCCATAGTCATACACACACAAATTGCCCCAATCACATCACACAAACGATCAACTCACCCCCAAGGTATAAAGGATGCATTACCTGATGCCTTTTAACAATATCTTTCAACTTGTTTGCCAGCTTCTGGTCAAGATCAGACATGAGGTAGATTGTGGGTCTGGTTAGACAATTATTCTGCAAAAAGTAACACAATCAGTCAGAGCAATGCTGCCTACAGTTACGGATACAGCAGGTAATCGGATCATTCAGCCCAACTTCATACAGTCTCACAGCTTCCTCCCTCCTATTACCTTCTCAGTCAAGTGTGTTGATTGAGGCACAAGACAAGCATCCAATTTGTCATCAATAATACAATACAGAACAGCACAGGGGGAGGAAGGGCTTAAATTCATCAGACTTATTTCACAGCATATTAACAGATTGTGCGGTCCCACGACACACAACACCCGACCTGCAATATGAACCACCGCATAAGACCCACAAAAAGCCACTAGAAGTGGCCAGGCAGACAGAGGAATGATCTGGGCACCAGCATATTCTGTGAAGCACTTTGAGACGTCTAGAAGATGTGAACAGCGCTATATCAAACGCAAGGATTATTATTATCATCACACAGCAGGAATCAGAGGGTAGAGATATCTGCTGCCTCCGCTCGACTGGCTCCGTCCTCACCCATGTCCACCATCGGTGGCCGCACTTTCAGCCACTATGCCCTAAAACTCTGGAACACTCTTCCTCCATCCCTCCACCTTGAAGACCTTTCTATTCGAGCATGACTAGGGTCACCTCCCCCTCCCCCTGGCTCAGCTTCGTGCGCCGCCACTGTCAAGCGTTCTGCGGTGCTACCCGGCGTGAGGGGCGCTGTGTAAATGCAAGTTGCTGTTATTGTTATCCTTGTGCTAAGGAAGAAGCTTGGCAGACATGGCTTTACCTGAGCATGCATAGTGAAAGGAAACGCTGTAATATAATAATCTTTACACAAAGTATCATAGAACCATACAGCACAAAGGAGGCCATTCGGCTCATTGTGCCTGCCTGGCTATTTGAAAGAACTACCAACTAGTCCCACTCCCCCACTCTAACCCCTGCACATTCTTCCTTTTCAAATACCTATTCCAATTCCCTTTTGAAATCTGCTATCGACTGCTTCCACCACGCTTTCAAGAAGTGCATTTCAGACCATAACAATTCTCTGGGCAAAAAAAAGTCTCCTGGTCTCTTCTCTGGTTCTTTTGCCAATTATCTTAAATGTATCATCTGGACATCAACTCAGCTGCCAGAGGAAACAGTTTCTCCCTATCGACTATCAAAACCCCTCATAATTTTGATCACCTCTATTAAAATGCTGACACAACAAGTAAGCGGGGTCTCAAAGCAATGGTAGTTGCCAACAGGTACAGTACCTAATTGTAGGCGAGCCCAGCAGGCATTTTGCACAGCAAAGCCCCCCAAACCGCCATAAACCAAATACTTTATCTGGAGTATCTGGCACTAGGACAAACTCCCTTCTCTTTGTCACGGGATCTTTAACATCCACCTGAACTGACAGTGGGACCCCAGCTTTTAACATGTCACCCTAGCTGGACAAGCAATGGAAAGCTTGCCAGATAGTGCTCTCAATAGCAAGCTAAACGGTTTCAGCTGGTTAAACTCCAAAGAGTCTCCCTTTGTCCTGGCCAATATTGATTTCTCAGCCATAGGTATCCCAAAACACAATTGTATTTTATCCTATTGTTTACGAGGGTCGTTGCGGCTGCTGATTTACCAACAATCAGTGAACATAAAGTTAGCGTGAGGACCTGAGAGACGCCCACGTAATCAGATGCTAAATCCAGGAGGAAATATCCATTGTGAAACGCAGGGTGGGTCATTCTCAAATTCCTTCACACCCTGGCATCTCCCTACCTCTCCGATCTGCTTACAACCCAACCCACTATCTCTGCTCAACTGGCTCCGGCCTTCTGCATATCCTTCGTGCCCTCCATTCCACCATCAGTGGCCACGCTTTCAGTCACTACGCCCTGAAATTCTGGAACACTCTTCCTCTAGCTCTCCGCCTTGCCCCTTCCTTCACCATCTTCAGATCACACCTGAACACCTTCCTCTTCGACTGTACCTACGGCCACCTCCCCCTTCCCACGGCTCAGCGTCGTGCTCCACCACAGTGGTCTGTGTGAGGAGCGCTGTGTAAATGCCCATTGTTGTGTATGGGAGATGAGAGATATCAAAGCCAACTCTACTGACAAAAAGAAACTGGAAAAATCACCTGTAACAGCAATTGCCCTTACCTGCACAAGGGTCTTCTCTATAGTCATGAACATCTCCACATTGCGATCCATGCGGGATGGATTCTGCAGGTCAAATCTCCTCCTAAAAGAGAGCAGTGACTACATTAAGCACCAAGCGATCAGGGTGTTCAGCCATTTAATTATATAAAACTCATGCCTAAAGTTTACAAGTCAGGCGATGGGCTGTGGCCTGCGCAAGAGGACCCGGATTCAATTCGATTTACGGGCGGGGAGAAACACTGGGCAAGTTTCCTTAACCCACATGCCTGTTTACCTAGTAGTAAGTAGGAACCCGGTTGTTAGTTGATTGGGGGATTGCTTTCCGGGGGTAATAATCCCTCCAAAATAAATAAATAATAATTTGGTCACTCAATCCACGACTGTTTGTGGGCTGTGGGCAATTGGCTGCCACGTTTCATCCACAAAATATACAGTCAAGTCACTTTTCAGTAAATTCAGTGACGCACTGATGTGTGTGTGTGTGCGCACGTGTGTGTGGGGGGACAATAGAATACTGATGTGACCAGTGTTGTGTCATCGAGACCTCCAAAACAACTGATCATGCGCCCAGGTGTCTTGAGGATCAAAGACCAAACAGCCCTGAACCACATCTCCAACACTCACAAGGGAAAAAATGAGTTGGAGAAAACACTTTGGCTAACATTATGGTTATTTAGCACAATTTATTTAATAAAGAATTAGACAAGAAATCATAATAACCCTTGCGTTTGATCCACACGGCTGTTTAGCTATCAGTAAGGAACTCGGTTGTTATTCAATTGCCGGATTATATTTCTGGGATAATAATTCCTTCAATCAAAATAATAATAAGTTGGTCACTCAATCCGTGACTGTTTATGGGACACTGCAGTGCGCAATTGGCTGTTGTGTTTCGCCCACCAAATATACAGTCAATTAATTCACTGTATAGTATACTCTGCGAAGCGCTTTGAGACGTCCTGAAGACGTGATAAGGCGCTATATCAACTGCAAGGATTATTAGTATTATCACTATTGAACAATTGGCACAGCATTGTTCTGCAGCATGTGCTGTGATCAAATTATTATCTGCAAATCGACTAACAAGCGGGTTCCTACTTATTGCTAGGTAAATAGAGTTGTGTCGAGTAAGGAAACTTGCCTAACGTTTTGCCCTGCCCAGAAATCAAACCCAGGTCTTCTCGCTTATGACTTGCCTACAGGACTCCTTCTGTAACCAAACCCGCAGGAGTCGAATCTCTGACAAGTCAGCACTCCCCCCAGGACTGCATTGGAGTGTCAGCCTGAATGATGCAAGTTTAAAGTGCGAAGTGAGTTCTGAATCAACAACCTCCTGACTCAGAGGCCCAAGTGCTACCAATGAGCCACACCCTCCGCTCGGCTGGTTCCAACCTCCTGCTTGCCTTTCCGCTCCACCATCGCCCACCGTACTTTCAGCCACAACGCCCCCCAACTCTCTCCCTCAATCCCTCAGCCTTGTCCTCTTCCAGATCGCACCTGAAGACCTTCCTCTTCAACCGTTCTTACGATCACCTCGTTCTCCCCCCGCCCCAGCTCGGCATCAGGCTCCATCACTGTTAAGTGCACCGAGACTCTACTCTACCCTACATGAACGGCGCTGTATAAATGCAAGCTGTTGTTGAGTCAGGCTGACATCTACATGTGCGAAACTACTGGCAGTGTTATCATCTTTGTCTGATACCATTCAGAAACCATTGTTCTTCAGGTTTCCCGCCACCCCCACACCTACAGATAGATTTCTCTTTTGACCTGCACTGCAGGAAGGAAGCTTCAAAGCCTCGGTGAATCTCAATGGGAGGACAATTATTGCAGATTGTCAGCAATGCTTTCAAATCAGATGTCTGACGGGCCGTTCAATAGCCAGCAAAGACAAGTTGCGTTTATTATATTAACGAAGATTCATAAAAATATTTCCCAAGTAATTAAGAAGTCATTAATAAAATAATAATAGTCACTCAATCCAAACCTGTTTGTGGGACACTGCTGTGCGCAATTGGCTACTGCATTTCGCTCATTATATATACAATCAATTCACTTTACAGTATATTCTGTGAAGCACTTTGAGACATGTGGAAGATGGGATAAGGCACTATATCAAATGCATTATTATTATAATGAAGGGAACTAAAGTGATAGCTCAATCAGAAAGCTGTACGATGAGCTGCTCCTGTGCTGAAGGCTCTCGATTCCACGCTGCAGAATGCAACTTACTCACCATCCCTGCTCACTCTTGAATTTATAAGCAGCACCAAGGATATGGCCCAGGGCTCCTCCAGGTTTGAAGTCAAGGAAGCACTTTGCCTGAAGTAAAACAGCAAGATGGAATTGTTAAAGCGAATTATAAACTCCATCACAAAAAATTCAAGGGAATACAATATAAGCACCAAGAATCAAACAAATATAGGAACACGAGGAGGCCATTCAACCCCTCAAGCCCATTCCACCATTCTATAGGATCATGGCTGATCTGTACCTCAACTCCAATATGAGGCCTTTGCCTTTGCCTCATATCCCTTGATGTCCTGACCTAATAACCATCTATCCACTTCAGTCTTGATAATGTGAATTGATCCAGCTATAATCCACAGCCTTTTGGGGGAGAGAGTTCCAGATTTCCACTCCTTTGTGTGAAAAAATGTTTTCTGATTTCACTCCTGAATGGCCGAGCTAACTTTAAGATTATGCCTCCTTGTTCTGGATTCCCCACTAGAGGAAATACAGGATGATCAAAAAGTCCTTATTTTTCAGCAACCCTATTACCTAAAAAAAATCCTTTCTTTTAAGACTTATTGGACATCGTAATGGTATCACAACGTTTTGGTCACCCTGTAGTTTCTCTTTTATAAGATATAATTCTGCAACTCTGTAAATATCACAAGAGTGCTGGAGTTAGCTTAGCCAATGCAGTCAGTCTCCACAGAGCTGTAGCTCACTATAATAATACTGTTGTGCAAGAGACACACTAAACTGCACATGCCTCCACCTCAGATCACTTGGAATGATCCAGCCCAGAAACAGGATATAAAGTTACCTGGGACATGTGTGAGGATTTTTAATAACAATAATCCTTGCATTTGATACAACGCCGTATTACATCTTCGAGACGTCTTAAAGCGCTTCACAGAATACACTGTAAAGTCAATTGACTATATTTTGTGGGCAAAACGCAGCAGCCAAATGCGCACAGCAACGTCCCACAGTCGTGGATTAAGTGACCAAATTATTATTATTTTTTTTGAAGGGATTATTATCCCCGGAAAAGCGATCTGCCAATCGACTAACAACTGGGCTCCTATTTACTGCTAGATGAACAGAGATGTGTGGAGTAAGGAAACTTGCCCAACATTTCGCCCTGCCGGGTAATCGAACCCAGGTCCTGGTGCTTGTGAGGCGAGTGCTCTAACCACTAAATTACAGGACTCCATGAAATAAGTGGGTTATTTATCTGGAAAATCTGCCATCTTTCTCCTCTCTCACCCCCAGCTCGGTGCCCAAAGCAGTGGAAAAGGCGCTGTGTAAACATAAATGATATTACGTGGCCAAGGCCATCGCAATGCTGTTTTGTGGGGGGGGGGGGGGGCGGGGAAGCAGAGAGAGTACACCAGACTCCTCAGCCACTTAATAAATCCTCAGCTTGGTTCAATTAATCCAAAGGGATTATTAATTATTATTATTAATTATTGTAGGATAACCACATTATGCAGAAAACAGTGACAGGCAGTACGGTTCAGTTTATATGAAAGGTATTAATGGGCACAATCTGCAGCATACTTTAAAAAAATCTTAAAATTACACATATCTAGAGAAAGGCACTTTCCTTAAAAATTACTCGCCGAGAGCAGGGAATATGATCAGGATGTGCTGAACACACAGCCTGGCACACAGGAACCCAAGCTACAATTGGCCTCCATCTCCCGCCCAAGTAACACAACACAGTAACACAAGTGTCTTTTCAGTTGGAAAGTGCAGTCCTCTAGTGTAGTGGTTAGAGCACACACCTCACAAGCGAGAGGACCAGGGTTCGAATCCGTGCGGGCAAAACCATAGGCAAGTTTCTTTACCCTACACGCCTCTGTCTACCTCGCATTAAGTCGTAACTCACTTGTTAGTCAATTGGCGGATTGCTTTTCCGGGGATAATAATCCCTTCAAAATAAATACTAATAATTTAATTACTCAATCCATGACTATTTGTGGTACGCTGCTTTGGGCAATTGGCTGTCGCGTTTTGCTCACAAAATATACAGTCAATTCAATTTACAGCCTATTCTATGAATCACTTTGAGACAGTCTCGACAATGTGATAAAGCGCTGTATCAAATGCAAGGTTTGCTATTATTATCTCACCGGGGGGCCCAATTAACACAATTAAACTGCCTTTTCAGTTGAAAGCCCCCAGCAAGCTATGGAGATTCACAATGCTGCACAGAGCAGCTCACTGGGTGTATATACACACACATGTACATGCCCAGAGCTAAGGCTACAGCACAACAATCATAATTAACTGTGACATGCCGATCAGTAATCTGGGGTTATATTCCCACAAGGTGACCAAGGTTAATTTAATGGGTGATCTAATCTCTAAAATACTGAAGGGAACAGACAAGTAGATTGTCAACATTACCCTCTGACAGGAGCAGGTTCTTAACAGAACCAGGCCAGTGGAGTCCTGTAGCTCAGTGGTTAGAGCACTAGCTTTGCAAGTGAGAGACCTGAGTTCAATTCCAGGCAGAGGGCGAAACCTTGGGCAAGTTTCCTTACTCCACACAGAGCCTAATAATAATCCCTCCAAAACCAAAAACAATAATAAATGGGTCATTTTCAATCTACGACTGTTTGTGGGACATTGCTGTGCGCAATTGGCTGCCGCGTTCGCCCACAAATATACAGTCAATTCACTTTATATTCTGTGAAGCGCTTTGGGACGTCCTCCCGACGTGAAAAGCGCTATATCAAATGCTAGGATTATTATTATTATTATTATTATTAAGTGAGATCAGGAAACATCTCTATACTGGGGGAGGGGGGGGGGGGGGAATGAACAGCCTGTCCCAGAGGCTGCAGACAGAATCTGTTGGGGTGTAAAGCAGGTATAGTAGTTACTTAATGGAGAAAGTGGGAGAAATTCCCTGCATAATAATAATCCTTGCAGTTGGAGACTTTTCAAGTCTTCCAGACGTCTCAAAGCGCTTCACAGGATACACTGTAAAGTGAATTGACCAGGTTTTGTTTTTAGTAGTTCCACCTTTTAAGAATCCCACTGCCACCTCTCTGCTCACCTCCCTGGTCTTTTAACTGCTCAGAATGCAAACTTCAAAATGACTCTTTCCCCCCACCATGTGAAGTTTAGAGCTGTTCTCCTACATCCCCCCCCTCCCCACAATTTAACCTTAACGCTGTGATTATGGTTTGGAAATTCTAAAGTTCTCAATGCTACTTCTGTACAAAGGGGAATGTAATTGCTTTCGATGGTTGCATTAATAGTGTTTAAATGTAATAAGAACCAACTCAACAGATCAAAGCCCAAACCGTGCCAGGTACCTGTGACAGAGTGGCTCACTAACAAGCTAAGAGACAGCTGATGACAACCCTTTACAGCCCAGGCAGCCACTCGCTGACTGTCTCTGCACTGCTGCAGATTAGCTTTGACCATTCCCACTTTCCCTCCTGCCATTTGGGAAAGAAAGAAGCTGATTGCGTGGCAGTACGGCCCATGGCTGCAGTGGGTGACTGTGCAATGTTGTTAGCACTTACTGGGAGCTTTGTTAAAGCCGCGTTATTCACGTGTTTGCCGAATGCATCCTCCTGGAACTGAAGCAGCTGCACCACAAGCCCAGCCAACGTCTTGTTTGAAGGTGAATCTGCCTGCACACACTGAGGGAAAACAGCAAGAGAAAGAGATTCAACAACAATAATAACAAACAACAAATTACAATTACAGAGCGCCTTTCACGTCAAGAGGACCCAAGCATGTGGTTGGGATCAGGAGGGATGGAGGTTAAGGATAATAATAATCCTTGCATTTGATATAGTGCCTTATTATGTAGGAAGGTTACTGAAAACGCGGTCGAAGAGTGTTGAGACATGCCTTGAAGGAGGTAAGGGAAGGAGCAAGGCAAAGGGAATGCGGGATGGAGTTCCAAAGGATGGGGGCAGAGAGACTGAAGGCCTGACCGCTGATGGGCAGGGACGTGGAGCAGCCGGAGTGGACAGATTGATATGGGTTAGCAGGTTATAGATATAGGGAGGAGCAAAGCCATGGAGGGCTTTGAAGGTGAGGAGAAGGACCTCGATGTAACAAATGTATGGGTGAGGGACAAAGGTATGGATGAGGGTTTCAGCAGCTTGAGGGGAAAGGCAGGGGCGGAGCTGGGGGATGTTACAAGGTGGGGGAAGGCAGAAGGTCATGGATGTGGGGTAGAAAGAACAGTTGAGGGTCAAACAAGATGCCAAGGTTTCGGACTGGCTCAGGAAGGTGGAGTGTGCATCCATGGATGGTGATGCTATCAGCTCCTGAGGTGTGCAGGCGCTAATGGGAGCCAATCAGGAGGACCTCAGTCTTCATGAGGTTTAACTGTAGAAAGTTCGCTCTCATACAGGACTTGATGTCTGACAGACATTCTCTTAGCACAGTGGTCCTGGAGTCGAGAGTGGAAAGCAGAGAGACAGAGCTGGGTGTCATCCGCATAGTTGGGAGCATGTAGGTATAGAAGAGGAGAGGACCAAGGACTGAACCCTGAGGAATTCAGAAAGACAGAGCAAACGAGAGACAGAGAAACAGAAAGAGAGCGAGAGAGGGAAAGAGAGATTGACAGAGTGAAAGAGATGCACAGAAAGAGAGAGAGAGGCACACAGAAAGAGAGACTGACACACAACAACAACATGCACTTATGTAGCACCCTCCACGCAGGGTGGCATCTCAGAGCACTTAACAGAGCCAGAGCCTAACTCCAAGCCGGAGGGTGAGGGGGGCGTAAGCACGGTCGAAGAGGAAGGTTTTCAGGTGGAACTTGAGAGGGGAAGAGAGGGGCAACACAGAGTGATTGGGGAAGAGTGCTCTAGAGTTTTGGGGAACACACACACAACACACAGAGAGGCCATTTATTAGCAACCAAACATTCAACATTGTGCTGACACTGCAACATCTTCAAGTACGTCTTCACGGGGGATTACCGCCAGTGTAATAACTGTTTTTACACAAATGAAGCAGCCATTTTAACAGACCTCATGATCCCACAAACAATCATGATGTTTGACTGTCCCGAGGTCAGACTCTGCCACTGTGAAACGCTCTGTGACACTACCCTGTGAGAAGGGTGCTATATATAAGTTCAAGCTGTTATTGGCCCACAGGAGTGTGACCTACACCTTTGCAGTCCTGATACCTAAATTGGGGGAGGGGGACCGTAAGCACGATCAAAAAGGAAGGTCTTTAGGCAGGAGTTGAAAGTGAGGAGGGAGAGGGGGTCAGGTCATTATCGATTTAATGCCCATGTCGGCACTTGAGCTTAATACTCCAGTGCAATGGGGGGGGCTGGACAGATATTAGCCCGAGGCAGTGAAACCAACCGACCCCCCGCTGAATGAGCAGCCCACATGAAGCCCTGACCTCTGCCAATGTGGAGCTGAAACTAGCCATTACTGTACTGCACTGCCACCTCATGGGCATCAACTGCAAGTGCGCTTTCAAGCGGTCTCCATTCAGCACATTCAGAGGCAGGGGATGGGGCGGGGAGAGAAATCGGGGTTGCAGGAGTGATGACAGGGCGTGGAAGTGAGAGAGAGGGGCTGTGGGGAGAGGAAGAGAACAGGCCCACAAGGTCCGGTTGCTATAAAGCCACAACCTGCACTGGGACACCTTCACATGAAACACACTCACTTTCCCCGCACAGCGATATCACAATCCATTTCACGAGGAGCCGAGAACCACCTACAGGCCCCACCTCCATACAGCGCAGTGCTACAAAGCAATCACGACACTTGATTAATTACCTGTGAATCACCTGTGTGTCCCCAAACCACGTCACAAACAGAGGCAACCGCGGCAGCCAATGTCACAAGACAATTGGTCACTTCAATCGACGTCTGTTTGTGGGACGCTGCTGTGCGCAATTAGCTGCTGCGTTTCACCCACAAAATATACAGTCAATTCAGTTTACAGTATATTGTGTGAAGCGCTTTGAGATGCCTAGAAGATGTAAAAAGGGCTATATGAAATGCAAGGATTATTTTTATTATTCCCCGACCCACTACCCGCTGCCTCGGCTTCCTGCTTGCCCCTCATGCCCTCTGCTGCACCGTCGGTGGCTGCACTTTCAGCCATTACACCCCATAACTACGAATCACTCTTCCTCGATCCTTCCGTCTTCTCCTTCTTTACATCGCACCTTCCTATTCAACCATGACAACGGTCACCTCCGCTTCCCCCAGGCTCGGCGTCATGCTCTGCCTCTGTCAAGCATTCTGGGAAGCTACCCTGCATGAGGGGCGCTATATAAATGCAAGTTGTTGTTGAAGCAAAGCCCCCCCCACCCTCCCAATGCTTGAGAGGAAACGCAGCTCCTCCATCCAAGTGCCAGAGAGGAAGTGCAGGCTCTTCCGTATGTCACAAAATGGCCTGAGCTGCTGACCAGTGAACAACAACAAGCGTTTATATAGAGCCCCCATGCAGGGTAGCGTCCCAGAGCACTTGGGACACATTGTGCTGGAAGTCTGACCAAGAATTTCCAGACGCCAAACTCCGTCTTAAAGGTTGTAACGCATTTATTGGTTAAATAGTGTTTGAGGGTCCTCCACCATAAAGCCCCACGTCAGGAACTCTGAGCTCACAGTCCAGGCTGACACTCCAGTGCAGTCCTGAGAGTGTTCAATGCGCTCTGGGATGCTACCCTGCTTGAAGTGCACTATATAAATGCAATTGTTGTTGTTGTGGGAGGCACCGTCCTTCAGAAGAGACGTTAAATTGAAGCCCTCATCTGTGCCCTGCTTAGGTGGCTGTTAAAGATCCTATGGCACAACTCAAAAAAAGTTTCTTTCGGTATCCCGGATGACAATGCCCCAGATAAATATCGCTCACTCATTCACGGTTGTTTCTGACATTGCAGTATGCAAATTGTCTGCTGTGTTCGCCTACAAACTAGTCACTGCACTGCACAGGAAACTCTGTGAAGCCAGGCTTTGAGACGTTTCTATGGGGTGGTCCTTGATTTTTAATAATCCTTGCATTCGAAAGAGCATCTTAACACGTCTTTGAGACATCTCAAAGTGCTTCACAGAATATACTGTAAAGTGAATCGACTATTTTGTGGGTGAAATGCGGCAGCCAATTGCACACGGCAGCGTCCCACAAAGTCATGGAATGAGTGACCAAATTATTACTATTTCCTGGCAGGTAAACAGAGGTGTGTGAAGCATCTCTGCCCCGCACTCTGGAACTCTATCCCACAATCCCTCTGCCTCACCCCCTCCCTGACTACACTACAGGACTCCAGATCAGGAGCTCAGTGTATTGAGATTTTTATTATTGGATACCATAGCAATATACCAGTAAATCATTTGGGAGATATTTCACCAACTGGAAAAGCACAGCTTCAGTAGCAATAAAACGTGTCATTTCACGTCTTGCCTCTACACCTTGGATTCAAAACAAAGTGCTAGAGGATTGCAGTCACTGAGCACAGAGCACCATGTGCACAGAGCAGCAAGCTGGGCGGCACTTCCAGCAGCTTCCGCCTGTCTGCTCCCCCTCACTTTGTTCAGATGTCTCTTTGTCTGACAGCGCTGCTCCGGGAACCTCCCCAATGCCTGGTTATAGGTGCCCAACCCCCCTCCCCACACACTCACAGCCAGACTCCTAACACACACACACACATATATATATATAGAATCAGGTCAGGCACCCCCCCCACACACACACACCAACCTGACACACACCATCAGGTCTGAACCCCCCCACCCAGACTCCTGACACACACACACACACACACACAGAATGTGGTCTGCCCCCCCACCCACACAGCCAGACTTTTAACACACACATAATGAGGTCTGACCCCCCACACACAGTCTTCAAACACACAGTCAGGTCTGACCCCCCCGCCCCAATCACAGCCAAGTTCTCCCCCGCCGCCCCAACAAATGCACACACACACACAATGTCTGCCCTTCATATCCGAAGATGGCCGTTCAGACAATGTGAACACCTGTGTGCGTGAATTTGTTTATAGTGTAGAAAGCTGCTGCCCTGCGTATGGCTTCACGCACAGTCAGCCCTCCCCCCAAACCACACAAACATAGTACAGCTTCTCACACACACACACAAACAGTCAGCCCTCCCCCAAACATAGATACAGCTTCTCACACCCACCCACACAAACAGTCAGCCCTCCCCCCAAACCACACAAACATACATCCAACTGCACACACACAGAGCCAGCTCCCTCCACCGAAAAAAAGACATCGAAACCTACATACAGCTTCACACACACACCCAACCCCTCCAAAAACACACAACCCTACATACAGCTACAAACACACAGAGCCAGTTCCTGTCCACCAAAACCTACATACAGCTTCACATACACAGATAGGTCGTCATCCCCCCCCCCCCCCCCCCCGCTCTAACCACACAAACAGCTTCACACACAGATCCAGATCTCCACCCCCCACACATACAGAGAGCTTCACACACAAGCAATCCCAACCATCCAACCCCACAACAAACACACGTTTCGCCCAGATATACAGTCACTACACTTTACAGTATATTCTGTGAAGCGCTTTGAGACGTCGAGAAGACGTGATAAGGCACTGTATCAAATACAAGGATCATTATTATTACACACAGCAACACACAGTCAGGTCGTAATCCAAGGTGGGGGTCAGGCCGGGGAGCGGGTCAGGCCGGGGAGCGGGGTCAGGCCGGGGAGCGGGTCAGGCCGGGGAGCGGGTCAGGCCGGGGAGCGGGTCAGGCCGGGGAGCGGGTCAGGCCGGGGAGCGGGTCAGGCCGGGGAGCGGGACAGGCCGGGGAGCGGGACAGGCCGGGGAGCGGGTCAGGCCGGGGAGGAAGACAGAAAAGCAGTGTGAAGTGCAAGTGTATGTGTGTGCCCTTACCCCCAGGGGGCAACGGGAGGGCTCAGTGAGACACTACGGGCAGAAGTCTAGAGGGTGAGGTTCGGGAGGAGGGTGAGAGTTGGGGGGACTGTTAATAGTCTGGACATGTGTGTTGAGGGTCAGGGTGAAAGAAAGATCAGGGCTGGTCAGGGTATGGGGGGGTGAGAGTAGGGGACTGGGGGTGAGGGGAGGGGACTGGGGGTGAGGGGAGGGGACTGGGGGTGAGTGGTAGGGTATGGAGGGGCGGTGAGGGGAGAGGACTGGGGGTGGTGAGGGTGAGGGCCGGGGGGTGAGGGGGGGGGGGTGAGGGACTGAGGGTGAGGGCCGGGGGGTGAGGCTGTTGAGGGTGAGGGCGGGGGGTGAGGCTGGTGAGGGTGAGGGCGAGGGGTGAGGCTGGTGAGGGTGAGGGGTGAGGCTGGTGAGGGTGAGGGGTGAGGCTGGTGAGGGTGAGGGCGGGGGGTGAGGCTGTTGAGGGTGAGGGCGGGGGGTGAGGCTGTTGAGGGTGAGGGCGGGGGGTGAGGCTGGTGAGGGTGAGGGTGAGGGGTGAGGCTGGTGAGGGTGAGGGGTGAGGCTGGTGAGGGTGAGGGTGAGGGGTGAGGCTGGTGAGGGGTGAGGCTGGTGAGGGCGGGGGGTGAGGGGGGGGGGGTGAGGGACTGAGGGTGAGGGCCGGGGGTGAGGGGTGAGGCTGTTGAGGGCGGGGGGTGAGGCTGGTGAGGGTCGGCTCTCCTCAGCCGCCGCCATTTGCAAACAAACAAAGTTGAGGCTCGGGTCGGAGTGCGGGGCCTGCGGCCGCTCACCTTCTTGTAGGCCTTGCCGAGCCAGGCCCTCAGGCTGTCCAGCTGCGCCACCGTGTCCGAGGCCTCCAGGAAGCGCACGTTGGGGCCGCCGTCCCGTTTCCGCGCCGCCATCGCCCGCTCGCGAGCCTCTCTCGCGCTCACTCCGGCCCAACCGTCAGCTCGGCAACAAGACTGCGCGCTCCCGCTCACACTGCGCGTGCGCGTGTCCCCGCAGCAGCTGTCCCCTCACAGCCACTCTGCGCATGTGCGGATCCTGTGGGGGCGGGGCTGGGGCAGTGGGGGCGGGGCTGGTGCTGTGGGGGGCGGGTTTTGTGCTGTAGGGGCGGGGCTGTGGGGGCGGGGCTGGCGCTGTGCGGGCGGGGCTGGTGCTGTGGGGCCGGGGCTGTGGGGGCGGGGCTGGTGCTGTGGGGCCGGGGCTGTGGGGGCGGGGCTGGCGCTGTGGGGCCGGGGCTGTGGGGGCGGGCTGGCGCTGTGGGGGCGGGGCTGGCGCTGTGGGGCCGGGGCTGTGGGGGCGGGGCTGGCGCTGTGGGGGCGGGGCTGGCGCTGTGGGGGCGGGGCTGGCGCTGTGGGGGCGGGGCTGCCGGCACGGTTGGGGACAGACATGGCGGCGCCGGCTGCGGGGCTGCGCGCTGTGTGGAGCCGCGTGTGGTCGGGGAGCCGTCGCTGTCGCTGCCGCTGTGATGGCGCTGGAGCGCGGGACCGCCTCAAGCACACGGCGGCGGCGGCGGCGGCGGCGATCGCCAGGCCTGAGCCGGGCGCCGGGGAGGCGGTGGAGCGGGAGGCCGAGCGGCGCGGTGAGTGCGGCCCTGGCACCGGGTCTGGGGGTCAGAGGGTCAGAGAGCAGCCGAACCCCCACTGACCACATGAACCTGAGTTTATTCGCACTAACGGCAGTCATTCAGTACCGCGTCAACCGCAGACACCCACCGACCCACTCTCCGGTCACCCGCCGCAGGTTCATGCGGATGACAAACCCAAGTGTCCCGGAGCGCTGCGGTGTGGGCCTCACGGCACTCACTGGGGGGAGTGGGAGCCCTGACACCGCGCAGTGTCACACCGGTCTGCTCCTCCACCACCTGCCGCTCCAGAGCCTCTGGTGCTCTGTCTGTCTGTCTGTCTGACTGTGTCTGTCTGTGTGTCTGTCTGTCTCTGTCTGTCTGACTGTGTCTGTCTGTGTATCTGTCTGTGTGTCTGTCTGACTGTCTGTCTGTGTCTGTCTGTCAGTCTGTCTGTGTCTGTCTGACTGTGTCTGTGTGTGTCTGTCTGTGTCTGTCTGTCTGACTGTGTCTGTCTGTGTATCTGTCTGTCTGACTGTCTGTCTGTGTCTGTCTGTCAGTCTGTGTCTGTCTGACTGTCTGTCTGTGTCTGTCTGTCTGACTGTGTGTGTCTGTCTGTGTCTGTCTGTGTCTGTCTGTCTGACTGTCTCTGTCTGTCTGTCTGTGTCTGTGTGTGTCTGTCTGTCTGTCAGACATCAGGGTCTGGATCAGGGCAAACTTCCTGCAGCTAAATGTCGAGAAGACGGAAGCCGTACTCCTTGACTCCTGTCAGCCTCTCTCCTCCTGCTCTGACCTCTGTGCCCTCCCGGGGCCTTCCTCAAAGACGGAATAATAATCCTTCCATATAGATCAACCTCCGCTCAGCACTCCGGCCTGTCAGCACCTCAGGACGTCCTCACAATGTGAATGGCGCTACACAGCGGTCCCCTGCCCGGCCAAACCCACCATTGCAATCAGGCCTTCATCCTCTCTGCCCCCACCTTCTGGAACTCCATTCCACATTTGCTTCGCTTCGTTCCCTCCCTTTCCTCCTTCAAGGCCCCTCCTCTTCAGCCACCCTCCTCCCCTCTCTGCCCCTCACCCTTCCCGATCCCCCCACCCACCCCCCCGGCTCAGGTCCTAATCCCTGACTGTTCAGCGGTTTGGGACATCCTCCCAACGTGAAAGGCACTTTACAAATGCAGTTTTGTATTGTATTATATATAGCACCTTATGCCATTGAGACATCTCAGCGCTTCGCAGAATATATTGTAAAGTGAATTAACTGTGTATTTTGTGTGCAAAACTTGCCGAACCTGTGCATAACCTAGGCGTCATGTTCGACCCCCAGCTGACCTTCCTCCACCACATCCGGTCCCTGACCACGACTGCTTTCCTCCACCTTCGCCATATTGCCCACCTCCGACCGTATCTTACCTCCAACACAGCCGAAAGCCTTGTCTACCCCTTCGGCACCTCCTGCCTCGACTACTCCATGCCCTCCTCGCCACTGGCTCTAAACTCCATCGCACCAATCCTCACCAGGATCCACAGGCTCCCTATCACACAATCTATGTCCCAGTCCAGACCGTCTCGTGCGGTGTTCCTCAGGGCTTGGTCCCTCTTCAATATCTATACGCTCCTCTTGGTGACACCATCCCCAGACATGAGGTCAACTTCCACATGTATGACACCCAACTCTCCCTCTCTGCCTCCGCCCTCGACTCCAGGACCCACTGCTGTCCTGACAGAATGTCTGTCAGACATCAAGTCCTGGATGAGAGCGAACTTTCTTCAGTTGAACGTCAACAAGACCGAGGCTCCTGATTGACTCCCGTCAGCACCTCCTCACCTCAGGCGCTGACAGCATCACCATCCATGGGGCTCACTCCCCCTCACTGAGCCAGTCCCGAACCTTAGGGTCTTGTTTGACCCTCAACTATCCTTTCTACCCCACATCTGCACCATGACCCACTGCCTTCTCTCATCTCCGTAACGTCACCCGACTCCGACACTGCCTCACGCCAAAACCCTCATACACGCCTTCATTATATTGAGGCTCGACTATGCAAACTCACTGCTTGTCGGCCCCCAACTCCTCCCTCCACAGACTGCAGATCATCCAGAACTCTGCAGCCCGTGTCCTCTCCCGCACCGGCTCCGTGACCCTATCACCCCCATAGTCTCTCCATGTGGAGTCCTGTAGCTCAGTGGTTAGAGCACTCGCTTTGCAAGTGAGAGACCTGAGTTCAATTCCAGGCAGAGGGCGAAACCTTGGGCAAGTTTCCTTACTCCACACAGAGCCTAATAATAATCCCTCCAAAACCAAAAACAATAATAAATTGGTCATTTTCAATCTATGACTGTTTGTGGACATTGCTGTGCGCAATTGGCTGCCGCGTTCGTCCACAAATATACAGTCAATTCACTTTACAGTGTGTTCTGTGAAGCGCTTTGGGACGTCCTCCCGACGTGAAAAGCGCTATATCAAATGCAAGGATTATTATTATTATTATTATTATTATTATCTTGTCCCCTCCCTCGCCTACTTCAAGACCCACCTCAAGACCCAACTCTTCAACCGTGCTTTCGATCTCCCTGCTTCCCACCTGCCCTCCACCCTCCCCTCCCTCTCCGACCCTCAGCTCAGGTCCGTAACTCTGACTGTCCAGCGTCTAGGGACATCCTCCCGACGTGAAAGGTGCTATACAAATGTAATTTTGTTATTGTTGTAAACTCCGTACCCCCATCACCCCAGTCCTCACCAGGCTCCACTGGCTCCTTGTTGCAGAATGGATTGATTTGAAGATCTTCACATTCGCGTATAAATCCTTCGCATCCTGGCTGCATTACACTCGGGCCTGCGTAAACTGTGTGTGTGTTACACTGGGGTGGGGGCTGTGTATATGTTAGGTTGGAGGCGTGTGTGTGTTAGGTTGGAAGTTGTGTGTGTGTTACGCTGGGGGCTGTATGTATTACACTAGGGGTATCTGAGTGCTTGAGCCACTGTGAGCTGCTGATAACTGTGATTGCTTTAGATTTGCAGGAGCTGCTTCAGGAATTCCCTCAGCCTAAGAACCTCCTGGCTCGAGTAGTGCAGCGAGCGCTCAAGCGTCCTGACGTCAAGGATCACATTGTTTACCAGTCCAGCGACGGAGCGCTGAAGGTAACTTCCCGAGAGCCGTTCTCTCTCTCTGTAATTCACTGCTACTCTCGTGTCAGTAACTGACTGCGCTGTGAAAGATTAGGAGTCAGTGTTCAACTGTGCTCTGCCTCACCCTCACCCGCCTCCCCCGACTGCTGAGACCCTCATCCATTACATCCACTCTCTGCTCCCCAGCTCTCCCTTACACAACAACAACAACAAATGACATTTACACGGTGCCTTTCACATCAGGAGGACATCCCAAGGCGCTGGACAGTCAGAGATTTGGACCGCAGCTGGGGTTTGAGATCAGGAGGGGTGGAGGATGTGGTCAAAGAGGAGGGTCTCGAAACGGGCCTTAAAGGAGGCAAGGGAGGGGCAATGCAGAGGGACTGTGGGTTGGAGTTCCGAGGGGTAGGGGCAAGGAGGCTGAAGGCCCGATTGCCAATCGTGAGGTGGGCCGAGCGGCGATGTGGAGCAGGCCGGAGCCTGAACAGAGGGAACGGACAGGTTGATATAATAATAATAATAATAAAAATCATTGCATTTGATATAGCGTGTTTTATGTCTTCTAGACGTCTCAAAGCGCTTCACTGAATAGACTGTAAAGTGAATTGACTGTATATTTGTGAAGTGCTTTCCGGCGTCTTGAAGACATGATAAGCGCTATATCAAATGCAAGGATTATTATTATTATTAAGCTACAGAACTCCACTTGTTCTCATTATTCTTCCTCCCAGAATGTATAACCTCACATTTGTCCGCATTAAATTTCATTTTCCGTCTCTCTGCCCAACCACTAATCTGTCTACGTCTTTCCAAAGAAAACCACGCTGCAGATCCACTGGCCAAAGACAATCCAGGTAGAAGGTTACGGCAGTAAGAAGATCGATGCAGAGAGACACGCAGCAGCCAATGCCTGCAAACTTCTCAAGGTACAAACTATGTACAGCCCAGGAGATTCTCTCCCCACTGTGTCTGTCCGTGCTGAGGCTCGCTCCCCCACTGGAGCTCTCTACTCTTATCCAATTCACTGCTCTCTTCCTCTCGTGTTTGTGCTGGTGCTCGCACCCCACAGAAAACTCTCTGACACCCTATGACATGTTTTGCTGTGGGAAGGTGCTGTATCAGACTGCTGTTGCTGTCCTGAGAGGCAGCGGGTCTCTGTGCTGAACATATTCTAGTTTGGGGATGTGTCAGGCCAGCTCAGCTGTTCCCACTCTCGGCTCAGGGCCAACAACAATTTTCATTGATATAGCAGCCCTCCCGCTGGGCAGTGCCCCTCACGCAGGATCAGATGCTGCTCGGCAGACTCAAGCTGGGTGTTCGTTCCTCCGGACTCCCCCACCCCCCCAATAACCCATTATCTTATGTCTGTACTGGATCTCAATCCACAACACTGCTCTGTTAAATAAATCTTTTATTCTCAGTGACAATAATCCAACCATAACACTTCACCTTTGGTCCCACTCCCATGTCTTCCTCTGAATGACTCTTTCTTAATTGCCATTTACTTCTTAAAGCAATATCCTGCAGTGTCCTGTCTCATAATAATAATAATAATCCTTGCATTTGATATAATGTCTTCGAGACAATCCAGGTGAAATATACTGTAACGTTTAGTGACCTTGTATTTTGTTGGTGAAATGCTGTGTAAAAGCTGCCTCTTGCCGTGCTGGGTCCAGCGCTGGCCTCTCCCCTTACCCTGATGTGTGGGTCTGTGTCTGACAGGAGTGGGGTTTGCTGGGGCCCCACAACCAGCTGTTCCCCACCCAAGACTATGAGGAGCTGGTGGAGAGGTTAGATCAGACGGGAGGAGCAGGTTGGCGGGAACTGAACGAAGAGGGCGAAAAGGCAGAAGGGACCATGGATTGTACGAACTTCGTATCTGCGGCACAGAACAGCCCCAGGTGACAGCGTCCGTCCATGTGTCTGTCCCCAGTATCTCTGTCTGTGGACACACACTGTTCTAAGTGTCTGACTTGCGTGTTACTGTGTGTAGAGCAGGTTGGAGCCTGACTTATGTTACTGTGTTGTACAGAGCAGGACACAGGGAGGTGTTGGACACCGGCGCTGCCCGAGCTCTCACTCAGTTTCCGCAGCCAAAATATCTGCTCTCCAAAGTCATCCAGATCGCAACCTCCTCCGCTACAGTCACAGTGAGTGCACACCGCCTTGCACACGCTAACCACACGCCATGGACGGTACAGTGCTAAACATATGGTCATGTGCTAAACAAATGCCACCTTTCAGATGCTAAACACACAACACCTCGTACATGGTAAACACAGGCAAAACACATGGAACCCTTGAGCACGCTAAATGCTGTCACTGTGTGAGCGACACTTTCTCTCTCTCTGTCCCCAGGACTGTGTGAGATACATCACTGATGGAGGCTCGGTGAAGACATGCCGACTGGAGCTGCAGTGGCCGTCCCCGATGAGTTTCTCAGCGAGCGGGCGGCGGAAGAGTGATGCAGAGCGCAGGGCAGCAGCTCTGGCCTGTCAGAGGCTGAAGGTAATTGTGTGTCGTGGCTACTGAGAGCAGCTTGCTGTGTGGTCCCTCCCCCTCCTCCCTTCTCCATATCCCCCACCCCCCCTGCATTCTGGCTCCCAGTGCAGGGTCTCCAATAACAGCACTTCCCAGGCCATTGCTGATCGAGGGGAGTGACCGTCACTTGCTTAACCCCATTATCATGTTTAACAGTATCCAAAACAGCCTGGAGTACCTGGAATGGGATCCGACAATTGCCTAACAAGTGGGTTCCTACTTACTGCTGGGTAAACAGAGGCGTGTGTGTGGGGTAAGGAAACTTAGCCGGGATTTTGCCCTGCCTGGTGAAGCGAGCGCAGTAACAATGAAGTTCCAGGAGTCCTTCCCACCAGCTAAAGCCGCAATCCAGACTCATCTATAATAATAATGATAATCCTTGCATTTGATACGGTGCCTCATCACGTCTTCGAGACGTCTCAAAGCGCTTCACAGGATACACTGCAAAGTGAATTGACTGTATATTTTGTGGGCGAAACGCAGCAGCCAATTGCGCGCAGCAGCGTCCCACGAACAGTCGTGGATTGCGTGACCAATTTTTTTTGGAAGGGATTATTACCCCCGGAAAAGCGATCCACCAATCGACTAACAGCCGGGTTCCTACTTACTAATAGGTAAACAGCTCTGTGTGTGTGTGTGTCTGTGTGTGTGTGTGTGTAGTAGTGCCTGCGTTTACAGCGCAGCACAGTGCAGTCAGTAGGAAATTCCGGGGCCTTTCTAAACCTGGACCCGACCCAAAAAATTAAATGTCTGGAGAGGAAGTCAGCACGTCCCACCCTGACAGACAATCACACACAATCCCACACAGTCAGGCCCACAGCCCACCCTGTGCGTAAAGATTATTTCATTTCAAAGCTTCCCCCGCGTGTGGCTTTCTCCCTTTAGAGGCCTTGTATTCATCCACGCATTTATTACATCCAGGCTCGACTACGCCAACTCCCTGCTTGTTGGCCCCCCAATTCCTCCCTCCACAGACTGCAGATCATCCAGAACTCTGCAGCCCGTGTCCTCTCCCCCACTGGGCTCCGTGACCCCATCACCCCCACTCTCGCCCGACTCCACTGGCTCTTCATCCCCAGAGGATAGAGTTCAAAATCCTCGCCCTCACCTTCAAGGCCCTCCACGGTTCTGTGACTTGCTGACCCCATATCAACATGTCCACTCGGTCAGCTCAGCAGGCTCGGGGCTGCTCCCCACCCCCCGCCCGGCCCACCCCACCATCGGCAGTTGGGGAATTCAGCCTCTCTGCCCCCTACCCTTCGGAACTCTATCGCACATTCCCTTCGCCTCACTCCCTCCTTTGCCTCCTTCAAGACCCTCCTCTTTGACAGTGCCTTCGGTCATCTTTCTACCCCCCACCCTCCCCGCCCTCCACCCCTCCTGATCCCAACCCCCAGCTCGGGTCCAGATCCCTGACTGTCCAGCGCCTTGGGACGTCCTCCCGACGTGAAAGGCGCCGTGTAAATGTCATTTGTGGTTGTTGGTATTGTTGTTGTGCGTGACTTGAAATAAAGGCGTTCTCCCTGTAATTGGCCTGAGCCAATCTACACCGAGCGTGGCTACACAATGAGATGCATAAACCACGTTTGTGTGTTATGTGTGCGCGTGTGCGTGCGTGCGTGTTGTCTTTGTGTGTTATGTGTGTGTGTGTGTGTGTGTGGTGTGTATGTCTGGTCCCAGGGATGGTAAGGATCCTGTGATACTGAAGCAAAGGGAAGGCAGCTGCTCTCTGCTGTTGTCCTGGCCAACAATCCTGTGCTTTGAGCTCAGTTCCCTGGCTCACTGAGCGGAGACTCTTGTGGGCGGGCAGGCCTTGGGTGTATGACCTCAGTCTGAGCTGAAGAACTTTAATAATAATAATAATAATCCTTGCAGTTGATACAGCGCCTCATCGCGTCTTCGAGACGTCTTAAAGCACGTCACAGGATACACTGTCAAACGCAGTGACTGTATATTTTGTGGGCGAAACGCAGCAGCCAATTGCGCACAGCAGCGTCCCCACAAACAGTCGTGGATTGAGTGACCAATTTTTTTTAAAGGGTTTATTACCCCCAGAAAAGTGATCCGCCAATCGACTAATAACTGTCTTCCTACTTACAGCGAGGTAAGCAGAGGCGTGCGTGTGGTGTAAGGAAGCTTGACCAACGTTTCGCCTGCCGGGAAGCGAACACAGGTTCTGTCGCTTGTGAGGCGAGTGGTCTAACCATTCTGTATATAAATCTATGTGTGATTAGCTGGTCCCTGTCTGTCTCACTGCAGTTAACACTGGCCTCACCCAACAAAGCGCCCTATTGAGACCACGCCTGTCGTGTGAGCCTGGCTCAGTGGTCAAACACTCATGCCAGCACTGGGAACTCACACAGGCGAAGCTGACACTCCAACCCAGTGCTGGGGTGGGAGGCACTACTGTCAGAGGTGCCATCCCTCGAGTGAGACATTAAACTGAGGTCCTGTCTGCTTGTTCTGGTGGATGTTAAAGATCCCGCGGGGCTATTTGAAAAGAGCAGGGACTTTCTCTCCCGCAGTGTCCTGGCCAATAATCCCTCAAATAAAATTGGTCGCTGTTTCTGGGTCACTGCTGTGCACAAATTGGCTGACACGTTCACCCACAAAACACATGCAGCGACTCGATAATGTAGACCATGATAAGCAGCGTTATCTTGTACTGAACAATAGACCCAGAGGACACGGCCTGCGATTGAAGGGAGTGAAGTCAGAACAGATCTGCCGAAACACTACATCAGTGAGCGAGTAGTAAACGTATGGACGGACTCCCTCGGGAGACAGACGGTGGAAGCAGAAAGTGTCAACTCTTTCAAGAACTAATGAGGTGGATTCCTTTCAGGAAATAATATCTGGGGATACAGTATAGTTTGGGACATCACAAGTCAAACGACTGCCAGGATGGTGGAAGGCGAACTAGATGGCCCTCGGGCTTCTTTTGGTTACGTTCTTATGTTCAGTCACTGCACTTTACAGTAAATCCCTGGGAAGCGCTTAGTTAGTGATGTTCTCTTGACATGACAGATTATTATTGGTATCATTAATATGGCTTTGCTAACAATGAATCTTTGGTTGAGACACTGGAGAAGGGTAATGCTCAGCCACAGGTTGACCACAAACACAAAGAAGGACTGCGTCACCTGAGCGGGTGGTTCGGGATGACAGGAGATGCTGTGTACTGCACAGATTAGCTTAATCACAGGATCCATTACCAAACAACACCTTGTGTAAGCGATGGCGAGAGAGAGGGTTGTAATTATAACAATAATAAAAATCCTTGCACGTGATATAGAACCTTATCACATCTTCGAGACGTCACAAGGCTTCGCAGAATATACTGTAAAGTGTAGTGACTGTATATTTTGTGGGCAAAACGTGGCAGCCAATTTCACACAGCAGTGTCCCACGCCCAGTCGTGGATTGAGTGACCATATTTTTTTTTGCACAATTGTGAGGGGTATTTGTGGCAGAACAAATGTTGGGAATGAGTGTGCAAGTGTGCAATTGCAGGAAATAAGTGTGTAAGTGGGGGGAATAAGTGTAAATGCGAGTCATAAGTGTGCAAATGTGGGGAATGAGTGTGCAAGTGAGGGGAAGGAGTTTCTGAACTAATTTTCTCTTCGCCTCAGACTAGCTCACCCCATGTGTAAAGCACATCAGTCAAACCCCATCGCTTTTGCCTTCACACTCGGCTGAAGACACTCCATTTCTCTGTGAACATTGTGGAGTCCTGTGGAGGAGCGGTTAGAGCACTCGCCTCACAAGCGAGAGGACCTGGGTTTAATCCCAGGCAGAGCGAAATGGTAGGAAAGTTTTCTTACTCCACGAGCCTCTGTTCACCCAGCAGTGAGTAGATACCCAGTTGTTAGTCGATTGGCGGATCGCTTTCCAGGGGTAATAATCCCTTCAAAATAAAAAAATAATAATGCGGTCACTCAATCCTCAAATGTTTGTGGGACACTGTTGTGCGCAATTGATTGCCGCATTTCGCCCACAAAATACACAGTCAATTGGTGAAAGACAAATCGTGTCTGACAAACTTAATTGAGTTCTTGGAGGGTATAACGGAGAGGGTTGATGAAGGTAGTGCAGTTGATGTAGTGTACTCTTCGACCATGCCATCGGCCACCCCCCTTCCCTTCCCCTCCCTTCCTCCCCTCTGACCCCAGCTCGGGTCTGAAATGCTGTCACTGTCCAGTGCCTTGGGATGTCCTCCCGAAGTGAAAGGCGCTATACAAATGTTGTTGTTCTTGTTGTTGTTGTTGTATATAAACTTTCGGAAGACATTTGATAAAGTGCCACCTTATAGACGAGTTAGCAAAATTGAAGCCGATGGGATTAAAGGGACAGTGGTAGCACGGATACGAAATTGGCTGGGAGACAGAGAGCAGAGGATAGTGGAGAATAGTTATTTTTCAGACTGTAGGAAAGTATACAGTGGTGTCTCCAGGGGTCAGTATCAGGTCCACTGCTCTTTTTGATATACATAAATGACTTGGACGGGTACAGAGAGCAACATTTTAAAATTCACAGATTGCACAATACTTGGAAACGTGGTAAACAGTGAGGAGGATGGTAGCAGACTGCAGGAGGACATAGGCAGACTGGTGACATGGGCAGACACACGGCAGATGGAATTTAATACAGAGAAATGTGAGGTGATGCATTTTGGAAGGAAGAATGAGGAGAGGTGATATACAATAAATGGTACAGTTTTAAAGGGGGCTCAGGAGCAGAGAGACCTGGGGGTTCACATACACAGGTCTTTGAAGGTGGCAGGATGGGTTAACAGAGCTGTTAAAAAAGCATATGGGATACTTGGCTTTATAAATAGAAACATAGGGTACAAAAGCAAGGAAGTTCTGCTAAACCTTTATAAGTCACTGGTTAGGCCTGAGCTGGAGTATTGTGTCCAATTCTGGGCTCCACACTTTGGGAAGGATATCAAGGCCTTGGAGAGGGAGCAGAGGAGGTTTACCAGAATGTTACCAGGGATGAGGGCCTTTAGTGATGTGGAGAGACTGGAGGAGCCGGGATTGTTCTCCTTAGAGCAGAGAAGGTTAAGGGGAGATTTAATAAAGGTGTTCAAAATTATGAGGGGTTTTGATAGAGTAAATAGGGAGAAACTGTTTCCACTGGTGGGTGGGTCAGTAACCAGGGCACATAGAGTTAGGATAATTGGCAAAAGAACCAGAGGGGAGATGAGGAGAATTTGTTTTACACAGAGTAGTTAAGGTCTGGAATGCATTGGCTGAAAAGGTGGTGGAAACAGATTCAATAACAACTTTCAAAGGGAATTAGATAGGTAATTGAAAAGCAAAAAATTGCAAGGATATGGGAAAAGAGCGGGGGGGGGGTGTTGGGACTGATTGTGTAGCTCTTCCAAATAGCCGGCACAGGTATGATGAGCTGAATGGCCTGCTCTGCGCTATAATATTCTATGATTCTATGAAATCACTTTACAGTATATTCTACGAAGGGCTTTGAGACGTCTCGAAGACATGATAAGGCGCTAAAAACAAAACAAAACAAAAAGAAACAATAATAATTTGGTCACTCAATCCACAACTGTTTGTGGGACACTGCTGTGTGCAATTGACTGCTATGTTTCACCCACAAATATACAGTCAATTTGCTTTACAGTCTATTCTGTGAAGCGCTTTGAGACGTCGAGAAGACGTGAAAAGCGCTATATCAAATGCAAGGATTATTCATATTATTCATATTTGCGCTGACTCCCAATTCATTTGCCAACAAACTTTACCTCCTTTTTAGCCCTCAGTACAATCCCTGTCATCAGCCGTTTGCCCTGTGTAAGCCGAGCTTTAGTCTCAGTGACTGATATGAAATTCTCTCATGTTGTTGTCACTGTTACCAAGTTGCTTTGTGACCGGCAGTGTCACTAAATCGGCCTGATGACTCATTACTAAATCAAGCTGTGGTTCTAACATGCTGCTCCCCCCGGGAAAACATTCCACAAATGTCTCTCTTTGCTATGATAATAATAATAATAAACTTTGCAATCTATGTAGAGCATTGTGCTTTATCACGTCTTCAAGACGAGGATATTTACCAGAATGATACCAGAGATGAAGCACTGCAATTATGTGGAGAAACAAGAGAGGCTAAGATTGTTCTCCTTCGAGCACAGAGGTTAAGGGGAGATTTGATAGAGGTATTCAACATTATGAAGGGTTTTGAAACAGTAGATGGGGAGAAACTGTTTCCACTGGTGGGTGGGTCAGTAACCAGAGGACACAGATTTAAGACAATTGCAGAAGAACCAGTGAGATGATCAGACTTTTTTTTACCCAGAGAGTTGTTACGGTATGGAAATCACCTGCCTGAAAGGGTGGTGGAAGCTGATTCAATAGGAGCTTTCAAAAAAGGAATTGGACAGGTATTTGAAAAGGAAAAATGTGCAGCGCTCTGGGGTGAGAGTGGGAGAGCGGGACTGGTTGGTAGCTCTTTAGGGCGGCCCGAGCTGGACAAGCAATGAGAAAGCTTGGCGGATAGGGCTCTCGATGGCAAGCTGAGTGGGTTTAGCCGGTTACACTCCAGCAGTTACCCCCAACGCACACTCTGGGGCCCCCACCCCCCGAGGCTTGGCTCTCGCCAACCTGCGCCTAATACTCTCCAGAATTAGGTAAACAGGATGTGTCCCTCCAGGGAGAGAGTGCGCACTCCATTCCAGACACGGGGAGATTCCCACGTGTAGGTGACAGGATATATGTGGAATTCCCGGGCCGGTTGCGAGCCTTAAGCAGAGCGATGGGATGGCTATGAAAAGCCTTGCATTTGATATGGTGCCTTATCACATCTTTGAGACGTCTCAAAGCGCTTCACGGATGTGCTGTAAAGTGGAG